TAGTATGTGATATGTACTACATGTAAATTCAATTATCGATTCGCTCGCCTTCATCAATGTCACTGACGTTGAAGAGATGGACTATCGGCCCTGAATGGGATAGCGCACGAACCACTACATGGAGATTCAGAGAACTAGCCCGTCTCCCGGAACTGTCCAAGTTTCCACAATAGCTCCATGTTGTCGAGAGTCTTGGTCGCCTCGTTGAATTCTCCCTGAGGCAGGCTTTGCTCTCAATACCAGGAATAAACTGACATGTTTTGGCCCTGTATAGCCCAATCATTAGTGCATATGTGAGCATCTCGAATTGATACGAGCAATCCAACTGTTTCGTTTGTCTTGGATGACCTACTGAAGCAAAGATCCGGCAACTGACCCGGAGTTTGATCTTGGAGGATCTGGGGTCGAATCTATGTGGTTTGCCTATGAAATGTGGTGCTACTTTTATGAGGTCATGTTAATGGTCCTGGTGGATGCGAAGCTGTGAAGCATCGACCACCCGATGGTGCTAGATCATGATCCAGAAAGCAAGGCAGATCTATCGTCGAAGGGCACATCCCTGAAGACTTACGCATGGGATATTTTAGAATCTTTACGGAAAGGCTCGACATTCGCACGACATCGTTGACATTCAACGGTATGAGTGACAATAAATCTTACACCCATACTCAGAGTTTACTCCTGACCTTTCCAGCAGCCTCGGCCAATTTCCGCCTCTTCGTCATCCTGCCCAGTGAATCAGTATCCTGTCACACCATTAAGGATCACACATACCCCGAATGCTCTATCACGCTCGGCTCCACGCCAACACCAACTTGGAAAGCACCCATACGCTCTTCTAGAGGCACATAGTCACGTGCGGACGGGCCAAGGTAAAGTTGCCGAGGGCGCCAAATCTTGACTCCCGATGGAGAAAGCATCTGCATATAGGCGACGTTTAGTGAGTCTGTGGAATGAAAGAAGGCGAAGGGCATACGCACCTGTCGCCAATGTGCAACCCAGCCTACGACTCTGGGCACAACGAACAGGACTGGGAAGAAGTCCATCGGGAAACCTACCCGTTACCGTGTTACATAATTCCAGTCTTCGTACAATGCTGGCACTCACCCATCGCACGGTAAATCAGCCCGCTGATATATGAGAGTCAATTCATATCGATGATTGGATAAAAATAAGTTTACCTCCAGAAATCAACGTTCGGAGCTAACTTCCTCGATACGAATCATCTTTCAGCGCTGCATCATGCAGGGCCATTGCGGTATCAAGCAATGGATCACGGCCCGTCCTTGACTCCGCCATCAATCTTCCAATCCTGCCGCAACAATGACCACTTACACAGCAAATACCTCATCAGCAACCTTGCGAATGATAAATGAGCGCGGATCAGACTGCGGATCACCAACAATCATCAGGACAGCAAACAGTAGGAGGATGACTACGCACAGTCTTGTATACTCTGTGTCCGAATCCACTTAGCACCTTCTGACGCTTCTTTACTGCTTCTAAAAAGGCAGGGACGTTCTCGGGACTTATACAGATGTGAGGAGACGACAAGAATAGTGGCTATAAAAACGGACCTGCCAATGGAAAGAAGCATTCGAATAACAGCTTCGTTCGCACCTCCATGGAGTGGACCGCTGAGAGGTAAATACATCAGTATCGACATGAATCGAAAGCTCATGAATGAACAAAAAAAATGGCGAAGCACAAGTAAAAATGTGTTAAAGGCAATTCCATCTCGGAGAGCCTGGGGACGTAGGGGTCATTAGGATGCTGAACAGTACTCACTACAGTGACGCACAACCTGCCGAAACAGCGCTGAACGGGTCAGGTAACGATGACCCAGTCTGAAGTACGGTCGTCGAACTCGCGTTCATCTCGTGGTCGGCATGGAGGATAAAAAGGATGTCAAGTGCCTTTGCAAGAACAGGATGCGGCTTGTTTGAGTGAAGCTCTGATAGGTGGTCTGTGGGTGAGAGATGGTCGAGTTGGTAGAGGAACCTTGCGCAAGAAGAGTTTGAGATACAATGGTGCAGAACTAGTAAAATGGTGACTTACGACTCTGTATAGCTCATTCCTATTGGAGGCACGACGAAGTCGCGGCCCTGGCGGATACGGTATGCCATGCTACATGTACTATTATCAGCGAACGAAGAAGAGGACAACCACTAATACACACGCAGCTAATGTGGTAGCTTTACCGATCAGCCTGAATATTTGCCTGTCCATGTTCTGAAGTGCAGCAGGATCACCCTTGGCAGCTTTTGTGAACAAATCTTGCCCTACAAAAAGGTCACTAAGATGAGATGATACTCCAGGTCTGCTGACTCACCCTGCAAACTCGGATTTGCTTCCCCATAGTAGCTTCCCAAGTATGCAAAGGCACTTGTAAGCATCGACATGGGGTGAGCATCGTACCTAAACGAGCGGAAGAACCCTTCTGCGTCAGAATGTATTGGCCCGTGGAGGAGGACCTCGCTAGTGAAGTGGGATAATTGGGACGAGCTGGGCAACGCGCCATATATGAGGAGATAAGAAACCTCAAGGAAATTGGAGCGTTCGGCGAGTTGCTCAATTGGGTAGCCTCTGTGAAATTTGATGAGTGGTATAGTAACAGGTAAAGAATGCGTGCGTACCTGTAGCGCAATATGCCATTGTCACCGTCAATATATGTTATACGACTCTCGATCACGGCTGTGTTGAGAAAACCTCTATCAGCGACACGTAAACCGCGTTCTGTCTCGTCTTCAGGTCTGTCATTTGGACCCGGAGCAGCACGAATACCCTTGAAGAAGTTTGCAGGAATTGAGTTGTGGGAGATCCTGCGTAGCGTTAGTCGGAATCAAAGTTCTGAGGAAGAGAGACGCACGGGACGGTGTACTCCTTCCCAGTGCGGTTGTCTACAACTTTGAGGGACTCGTCTCGCTTGAGCTCAGATGCAGGAAATTGTTTGCCCATGTGAAGTTGTGAGGAGTATGATACAACTGGAGGATACTTGAATGGATGGCACGGAACAAGGCTTACGTCTTGACTCGGACGCGAGCAGCTCGTGATATTCGCATCCCGATGTTAGTTTGGTTCCTAGTTTTACCGGATGACAGAGGCGCTGTAGCCTGTCGATTTCACAAGCTTGCCATGGGTAGTCCACGCTGATCACGGGACCGGGAACTTGCCTCCAATTGGTCACAACATTTTTCATGTTTCTGGCTCATCGCCCTTGGAGAACATGGTTCAGATCACTTCTGGTGAATTTGAGGCTACGTTGCGATGAAGCTGCTTGTCATTAACCATCTAGCCGTTGTCATTATCTTCGAACACTCTACATCTTCGACAAGCGGCACTATCCTCAGGACCAACACAAGTCTGTTCCCTCTCTTTACTACTGTTCTATATGACACAGTCAAAACCTATTCCCATTCTCGCTGATATGGTTAATGATTGTGTGGGTCATAACCTGGAGTGTCTTATCGAGGGACCGACTGACGATGCCGTCGTGGAACAACGGAGACACTGACTTACATTTTGCTGGATGTCAATCATGATTTCGTCGATGTCCTGAACTGCACGCTGACCGCATCCTGACATTAAACGATGAGCTTCACTGTCGTTGGTCACAGCAAGCTCGCGGACACGGGATTCAGTCGTTCGATGCCCTCGCATGTTTGAAAGACACGCATGAAGCAATAAAATCCGACTGGAGACCATAGCGTCGATTTTCCATAAAGTTTGAGTCTTGCTAAGATAGGGAATTGAAGAGCTGTTAATTGTGAGCGCATTGATTCGCACTCGCACCACATTGAAATTTTCGTAGGGGAGGCGTTGATTGTGCCCACGACCATAAGCCGGATATATAGTGGAGAAACAGTCAGTCTGCCTTTACGCGATGAAACCATGAAGAAAGCGCACGGCGGGGAGACATAACTGTTGGTGCCTCCAGAATGATACTCCCAATCATCGGCGCTTTTCCCCCTCTGAGGTCTCTTCGATACATCATGCTACTCCATCCGGAGCAGCGGGTAAGTAGGGCGCCCATATTCCTAGTGATTATGCATCTGATGAGCAAGACAAGCACAAAGATACCTTTTGTCAAGCCGATAACGACCGTCGACGGGTGTTAGCTGAGCGGCACGAGCTTGGTAAGTACCACGTTTTCTAGCTGCCACAATAGAATTAAGTTTGTTCCATGCGGACGTGTGTTTATCGGAGGAGAGGTCACAAGTCTACTTGATGGCCTGACAAGGTCAGGGTGTTCAGTATGGATGTATCCGGACGCGCAAGCGCAAGCAACATCCCTCGCACAGCGTCTTATGCAACAGTTTCCGTTATTTGTTGCAGTACAAATATATAAATTCTCTCTCTCATGCAGTGGTGTTAGCGAAATACTTCTGGAAGTAGGACAGCACCTGGACTGGATCCAAATGTTTCGCAATTGCTGTGCAAGTCCAAGTTCAAATGTCTTGGAGTTGCACCGCTTTCTGTTGACTCCTATCTTACTTTCTTCTTTCTTTCATCATGTCAATCAGGACTTACCCCGCATTCTGCTCTCTCAACCAGCCTGAACCCAAATTACTGTCAATGCCGGTCCAGGCGCCTGTTGATCAGGCCATAAATTCTATCTTTGACAAGCTAGCTCGGGACCAGGATCTCATAGTCACACTCCAACTTTTGGAACACTTTCTTGGTGGTAAAGCACTGTCCTACAGTAACACAGGATCTTCATCGGCTGCAGACTTTCCGCCCTTCACTCAGCAGAACATGTCTCCTGGGAAATCGTCTACTTCGACTCGCACCTTTTCTCCTGCCAGTGGGGAACCATCCATTCCATCTCGCGAGACCGTTTCTCCTGAGGGATCATGTGCTCTGACTCACGATCTGACTGGGCCAGTGCAATTGAAACATGCTCGACCTCGCGTCATTCATGCCTGCGATGAATGCCGCAATAAGAAAAAAAAGGTGAGGAGGGGTCGTCACCATCATTTTCATACATCTGACGACAGAGCACAGTGTTCTGGGGAGCAGCCACTGTGTCTGAGTTGTCAAAAGGCGGGAAGGGTATGCACCTGGACACCTATAAAGACCTCGAAAAATCGCCCTTGTCTTAAGTATGGTGTGGTCAAGTTGCGTCGACCACCATCTTATACAGACGAGCGGAACTCCATGACTACTAGGCAGCTCCACATTGCGGCACCAAAACCAACGTATCCCATCAAGCTTCATGATATGCATGGTGCAGCTGCTTTGGCGTCCGCCATGCGGTATCCTCAAGCAGCGAGCTCACCTTTGGGGTCTGAGTTTCCGGCGCATATAGCCACCCGTCGGACGGGAGCTGTTGACTTCGGCTGGAGTGACTCAAGTTCGACTGACTGCAGTCATGAGTATACTTCGCTGCCTCCCACCAATCCTCCATATCTTGACAGTGTCTTGTCTTGTGTACATCCTCTCCACATGCGACGACTGTGTCATGAAGATATCTACCGCCGGGCCCTCGCCGGCCAGTAATACTTTACAAGGAGACATATTCCTGTCAGACATGTGCATCCCGTCCCACGTCTCATTCTAACCCTCCCTGGGTGTTGACACGACACTATCTGTTTGCCCGACTTTGGACTGCGGTATGGACGCTATCGTTTCACTTACATGGACACTTCAGAGATGGACTATTACCTACACGGGCGCTCCAGTGATGGGCTACATTATAGATATCGATATCCTTATTACACACGCTTCTGCGATGGGCTATTACATTATGGACATTGTACAGTAATGTACACTATTGATCTATATGAAAGAATTCCGGAAATCGAGTGATCTCGCATTTGAAACTATGTGAGACAAATTCATCGACTCATCTGAAGCAAATATGAAGGAGTGGCAACATGCGCAGTTTGATCTTCTCCGACATCCACCGACCTGAGGGGGAAACATCATTATCAAAGACTCCGTACAGTTTGATTGTGCGGATATCATAAACGATCACATTCGAGTCGCAACTAAGAATACTATACATTTGCTACCTATGTCAAAGTAAGCATTTACGCAATTCTTTCGAAGTGACAACACCCGTTTGTCCTCCAGGAGCCTTAAAACATATTAAAACGACTTTTCTCTATGTCTTTCAGGCTCCAAGCTAACCTCCATCGGCACGGGTGAAAAAACCTGAATATCAATGAGGCTAGGAGGTGACTATAATTTACCATATTACATCATCGCTGTATCTCGAGTCATAACAAAAAACTTACCCTCGTTACAGTAAGTCGATCTTGTTCTAAGAAAATCCTGTCAAGGTAATGCATCGAAAAAGGCTCGGCGCAGACAGAAGCCATGTAAGGACGGTTGGAGGTGAAGTCTTCGTCAAGGCACGACTGAGCAAACCAAACAGGCTTGCGGATCACAACTCCTGGTAAATTGGGGTCATGTATATTTTCTGAGCGAGCAATGAGTCGCTTATTGAAGTCCCAGATGTGTACGTAGAATTGTCCCTCGATGGAGAGTGCTTCCACTCTTTGACCAGGTTCAGGAGTACGATCTCGAGGAAGAGCATACGCCATTTTGCTACCGAACACACTGATTCGGTGGCTTGGATGATGCGGAAAGCACCATGTATACTTGGGTCCCCAGTCTGACCACGGAATCTCAACACGAGTCTCTGATTGTATGGCCTTTTCTGAAAACATGGCCATATCAATGACCATTATTACAGGCCACGAGGCAGGGAGAGTTTCTAGAACCATAATCTGTGACTCCATAGAGGGTACGTAGCTGGGCATTAGATCTGGGTGAGCTACTGTACCGTGGAACGATGGGGAGGCGTAAACAACATAGTGTGGCACGACCTGGGGTGCTGAATTACGGCCAGGTTTCAGAATGGGAAGGAGATAAGTGATTCGATGCCGAGGTGTGTCATCAAGTCCTTGTAATGTGTACAAGATTATACGACCTTTTGAATCGATGATAACCAATGTGTGTTTGTCGACTAGATGTAAATCGTAAAACAATGGCTCTCCTGATTCACTTAAGGCATGCTGCGTATGCTAAGCGGCAGAGTTTTTAAGAGCAGAGTGAACTTACTCTTTTAACACGACCTTTCCTCCAATCTATAAGTTGTATGAACATGTTGGACGCGCCCACCGTGTTCCGTGAAGTGCGATGCCTCGTGTAATAGAGCATAACTACACGATCCCCACAAATTGCAGGCCCACCCACAATACAAATGACGGAAAGTGCAGTAGATTCACCGGCATGCCTGCATTCCAATGAAGTGCTTGCAGAGTCCGGATGCGGAAGCCGGGATGAAGCCTGCCAAAAGTCGACCCAACAGACGGGGTGATCTTGCTGAGCATCGCCCGAATGAAACACAGAAGGCGCTGAGATTGCGACTACAAGATCCTGCAGTGGGTCGACGACGACTGAACACGCAACCAAGTTGTGTATATGTACAGACTGTTTGAATAAGTCATGTTTAGGCCACACTTGAGAGGTTTTGGTCTTGTCCTTGCAGTCTCGAACCAAAAGAGTGTTCATTCTCCATACCCATAAAGTCCCACATTTCATGGACTGTGGCTGTATGCGAGGATCGTTTGAAGCAACCACATCCTGGAAAACAGTATTGACATGGAAACCAGATCGCCACAAGGATGCCAAGTTCTTGAGTGAGGACATCTTTCTTGCAATGGCGATGGAATCTGCATCTGCGGAATCGGTCTCATTGAGGCCTTGGGCATATAGCTCAAGCTTGTATTGGATGTGGACCGAATTTTGAGCTGCACCCCAGACAATTTTGCAGATCTGACGTGATTCACAAGTTAACCTCGAAGAAACACATAACACAGGGAAAGAACAGACAATTGCACAGCGACAAATGTCCTCGGGGGTGAGGAAGAGTAGAATGTGACATATTAGCTCTGTAGGAAGCGACAATAAACCAACCGCCATGGTGATGGTTTTGAAGAAAGGAGTTAAACCGTGCAATTATGTAACGTTTGTCACCAGCAAGTCACCAGTATTCTAATGTCAAGAATCCTCCGGCGCATTATGCATGTACCTAGGTGATTTCAAAGAGTGAAAATCCTTACAGTATACTCATCGCTGAATTAAGGTGCAACAAACCATGATTGCTTGAAATACAATATACATCTGGTATCGTGAGCTTTCGCTGTACATATCCTTGCTCCAGACCATTTACTCGCTCGCCGCTTGCTTCTTCTCTCGTGAAAGCCAGCCTATCCGATCTCAGCAGAGAAAAGACGAACGGAGAAAAACACCTTACCTCTCATTTTTTGGTCGTGAGCTTTTTGCCGTTCACGGTCCATCGATTTCTGACGCGCAAGCTCTGCGTCGACCATAGGTGCCTCTGAATGACAGACATAAGTATTACATATTCGTTGGTCAGCAAGATATCCCAGAAGAGAATTCAAAATACGACGCACCATTGGGGGCAACCTTCTTTATCTCATTGAGAGCCGTCTCCGCTTTCTCGAAAAATCCAAGCTCTCCAAGGGCCTTTGCTTTTCGGAAAAGCGCCTTAGAATTAGCAGCGTTTTTGCTAAGAGCCTACAAAATTCAGCGAGAAATAGTTGTGTCAAGGGGCGACAAACCTTGTCGGCAGTATCCACCGCCCGCTTCCAGTTCTCTTGTTTGATATGACAGGCAGACATATTTGCATATACTTTCTCCAGAATTATATCTGCCTGTCGAGCAAAGACCTCCTGTTACCTTTCATCGATCGATGAACTTCGAGTTCATACCTCAGTCGTTACATCTTTTGCACCAGCAGCTTGGTCGACTGCTGATACCGACGATGGAGACGACGGGCCAGCCATTCCAAGTGATTGAAGGGCGTTTCTGCAACATCGAGGGTTCGTAAGGCATGAACACGTGCTAACATAGTGCATCCGTACTTATCGATGCCGTGAAGATACAGAAGAGTCTTCATGTAGTAGCTATGTCAGAGGTCGTCTCTACATCGTACCAGTCTTTGGTCATATCCTCACCTCATGGTACGATCGCAATGCTACACACGATATAAAGATCACCTAATTAACAATGCCAAGGATACGCCACTCACCACTTTTGATATCTCCTACTTTGAACGCAGCATCACCAGCGTCTTTCTTCGAGCGTGCGGTGGCCAACTTTGACTCGACGGTAGATAATTCCGCTTGTGTAGGTACTTTGACGTTTGCATCGCGGATGTTATCCTGCACGACACCAGGTGATGAAACCGACTCTATGATCTCCGAGGCCTGAGTAGTTGAGAAAGAGGTATCTAGATTTGACATCGTCGGGAAAATTAGTGGTAGGATAGAGAAATTTAAGAGTAGTGATTGTAAGACTTTAATAGGGATCAAAGGGCGTAGTACGGCAGTAAACAGAGCTTTTCAAGTTAGTCCCTATCAGCTCGGATACTGCCGAATCCCGACAATAAGTCAGACGCGAATTTGAACTGACACGTCTTTTGAAAGATGAACTACTAACGGCGTCAGGCTACGACTTGGGTCTTCTTGGGTCCCTCGAATGCCTCGCAAACTCAAGCTTGTCTCTGCACGTTTAGCTCGTTGGTTTCCTGTGTCTTTGACACTAACTCTGGGCGAAAGCTAGTTCGCGCTTGATTTTGTTCTCACTATATGCCTAGCTATGCCACGTCCGGACCACATATCAACTTTGGTGCGTGGAACGAGATATAGCTATTCCTTTACTTGGTTCCATTGATGACCTCACTTCACACCCCTGCATATGGTGCGCACGTCAGGATTCATCGCAAAGCACCCAGTCAAACTCGAAAATATATACTTGAATAGATCTGACTTGAAACTCCTTCAAAGGTTCATTTCGAGCACCAAGGGACTTGTTTGGTTGCGAGACCTTCAAATCTAAGTATATGGTGGTCGACCACGAGCTTGAAGTTATATTTTTGAGCCCAAGGATAAGCTATTATCCCTGCCAAAATAATCGCACGAGTTACTATAAGCTCACTGTTCATGGAATATCGATCATAGTATTCTCGACGAGATTCGGCGATGTCTCTTCGTCATGCAAGGTCTTTTGAACTGGGTAAATGCAAAACCGGCTTCGCTCAGCTTAAGTTGGAACACAGCTGTACTTGGAAAGCTGGCCCCGCAATGAGATTTGCCTCTAAGACGCTTCGTCGTAAAGTCGACGAGGGGCTCTGTTGGGTACTGGTGGACGATTCGTCACAAATGTAAATATTTTTGAGAAGTATAGCTGCCGGCGTGGAAAACCACCGTCCGGTCACAGTGTGACCGCAGGAAACGGTTCGTGACCGTTTCAGTGACGGCTGACGAAGCCGATCGCTGATCGGGTCAGACACCCGACACCGCCGCGCCTAGCGAGCCATTAGCGTACACCGTGTGTAAATATAGTCTAAGTCTAAGTCTAAATCCCAAATCTTCAAATCCCCCCCTCCCCTTCTTGCGGAAAAACGCGCGCGACGCGCGACTTCAAAAACGTGACACCCAGCCCTCACAAGAGGGGAGGCTGAAAAACTCTTGGCCATTTGGATTAAAAGGAGAGAAGAGAAGAAAAAAAAGGGATAGTAGCAGGCGCCAAATTGCATTGCAGCCGTGTGATGGCCGCCTCATCTGCGCACACACCCAAGAATTCGGAGCGACAGGGATTCACTCACTGGGGGCATCTTGTATTTGGGTTTTGGAGAAGTAGAGCTGCTTGGGAAGGAATGTTGGAGTCTTGATGAACCTTGAGAGCAAAGGAGGGGACAGTTGGTGTGAAGAGATTGGTTTGAGAGCTGGAAAAGGTGCATGCTGACTACTTGTGGGGCCTAGCCAGTTGCCCTGATGTTCTTTGCCAGCACCAATGTACTAGGTTCCGAAGAGGACCTTGCGGTCCTGCCGGACATCACGCCCATTTGGGAGGGTCTTTTTTCGCCCAAGAAACCTATGGTGGGATGGCGTGATTCCCTGCTAAAACAGAGGGACGTGCAGTTGGACCATGCCATTCCTCCAAAAAAACACCGTCCTTGCGTGCTAAAGACGCTCCTGCATGCGCTCAACACGATCCCTGGCATGTGACTTGTTAGGTTTTACTTTGTTTATTGTTGACCTGCTCATTTCTCCAGCCACACATCTACTGGTACTGCCCATTCTACATCGAAGTACTCGAGGCAGAGGCGTACCCACAGCAAGTTCTTACCAACTTGAAACTGCCAGCAAGAATCCAATATTTCAATACCAAGGTAAGTTCCACTAACAAGAAACTGCTGGCTAGGAACTCAATATTTTCAATAAGTTGGGTTCTTGCTGTGAGAAACTGCCGGCTAGAACACAGTATTTTCAATATGAAGGTAAGTTTCACTATTGCTCCAAGAAACTGCCGGCTAGAACTCAATATTTTCTATAAGTTGAGTAGAACCGTCCTCACTCCAATATAGCGATCTCTGGTGGCAGAAGAGATGTTCAAGAACCCTCGTCTCCAAGATCACACTGACCCAACCAAACTTATTCACACCGCGCTGCATTTTACAGTGGTTTGCAGGCATTTATCGATGGAAGGAGGAGGTTCAAGGTATGCAAATGTCTCCACTGACCCAACCCCAAAATTATTCACACCGCGCTGTATTGACAGCGGTTTACAGGCATTTATTGATGGAAAGAGGAGGTTCAAGGTACGGAACCAACCCCAAACTTATTCACACCACGCTGTATTTACAGTGGTTTACAGGCATTTATCGATGGAAAGAGGAGGTTCAAGGTATGGAACCAACCCCAAACTTATTCACACCATGCTGTATTTACAGCGGTTTACAGGCATTTATTGATGGAAAGAGGAGTTGTCTCCACTGACCCAACCCCAAACTTATTCACACCGCGCTGTATTTACAGCAGTTTACAGGCATTTATCGATGGAAAGAGGAGTTGTCTCCACTGACCCAACCCCAAACTTATTCACACCGCGCTGTATTTACAGCGGTTTACAGGCATTTATTGATGGAAAGAGGAGTTGTCTCCACTGACCCAACCCCAAACTTATTCACACCGCGCTGTATTTACAGTGGTTTACAGGCATTTATCGATGGAAAGAGGAGTTGTCTCCACTGACCCAACCCCAAACTTATTCACACCGCGCTGTATTTACAGCGGTTTACAGGCATTTATCGATGGAAAGAGGAGGTTTAAGGTACGCAAATGTCTCCACTGACCCAACCCAAACTTATTCACACCACGCTGTATTTTATAGCGGTTTGCAGGCATTCATTGATGCCCTCACCGCCCTCACCGCTATAATGTGCTCCAGGTGATCATCCGCCAGGGACCCAATTTGCGGCACTGTGCTCATGCCACTCAAGGCAAATATAGGTAAATACATGCATGTATTTAGGAGTGGGCGCACACTAATTTGTCCTCATCTGTCTTATAGTATGGGCGTCAACAACCTTTGGGAGGTATGTGCACCGCTGGGCCATTTTCAGATTTGAAGCTCATTCGTTTTACAGTTACTAGAGCCTGCTGCAAAAACAGTGCCCATTACCTCGCTTGCCCTCCAGGACCGCTATGTGGGACCTGCTCCTCACCTGCCCTATGTGATAGGAGTTGACACAAGGTCAGTCTTTGCACGTTCGTATTGTCACATTTGGTACTAAACTCCTTCTCACCACATGCAGCAGGGTGGTTTGAACAGTGTCAACAAGGCAAGTGGCACCTGTTACAAGAACATCTAGACGCTTGGGCCCCTACCATTTTTCTCCTAATCCTCCTCGTATCAGCCCTCGCGTCATACCCTTACCCCGACCTTACCCTTGTCATCCTTGTCATCCTCGCATTCCCTTTCGCTCTCTATCTGTCGCTTCAGCAAAGCCAGTACATCTGGCCGGACCCTTTTGCTGACGAAGCATACCCATGCTCCATTCCACCACCTGACTGATCCTGTGGACAGTCCCTTTTGCCCTTACCGTCTGGACGGTAACCTATGATACGATGCACGACGCATCCCCTTCACCCCGTTTCCCTTCTTGATCTCTGACTCAGTGCGCAGTCGCACATGCGACCTATACTTAGCTCCGCAGTTGCACGGTCGTGCCCCTGCGCGTTTCACTTCTTATTCTGATCTTTGACTCACTTTCTTATCTGCACGTTCAGAGCTCGTCCGTGTCTCACTTCGAACGTGCCTTCCTTTTATGGTCATACCCTTTACCGATTGCTTCTCTTGGTAGTACGAGTTATCATCCACTAATACGCTTCCTGTCCTCTATATAAACTCGCTACCATGTAACATATTCCTTAACTTGAATCTACTTGGTTCTTGACCTCCTACTCTCACCAGAGTGATCCTTTCTGCCTCGCCAGCAGTCTATATTCTATCTTCTTATCTGCTCCTCGCGGATAAGCCTATAGTCTCGACCTTTACTCATCGACTTCGTTGACGAGCAAAGCCCCTGTTAACTAGTCGGACTTCTGTCCTTCTAATTAACGACGATCCTTACGATTAACCTTCGGGTATCGTAAGCCTAGGCCGATATAGCTTATTGTCTCACACCTGCTTGACATAAGCTACCCGATTTGGACATAGGCGTCAAATCTTACTTGCTGAAACTCGCCAAGTAAGACCCCTAACCTTGGGCTAGCCCAAGGACGTCCTCGACCATTGACGACACACGCTCTGTTTGAGCGTCACCAACAAATACCATCCAAGTCGTAACAGCGCCGTGCACACGCTCAGACTGGGCAGAACCCTGCCCTTCAGACATTCTTATTCTGCCTCGCTCGACTTACTCAGTTCCCGGTACAACTAGTCTTCTGCTATGATGGCAACCAGCGGCCTGATGTCAAACGAGGGCATAAGGTATCTTCTAGGGAACACTGGATGGTCAAGCCGACTCAACGCATCTTGGATGTCTTCAATACTGCAATGGATTATGGTGTGTCTTCTTTACCTTCGTTCATCCTCATCATTCAACCCTGGTATGTAGGCTGCAGGAGAAGCTGAGGCTCAACTTTGCATTGATGAATAGGGCCGGTGTCATTGATGCTGTACTGACAGACGACAGTGATACCTTCGTATTTGGTGCGAAGACTGTCCTTCGAAAGTAAGTTTTCACTCAGGTTTAGATATCTGTTCCTTATGCTCCTGCCTTAGCTCAACACTTTCGATGGACACGATCAAGATGTATACTGCCGGCGCCATTCAGGAACGAATTGACCGTTGTCTCACTGGTGATGCTTTCATTACCATGGCCATCTGCTGCTGCGGTGATTATGATAAGGTAAGCCTCGAACACATCATGCGGATACTGATTTTTGTTAACTTTCTTCTTCAGAGTGGTCTTCTGGGCTGCAGGTGCGAGACAGCACTTGGTTTGGTCCGCTGCATGGACAACAGTATGTTGCGTAGTGCCATATGCAGCAACAACCAAGGCTGGAGTCTCAAAGAGTGGCGAAACATTGCTCAATGTCACCTTTTGAGTGATCCCACTGGGAAGATGGGCCGATCGCATCCAGCGCTTGCTCGCTCGCTCCCTGAATCATTCCCCAGTGCGGACACCATCAATTCGTATGCGCACCCTGCAGTCACCTCACTCGCCGAGGTACCCAAACTGCAGCTGCCAGCCCCTCCTGACCTTGCCCAGCTTGCATGTGTGATCCAGCAGTTCCTAGGCTGGGACTCGAAGAAGCTTCTTAGTGCCTTCCACACCACTATCTGGCCCGTTGTCATCCTACATGAACTCCTGGAGGATCTTGCCAACAATTCACCCAGGAGCAATGAGGTACGTGATTGCTTTATATTCTAAACATGCTGATGGACATGTAGTCTAGTTCAGCCTTGCCTCAGGCTGCACCAGGGCAGTGTTTCTGAACCGCACATCACACTCAAAGAAGACACTTGCAGGGATTTCCGGGCACAATACTGACGTGCCCATTGATGGGCTTGAGAAGGCCACAATGCAGTTGCTCGAGGAGCCAGCCCCAGGCCATCGGGATGATATCACACCATCGCATAAGTACGTTTGAGTATGGCTTGCTGACAGAATCTATGACTGCTGGGCGAAGACAATGTTCCTATCATCGTCAGGTGATCTCCGCACGGAGGTACGTCGCTCAGCCATATTGTCATTGTTCTTGCTGATGTACAGATAGAGCCGCCCCTCATCAATGACTCATACTGTCCATCAGTTGTCTGCACATCCTGTCTCTGATTTTGATTCTGATTCTCCCGCCTCCTCTTCTATGAGCGTTATTGACCTTACAGAAGATGCAGTGGCGTTTGCTGGTGGCACTATCATTGATCTTACAGGTGATGATGATAGTGAATTGATTGATCTCACTCTTTGATGTATGTTTGGGTACTGTACTTGTATCTCGTCGCATTTGAATAAATAACAGTTTTATTGCAAGTACTATGTTATGACAGGAAGTCAAAAGTCTACTGTTTTGTTCTTAAGCGGATGAACAGCACTGCCCACACTGCCGGCACTTGATAGTTGGCTGCTGGTTGGGGTTGAAAAAGTGCTCTCTTGGCTCGGCAGGGTCGTCATTTGAAGAGATAAGGTACTTTACTATTGTCATGTTCGTGAATTCAGTGCTCCACCCACCCCACTCACAAATCCGTCTCAGGTGCCAGCGCCTCTCTACATGCAGATATTGACAGCCTCCCCGACGAAACGAGTGCGTGCCATAGGGGGCAGGGTCGATACCTATGTCAAGGAGATTGTTCCGGAAGAGCTCCAAGAACTGTTCCAAAGACTAGATGGTCATATTTAGCTATTTCGATCGACGTACACAGTAATAACGTACCATAGGGCTGTTTGCCTCTGCTATGCGGTCGCCAGATGCCACTTTTCAGAAAAGATAGCCTGATGTCAACTTAGACTCTCGCAGCCAGGCAGCAAGTGCACGTGCAGGACAGATATGAGCTTCGTCCGACGGGAGGACCCAGAGGTGAAAGGGCTTGATATCTAAAATTACGTATCTTAATTGTAGTCCTGCGAGCTCAATATAGATTGAATACATACCTCCATTTTGGTGGGTCTTCCGGAAGGGAAGGTATAGCACAACCCGATCTTGCTCCACATGAAGATCATGAACCTGTATTTTGAGAACCTCATCAAATCACAACATGCACAAGAACACCACCGTATATGCAGCCGGCAGAAGTCTTCGGACACGTCCACCGCCCCAGTGGTCTAAGTTTTTGGTACCAGTAGTTCCCGAGCCTCCTGCAGATTTTCACCCACCAGGTTGATATGCCTGGATAGTCCAGTTCCGAGGAAGGTGGTTGTGATTGTGAAGTTTAAACAATATTTTCCTGCAAACGTTTGAAGGTTCTTCGAAGCAAAAAATTGAGAATTAATGTGACTCACCGATGTTATAGCACGAGCGCTGTTGGCAACCTCGCTGGCTTGGATCTAGGGTATTGGATGATCAGCCGTCAAATCAGTCAAAATAATCAAAGTGCTATATACCTTGCGCCTCCGCAGTGAACACATGAAAGATGACCCTCAAACTGAGATTGAAGGATTGCCAACCATGGTTGCCATCTCCAGCATCGGACTCATGCACATGCATGTTTCCGAGACCGTGGAGCTTACCAAAGGCATAGGTCATCGATGCTCGCATCTCTTCTGAGCATGTCCATATGTCCCCCGGTCTTTGGTGGATGGTTTTGGGCTGCCATCAAGATTAAGAGAGTCGCAACTTCCAGCATCGTGTCAAGTGTTTGTTAATTCAATTGAGTGGGACTCGGACTCCACGCATTCATAATCCAAAGCAATGATGACCCAAGGAGCATTTGGTTGTGGTTTCTTGTGAAGAACTCCTCATCTGTCCGTAAAAGCCTCATCTCAACGGCAAACACGAGACATGAATTTATCAACCTGTCAAAGTGGAACAATCAAAGTCATGATGCAACTGTTAGGACTAATGACTCACCTCTGATATTCAATGTCTGTACCCTCTGTAACCCCCTTAGAAGCCTCCATGAGAGTCGCTTGAAGTTTAGTAAACTCAGAAGCATCCATTGACATATTCGTTGTCGGGGCACTTTGTTCTTTCTCGCTGCTGGGGTTAATTAAGGTTTCTTGTTCTGCTGCAACGTCCTCTTCGATATTGGCATTCTCAAGGTCAGCGGCAAGTGGAATCACCGCTGTGCAGACCAGCAAAGCACTGCATGGGGTCAATCACTGTAGTGGCCATGATTCAACAGAAAACTTTGCAGACTCTTACTGTGCTTGGGACTCGGACCAATCGTTAATTGGCAATTGCGGGTGCTAATACTTGTATTACCGGCAAGCATAAACTTGTGTACCTAACAGAAGATACAGGTCCTATCTACAGCACTTAGTCAACTCAAAGTACCTTTTCACGATAGCAGATGGCCTTGTCATGACATACTCTCCACCTCCCCTCCGGTAAGTAAAATCAGTATCAAATGTGGCGCCAAACTCTCTGCGCACCTGTTCCACAATGCGGGACTGAGTCGACTTGCGTACATCATGCAGCTTGTCGACGATGGCACTATACTTCATGTGCTCTCCTTTAGCACTGAAGGTAGCCCAGAACTGCTCTGGGCTGCCTTGACGGTAACACTCGATAATGTCCTGGGCACCAAGGAAGGTCAGTCGGATGCAGCCGAGCATTACAGGGTTGTACTCACCCGCCAATCAGACCATTTCTTCTTCGGGCCCTTCCACTGCTTGTCTTTGCCATAGCGGTAGAGTACCGGCCAATATTTAACTGCAATTGGATGGCCGCGGATGACAATAACAGACAGACCTTTCCAGTACTCACTATGGTCATCCCACATGCTATTTAGGTGTGCAATATCGTGTGCGAAGCTGATGGCAGGGGGATCAGGAATCTCACTGTCGTCCACTTGTAGGATGGTTCCATCTCCAAGGTGGAGTAGACGGGGGTTTCCTATGGCCGGCGGCGGAGATGCACTAGGTGCGCGGCTTTCCACTGCAATGGTCTCGACACCAGAGTGAGTAAAACCTTCGGCACCTAGCGCAGGTGGTGACCAGACAGCACTGGGTTCATGGAGGGCATCTTGAACAAGGCTGACGATCCTTGAGCTCACGTTTTGGACAATGGTGTCCTGCAACTGTCATCGATTAGCTCAGGGGATAAAGTGTGATAAGAAGTGACCCTCATCAATGTAGGCAGGATAGGGTGCATTCATCACTTATAGCAAGCGGGCAGATATACTGGGCTCAGCACCAGTCGCCCGTCTGGTACCGGATACTTCGTGCCAATCATCTCAGCCTGTCAAGGCTTTCAACAAGGATCAATTAAAAGAACCAAGGAACAGAATAGCTCACCCACGGCAACAGAGCAGCGACCTCCAGTTGAGGGTGCGTCGTTGTCCCTTGATCGTCAGTGACAGTTGCAGCAGTGGCAGCACCAACCAACTGCGCACGGCGCTGCATCTGCTTGGTGCGGCCTGCCCTGCCCTAGGTATATCTGTGGGTTTGTGTGTTCCGAGGTCCCTTGTGGGACTTGTGGGCACCTGGACGTTAGCCTTAAGTCACAGGGGTCAACTCCTGGTGAACGCCTACTCCAAAAAAAATTACTCGCACACCTGTCCCATGAGTCAGGATCACGACTGAATACTTCTAACTGCTCAATCAACATGGCCTTGTTGCCCGTCTGGCGGAGGTCGAACTCATTGCAGTGCTGCTTCAGCACTTTTACAGTCATATTGTAGCTATGGTACCAATGTCAGCATCATCAGAGAGGAAGCGTGTCAACTTACATGGGGATACTGTACTGAAGGTTCTCCTTCGCGCCTGAATCGTCGGGGGAAGGGAAGCAACTGCTCAGACAGAGTTTCACTGACCATACTTAGGTCATGCGCACTAGCATCAACGCTCCAGAATGCCGTGTCACCATCCGAGACGGGATACAGTCCAGCCACATTCATTTGCACGAAGCTCAAAATGCTGTCGTCATTGTCGTCGTCAAGGCAGAGGCAGGTCTGCAGAAAGTGAGGAGAATCTTCCGTTTCCACAATGGATATGTTGCTATAAGAACAATGAAAGTCGAGACACTCAGAATAATGGCAAAAGTGCTGGCCTCGTTGAGTTTGTTTGATGGTGCTAGAGGGGCGACAGTTGGCTCTGCCTGACGCCCGAGCTGGAATCGTGTTCGGAGCCGACTGACGAGTGAATGGGCTGAAGGGTGATGGCTGTGGGGGCTTGCCTGTACCGGGGACGATAGCTAGAGAGGTAAGGACGCACGCCCAATGCTCAGCATGAGGCAGCAGCCGATCTGGGGGACGGGCAAGTCAGCAATGCGAACGGTATGGTATCAGTACCAGTATAGTGCAAGAAAGTGACAAGAGAAAGGGACCGTCTTCGCTAGGTCAGCGTGCCTTGTGACGGCGTTTGCCGAAGTGTCACGCCCACCAACGGACGGTGTTCTGTGCGAGTCTGAGCGAGAAGATTGTTTGTCGGTATTTGGCTCGCTTAACTCTAAGCTCGACGTTCGCGACATCCTCCGCGTAATTCAACTCTACCCCTGTCCACTGGAAATCACACCAAAAACAAACAGAAACGCGATGGCACTGATCGGCACGATTGCTGGTTTCTCATTATTCGGTCTTGCAGCGCGTTTTGGGCAGCTGGCAATAAAGAAGAGAATCTCATGGAGATGTGCGTGCCCTCATTCACTACAACATTCACTGTGCCGCAGGTATAACACTGATACTGACGTCTTGAGCAGACCTTGGCGGACACGCATTGTCAATGGCGTTTTTGGTTATGCTGGATATTGGGCATATCAGTGGGACGAACGTGCGGCGGTTATGCTTGCGCAGAAGCGTGCGGAGATTACTGAACGGAGAGAACGGAAGTTGGCGCAAGCTCAGTAATTTATTTAGATTTTGTGGTGCGGAGGTGAGTTCGTGATTCTGATTGATTTTTTCATTATGATGACAGACTGAATATTTTGGCTTGAAGGTTGATCACGCGTAGGGTACGAAGGATACCAACCACTTTAATGGAGTGTACTGTGTATATTAGGTATCTTTCGACGCCGCACTGACGTTGAACCTTGTGGTCATTGAGCAATACCATTCCTCCACGTCGAACCTCATGTTTGTCCTATGCCAACTTTATGCCACAAAATACTTGGAAACAAGCTTTGGTGCCAGCGCCTGGTGATGAAACTACTAGTAGAGACCAATGGAGTAATTGTATGTGTTCACACTGTCCCTCCTTTGGTCCCTACTATGTGCTTGGGTATCCATATACTTCCATTCCTTCCGTTTAACTTGAGCAGTGACGTGACTTGGGGCGTTGTGATATTGGATTCTGAGAGCTGCGGGTGTTCTATCAGCGACACCCTAAGTTAGATCTGATGATTTTGACAAGGGTTCCAGAAGGAAGAAACCAAAATAGATATTACTGCGGTGGTAGAACGAAAGCGTAAGTAAGTGCGTAGTCATCATACATTCGAGGTCCGCTAGTCCTGGAAAGAGGCAAGGATTGACCTCCAACGACGACAGCAGTCACTGTCCCAGAACTCCCGCTGAAGCTATGTCCTTACTAGATTTGAGCAGCGTGTTTTCTCTTGCGCTAAATCCCCTACTGTTATTTGAATGCCGATATCTGGCTGCGGATAGGATTCGCTGTATAGAAGGGCGGTGGTACAAGTGCCGCCGGTTTTGCTGTACGTATGAGATGTCTTCTTGATTTCATCGCTTTGGATGATTTGCTTCGGTCGGAGTTAGTAATAATCTCTGATTATGTAATTTATGCCTCATGGTCACTGTTTCTCCCCGGACGACGACGACAAGAACATTGTCGGTGCCATTCGACGCGTTCCCTATGCCAGTCACTCATTTGATTGTCTGCTCAAGTTTCACCACTCGCTCTCATCATCCCACGTCCAAATATTCCCAGACCGCGTCTTCCAACAAGTTTCTTTCGTTTCTTCTGCTCCACGAACTCCTTCTCGTAGCCCAGTCGCGTCTCATATTTTCATTTCGCCCCCAGCTCCCAATAGGAACAGTTGTGATTCATGGAATAGCTCAAACTATGATTTTGACGACCCTAACTTAGACTGGAAGGAAGATGAAGTTAGGTTACTTGGCAGGGTGGGTCGAATTTCGGGTTTCGTCAAATAATTCACCTAAAATTCGCCACAGACCTTGGATGCTCTACCTTCTCATCTTATCACACCTTTCAACGGCTCAATTCCGCCTCCGAACCTTCTTGACAAGATTGCACGTGGTATCACTGCTGCCAAAGGCCCAAATGACTGGCCCCATTCCGTCACCGCGACGCGTGCTAAATTGCTCGACCTGGCCCGCGCAAGAGCAATGGAGGAGCGGAGAAAGTCCATCATTGATGAGGACGTCATCTTTCTCAGCGGCAATGTACATCGTCCAGCAGATATGAGCAAATGTGCTGAGCGCAACGATACTTCACCAGACGTACTTCAACCTACCACAAACACTCCTAAGCGCCACCCACTATACAGGCAGTCCAGTATGGATTTCATGACTGACGCAAAAGCTGACCATAACGAGAGCATCGCTCGGTATGTCTTTCCCTCCGTTCTATCCCCTTATCTGATTATACGCAGCCTCTCGCACCGTCTCCAACGACACGAGCACACTTTCCACCACCCGTACTTACGTCCTGCTCACTTGCGTCGCCCAATGGAACATTCCTTTACTCCCTCGACACCCAGCTCATCAACGCTCAATGCCTCCCAGAGCAATATACGAAAGTCCACTGCGTCTTCAAATTCAAATTCTACCTTTGGCACTCCCATTTCCTCATCGGCGCCTCTCCGTCCTTCCTCCCTGCGCAGATCGTCCACGTTGACCCTCGCGAGCTCTTGCGATATGCGCGTAGATCCGGAAGGTGATGGCGAGAATCTATTCAAGACTGCCGAATTTCGCCGTAGCGGAGGGTATCCTGACGCAGCTATCGTTGGTGTAAAGGTAAAGAAAGTCCCTACGCAGCCTACTAGTCCAAGGACACCGTCAACAAAGAATGCTAAGACGTCCTATTCAAAAACAAAACCTAAAGTCCTCGCTCTATCCGTAATCTCCCCGCCAAAGACACCTCCATCCAAACCTCGAGTGCTACCCACTACCTCAATCAAAGCAGCCACGCCCATCAAGCAGCCTAAATTTCGCAAGGGACACATGCCTTCCCTATCCATCTCCTCCGACGAAGAGGAGACAGCACGTTCTCAACGTGCGAAGAAGCCCCGTACGAGTGAACCTTCGTGGTCGCTAATCGCCTCCTCAGACACACATGCACGACAGACCCTGCCAGTTTTGGCACCAACGCAAATTACTACTACATCGTCTGTGCACAAGGATCAGGCTAAAAAACGCGAATCTGGGCGAAGTGCTTTTTCACTGCCCAAAGCTTCCTCTAGCTCGTCGGAGAACGACAACGAATTTTCGACGGCGAGTGTGGAGACTGCTGCAACAACCGTTTCGCTCTCTACACCTGCCTTGCCAGTGTCTATGCCAAAGGCAAAACCCAAGCCAAAGGAGACGGTGGAACCGAAGGCAACGACGAAGCTAAAGCCCATCCGCCGCAACCTGATGCGCAACCCCTCGATGTTTGGTCCTGAACTCCCGTGTCCACAGGCAACTCCATCGCCTCCGTCGCGTATCCCGCTGTCATCTCCTATCGGATCTCCTGTTGCAGTATCCCGTGCGTCTCCCGTGACTGCATCTCCGAGTACGCCTTCGATGTCCCCAAGAACACCTGCTACACCTCTGCTCGCTACCCAGACACGTCCACGCACGCTTCGCCGTGCTGCTCGTAGGATCTCGTTTGGGAGCCTGAGAGCTGCGAGTCCTGTTTTGTCTGGCGAGAGTGGGGTGGTCACGCTTGGGAGTGCGTTTCAGCTTGCTTGATTTCACTTTCAATGGTCTAGTGTGAGCGGTGCTCACAGACATTCATCTTATCTTATCTTCGATGCTTCAATTATGATTTTTTCGTCTCCTCCGTCTTCATCTCTGTATATCTTGGATTTCGATGTACTTGTATGTCTTTGACGATCGTTCTCACTACTTCATTTGATGAATTCTTTTGCTTTCTTTCTTTTCCCTAGTTCTCTCTTCACGTCTTTTTTTTCGGCGTTCGCAGGTTGCAATCTTCTCTTGCTGTTGCCTTTTTGAAAACTGATCTGGTTTTGGTACTTGTGTGCGAATCTTTTTTCTGTTCATCTTGTTCGCCTTCAGCCCATACTCTGACGTCCCTCCTATCTCTTCCGCCTTCTCGTCCCCGCCCAATCCCTTCGCTCCTGACCTGTCTTTTTCGTTTTCCAATCGTCAAAGGTATGTCTCGCATGTCTCTCACCTCGAATCTGCTAATAATCCATATTTCGTTAGGACGCCCACACACTCACTCGTTCGCTTGTTCGCCATTGTGCGTGATAATGCACCCTCCTTTGTTCTCCGCTTTAAGCGACCACTGTCATTCTCGCTCTGCCGTGAAACGCGCAGTTCACACTCCCTGTCTTTCGGTTTCTTGATCTCTCCAATATCAATCTCTCGTCTGCTTGGGACGGGTTTTTTCATGGATGGATGAAACTCTTCCTTCAATGAATGGAAGGTTCATATTCATTTCTCCCTCTCTGGCTATTCGCTCCTCAAGCTCGTCGACGAGCTTGATCATCTATTCATCAGTGCATCCATCCCATTCCGCCATTACGTTTGAACCACCAAATTGGATCATCACACATTCATTAACTTCGCATTCATGCTGTACCATCATGGCCATTTCATCATCGCTTTCGTTCCTACTGCCTCCGCTCCTGTCTACATCATTTGATCGTTCTTTCTTTGTACGACAAGCCCCTCCTCTTTTGTACAAACCGCCCCTCTATCCCCTTCTTTGTACAACTCAATTTCTTTGTACGACTGCCTTCGTCCCTACACACGTAGATCGTGTTTTATGACAAGGAATTATATACGACGCATGTATGTACTTTTGGTCGCATTTGTACTAATCAGCGTGTACAGGATTCTTGCTCGTGCCGTAAATAATTACAAAGAATGTCTGCAACGAGGATCGGCTTGCCAAGGCGCCGTTCAATCCTGTGCTAGATCAATGATCTGAATGGTGTCATTGATGGGCTGAGATCGAACTCATCGCTCAACTATACCCAAAGAATACTTCGAAGACGGCACTGCGATGGCACGCCGCTGAAATTGCGAACAGGTTTCCGATCCTCATGCACATGGCTTGCTCATGGCGGCGTTTCAAACATTTTGCAAGTCACCACATTGCATGATTGCATCCACATCTGCTACTTCCGAATCGATCTTATCGATATATTCCCGGATGCACCGTCCTTTTGTACCTGAATTCATGCTGAAACCACTTACGATAAACCAGATATCATTTCTCTCACTTACTAAGGTTAAGCGCTGGATGGTGTGGTATATCAAGCACGAATGCGATCGTTTTACGTCCACCAAGCTTCCCCGCTCGCTCGCTCCCATCCTCTGACAGTATGACTGTAGTCTCGAACGATCCAAGTTACTGGCCAACCATCGATTCGACAATTTTTTACAGCTATTTCGTAGGTCCGTGGAGAGCCAGCCACATGATGACCGTGATGACTCGATTGACATTGGCTGCCCGGGCTTCACAGTTACAATCATGTGCTGCGGTAATATACGATTGGGGTGAGCAATATCGAGTATGAAAAGACCGCTGATATCATGGGATTTCTAGGACTTACGTTCGGACAAGAGGTAGGTCGACACCATCACAGGAGCAGTCGTCTCGCTGACAACAGTTTATAGGTGGAGCTGATCTGGGTGAGCGAACTTTCAGATGAAAAAAAGATATAAAAATGGTAGCTAACTCCGCGGCAGAGGCAACGGTGGTCCATGATGACCGTTTTGTATCTCATTGTATGTAGATTGTGTTTTGAAGCGTGGTTGGCGAGTTGTACTGAAGGGAACACATCCTAGGCACGATATATTGCAATAGCATTCTCTGTGTACGTTTTGACGTTCAAACCATTGGTATTGTGCTCATTATCCGTCTTTCACAACCAGGATCAACATGTTGAGTATGTTTTCCTTGTATAGACCCTATTTCTTTCTTCTGACGGGCGGCATACAGTCAGTCTTCCAACGGTTTCGAAGACCGGTACAGTGAGTAGTATTCCGCACCGATGCCTTCCCGTCCAAACAACTGAACTACCATGCAGGGGTGAGTGAGATTCTCGAATGACTCGTAACTTCAATATAACGACTCCCACAGTTGTGAGTTTCTTGCGAGCTTGTGGTCTTCTGAAGCTAACAACTAATGTTGCTGGATTCGTCAGGCCTTATTATGATTGACGCAATTAATTGGATGAGTGACTTCATACATATAATACTCGGTGGTGAGCTATACACTTCCATGATATTAACTTGATTGAAACATCATGCAAGTCATTGCGATCGCTCGGCTGCATGCCATGTATCAGGGATCCAGAAAGATGCTGACATTTCTTATTGTTATCTTTCTGGCCATCAGAATCCCTGTCGAAGTGATGAGCGCAATGATGACGGCGCAGATTTCAGGGGGTAAGCTCTAATGTTTGTGTGATATGCTTAAGTGCATCAGGCTCACTGACATGTACCAGAGGAATACATCCTTTCCGGCATCTATAGGTGCAGAATTAGCTATCCGGACAATTCTATATTCCTGGGTTCTATGACTTGGATACTTGGCACTGTGTGGGAGGTCCTTTCACTGTGTCTCGCGGTCTGGATTGCTGTGAAGCACTTCCGTGAACTACGAAGACGCTCAAACGGGAGGCATTATGGGGCACTGTTTTACGGTGTTAATGCAAACTCACGTTACTTACTTTGCAAGGTGAGCTCACAACGTAAACTTGGTTTTCCTGTTCCGCTGAAGTTTGGCGCGCGCACTAGTTTTTGGCTGTCCTCTTCCCTGCAGATCAGTTTTTTCTCTCCGACATTCATAGCGGTATGCCGATCTGTCACCACCCTCTACGTGCGACAATGATTCATCATTTCTATAGCACGAAGATTCCCAGGGCATTCAGATTTATATCTGTCTGATTCAAATCTTCCAGATGGCGCAGCTGTCCTGTGCTGGGACCACGTCTTATCCTTGGCGTTCGAGAATACAACGCTAAGCTCGTGGACGCCTCCGATACAGCAACCGATATGACTTCAATTGCTTTCCAAGAACGTGTTTTATGTGGAAACTAGCACTACCGTGTAGTTCGGAAGATGCTCGATGTGATTTACGACTGGTAGGCTGTCTGATACAGAGCGGTTTTTGTATTTAGTTTTGTCGCGGAACTTACTTAAGTTATTTAATGTTACAAGATATATTCGAAAGAGATATCAATATTAATGTTCCTACCACTTGCAATTGCATAATCCCCACGGCCCTCCGGGCAGCCCAGGACCCTTCGTATCATTTCACAACAAAGAAAAAAAAGAAAACAAAAATGCACGATCACAGTTTTTCCATTGGTATAAACCTAGCTGAGATCTTTGTCGATGTTCCACGTACGGTATTAGGAGAGCAAGGATATAAAGTGATTCGCTTGGATGACATTGCGGGGATCACTGAGTCTTAGTAAGTGTCTCTAGCAAGGTCAGATGTTTAGACTGATCGATGAAACTGGGCTGCGGACACAATCGCGTCAGGGGAAAGATATATTAGGAAACCAGCAACGGTCAGTTGACGAGCTCCGGTAGAGGTTAACAATCTTTGTTCTACAGATACTTGGCAGGGTCATGATCTGCTATTTGCCATTGTTATACCTGTACCCTTAAAATCAATCATATGACGACTTTACTTACTCGAAGACAGTCGTTCCATTTCAGTGTAGTGATATTTATTCTCTAGTCACTGCTCAATATACTATCCCTCAACATCAGATTAGGCTACAAACTTGGCAGCTGTCTTGTTTTGGGCGATGACCCAAGCCATATTTTTCACCCTTGGCAGAACTAGTGTTGTTCCTGTTGCAATGTCTGTCACGAGGTTGACTTGGGCGCCCAGTGCCGTTGCCAGTGAGTCAAACCTGCGTTAGATCAATAGTCTAAATGGTATCAAAAATGCGCCGACTACTAAACCCCACATCCAACTATACCTAAAGAGCACTTTAGCAGTGTAAGTGCTGGATGATGGTATATCAAGCACAACTGCAATTGCTATCCACCAACTTGAAGTTCCCCTGCTCGCTTACTCTCATCCTTTCTATGATAGTATGACTGTAATCTCAAATGATCCAAGTTGGTGGCCAACCATCAATGCGTATCTTATTTCCAGCTATTTCATAGGTTTGTTCAAAGCCAGCCCCAGTACTATGATGACCGTGATGGCTCAATTAACCCTGGCTGCGATTTTGCAGTTGCCGCCTGTGTTGTGGTAATGTACGATTGGGGTGAGCGATATTAAGCGTGCAAAGACCATTGATACCAGGATGGTACTGTATTTCTAGGACTTACGTTCGGACAAGAGGTAGGTTGACACCCAGGCCATTACAGCAGTAGTTATCTCGCTGACAACAGTTTCATAGGTGGAACTGGTCTGGGTGAGCGGATTCCTACATCAAAAGAATGATGCGCCGGCGAATATACTAATTTGCGACAGAGGCAACGCTGGTCTATGATGACAGTTCTGTATCTCATTGTATGTCGCTTGCATTTTCAACCAAGCGTGGTTAGCAAGCTGTACTGACCCGAACATATCATACTAGGCACGATATGTTGCAATAGAATTCTCTGTGTACGTTTTGAGGTTCAAGCCATTGGCTTTCCGCTCATTGCCCGTCTTTCACAATCAGGATTAATATGTTGAGTATGTCTCCTCGCATCAATTTCGTTTCTTTCATATGATGGGCAGCATACAGGCAGTATTCCAACAATTGTGATAACAGATGCAGTGAGTATTCCACACCGATGCATTGCATTCCTGTCCAGACAACTCAACTACCATGTAGGGGTGAGAGAAATTCTTAAACAACTCGTTGATTCAATACTATAACGAATCCCACAGTTGTGAGTTTGTTGCGAGCCTGTGGTTCCACAACGCTGATAATTAATGCTGCTGGATTTATCAGGCCTTATCATCGACGACGCACTTAATTGGATGAGTGACGTTGTAGAAATAATACTGGGCAGTGAGCTATACACCTCCGTGATATTGACTTGATTGAAACATCACTGCAAGTCATCATCATCGTTCGATTGCATGCCATGTATCAGCAATCCAGAAAGGTGTTGATATTTCTCGTTGTCATCTTTCTGGCCATCAGAATCGCCAACGTGGTGATGGTAGCAATAATAACGATGCACATCTCAGCGGGTAAGCTTTAGTTATGTATGAGATCTTGAAGTGCATCAAACTCACTGACAAGTACTAGAGGAATACGTTTTATCTGGCACTTACGAGTGCAAGATTAGCTATACGGGAGATTCCGTATTTCTGGGTTTCATGACTTGGATACTTGATACCATATGGGAGGTCCTTGCCCTGTGTCTCGCGATCTGGATTGCTGTGAAGCACTTCCGTGAACTGCGAAGACACTCAGCGGGAGGAATTATCGGGGACTGTTTCACGGTGTTAATGCAAACTCACATTGGTTACTTTGCAAGGTGAGCCCATAATTTGAATGTGGTTCGTTCTCTTATTCTGCTGAAATTTTGCACGCGCTAGTTTTGTAGCTGTCTCTTGCTTTCAACTCATTTTATTCTCTCCGACTGTCGCAGCGGTATGCCAATCTGTCGCTGACCTCTATGTGCCCATGATTCATCAATTTTCTACTATAGGACGCATTCTCCCTGGACACTCAAATTTACATCGGTTTCTCTCAAATCTTCGACATAATGCAGCTATCTGTGCTGGGACCACGCCTCATCCTTAGCGTTCGAGAATATCATGCGAAACTCGTGGCGGACTCCGATACAGCAACTGCTATGAGTTCAATGGCTTTCCAAGAACACGTTCATATGGAAACTAGCAGTGACGTGTAGTACGAGAGATGCTCGATGTGATTTTCAATCTTCGGAGAGCCTGTAGGGAGTGGTGTTCGTTTTTATCTATTCCAAGTTTTGTCGTGCTGCTTGATTAAGTTACTTGACGTTGCAAAATGTATCTGAAAAGATATAGCTCTGGACAATGTTCCTACTAGTGCTCCATTAACCGTGTTCGAATTAGGATGACGAGAGTGAATAGGAAGATACTAGCGAGCACAGACAGTCCGACTCGAAGCTAATAATTTTCAACTGTCATTAGAACGAAATGGATGGTGCGGGGTGAGCAACAAACAAACTAGCAAGAATGATTGGAAAAATTTGCTCGAATTCTCGAGGTCAAAGGACTCGCACAAATACACTCGGTCGTTGCTGGTGTGAGCGTATACTTACATATCACTGAGTGCATGAATAAACCTTGCTCACGTTCAAGGAGATATGCCTACACAGTGCAGTATTTATTTGGAAAGTTCGTTCCACGTTCGTAAATACATACTGAGTGTCAGCAGCATCATTTCTTGTTGTGGTACCAAGTCAGCGAGCGCTTCGGAGAGATGGTAGAGAGATGCTCGGGGTAACCCTGCGAAATGAATGCAAGAACGTTGTACTATAGAGATGTGCTGAGTCAGATTGTGAGCATCCTTGTGAATGTCGCATTGAAAACTCGACGTTAGGTTGATGAGAGCGATGACACGGTCAGGATGGCCAGTCGGACACTGATATGAAGAAAGTGTAAGTTCTCTACGGCATTGATCAGGTCAGAAATACTCTTACCTGTTTGGTGTTGACTATTCCTACTACATATAAGAATGGACTACAGAGTTAAGAGAAACTGAAGGCATGTAGGCTAGCATTGTTTACATCAAGCAACGCACCGTCCTGGGTTATGAGGTCGTACAGAGTTAGTTAAGCTCGACAGGTTGTGTGCATTGAAATAAATGACGAGGAAAGTTGAGGATATGCTGAGTGCGGCGAAATGAGTTGGTAGGTAAAACGCCTCTTAGTCCCACACTAAGTGGCACCCCGAATCAGGACCCCAGACACCACACCAGGACATCGTGCCCAACGGTGCCTACGTCGCCCAACGGCGTCACCAATCGAACCTATTTCTCCTCAAAACCCCTCAAAAAACCCAAAAAACAACTTCTGGATACTAACTTTTTAGCATATGGCGCCCAGTAAAGCGCCAGAGAAAAAGGGCCAACCGGCTACCTTAACTAATACAACCATTCACAACACCACTACCCCAAGGAATCAGATGTCGCAAGAGGATATCGAGGCATTACCAGGAGCTGTGACAGGTCTGGAATTGGCAGAGAAGTATCTAACTAGGGTCCTCCTTGGCCAGGCTGACGAACCCCTCTCCCCACTTCATCTGGCGGGAGTCCTTTTTCAAGTCACCCAAATGGCCAAACCTATCCCGCTCGCCGTCACCAATGCCATCCGGGCTGTGGCTTTCATTCTCAAACAGCACGCTGCCTCAGAAATTGCAGAAGTGGTCGCAAAAATCACAGCCGAACAACTCGCGGATTCTCTTTCGGCCAACATCGTCAATAACGTCATAGCAGCAATTGCCCCCCAAGTAGCGTCCATACACACCACCGCAGAGGCCCTAAAGACAACATTTGACCACTCGAAGCAACTTCACGACACCATGGAACGGGAGAAAGAGGAAGAAAGGAATGATCTCAAAACAGCAGCTGAACGCATCGAGGACGCAGTGGACACTCTCTATGAGTCCATTGAGGACTGTAACAACTCCTACAAGCTTCTCACACCATCCCTCGAATTCACCCAGGACCATCTCAACAACCTCGCGACTCAACTATCCCAGCCCCTTCCCACTATCATGCAGCCAACAGCACCCATCCCAGCCCTCCCCACCTACAGTTCAGTAGCGGCTGCCAATATTCCCCCCTCCATCGACCAAGCAGTAGCTAGAGCGTCCATTCGCGCCAAACAAATCCTGCTCGACCCAACATCAGGACACTCCCTCTTCCCCGCAGACACCACCAATGCCTTTATCGCCAAACGACTTTCCGACATCCTCCTTGACATTCGCAGCGAGGGAACTCCCACAGGAACAGTCCGTGCAGTTCAGCGTCTCCGCAATGGAGGCCTGATAGTGGAACTCGACAATGAGAACTTGGCGGGCTGGCTTAAGGGCCCTACAGGCCGTATACTGCTCGAATCCCACTTAGACTCGACAGCATGCATTCGGGACAGGACCTTCTCCATCGTGATACAATTTCTGCTGATCACTTACGAGATCGAACGTGACGACTTCCCTCGTCACATTGAAGCTGAGAACCATCTCCCTCCCAACTCGATAGCATCCATCCGATGGATTAAGCCTCCCCAGCGTCGCACAAGAGAGCAACGCACTGCCTTCGCACTCCTTCAGGTCAAGGATGTTGAAACTGCTAACAACATCCTCAAGGAGGGCATCTGTATTGATGCCCATCGTTATGCCGTCAACAAGGACCATAAGGAACCCCTCCGTTGCGCCAAATGCCAAAAGTTCGGACACATGGCTCGCAACTGCTCCTCCCCCCACGATATCTGCGGCACCTGCAGCGGCCGTCATAGGACCGCACAATGCAACGCGTTCCGAACTGAATGCTGCGTGAGTTGCAAGAGCCAAAGTCACCACCAGTTGGAGTCGCAAATGTCTGGAGTTCATCCGTCGCTGCAAAACTCTGGATGAACAATATCCAGAGAACAAACTCCCCTTCTTCCCTACCAGCTCCTCCTGGCTCCTGTCCACTACCCCTCCTAGGCCATCAAACACACCACCCTCTCGCTCTGTATCCCCCCGCAATGCGAAATCCAGCTCCCCACCACCCGCAGATGATACAATCCAGCCCTTGCCCAACCTGCAAACCACTCTCCCCTTCAAACACGTCAACCCTCCACAAATGCCTGAGCCCGCCTCGTCCTCCTCAATTATCTCGACCTCTCCGGTTACTCCAACTCCCATCACCACTCAGACACCATCAACCCCCTCAACGTCTTCGCCTCCTTCCGCCATCGCCTCCACATCACCATCCACCCCATCATCGGCATCATTGACATCCCCCTCTCCCTCTTTGACGTCTACCTATGCGACTCCTACCGCCAGCCCCAACTCTCCCCTCCTTGATGTCTGAACAACCTATCCCCACCCCGAATTGTCTTAATATATGGCAGCAGAACCTGAACACGTCACTAGCGGCTCAGGAATCACTAATGAACAGCCGGGATATCACTAACTACGACCTTTTAATTATTCAGGAACCATATATCAATTATCTTCGCAACACCCGCGCCAGCCACCGCTGGCATGTACTATACCCCACTAACCATCTCACACACCCACAGGAAAAATCACGTGCAATCACCTTTGTCAACACATCGCTCGACACAACACATGGCGGCAGATCCCGTTCCCATCATCTGATGTGGTAATTGTGCAAATGACCGGGGAATTCGGTGTATGCACCATTTTGAACATTTACAACGACTGTACCCACCAAAACACCCTAATTGCCCTGGAGGCCTTTCTTGGCCAGAATATTGCCCTACTCCGACCAAAGGCGGACAACCAAATGCTCTGGCTTGGCGATTTCAATCGCCACCACCCCATGTGGGAAGATATTCGTAATCGCCATCTATTTAATTATCGTTTCTCTCAACCCCTTATTGACCTGATCGCTGATTATGGTATGCTACAGTTACTTCCGTGCGGCATCCCCACCCTCCAAGCCAATGCCACTGGCAATTGGACTCGCCCTGACAACGTCCTCGGCACTGAAGGCACTCTCGATGCCGTCATCACCTGCAATACCGAGCCAGCAAAACGGGGCCCTAAAACGGATCACCTCCCTATTTTATTAACACTCAAACTTGCAGTCGCTCGTCAGGATGACGTCCCTCGTCCCAATTGGTGCGAGGTCGATTGGGAAGCATTTAGAGAAGCCCTCAGCGCCACGCTCGCATCCACCCCTCCACTACCGCTCGCCTCGGAGGCGGAATTCCAGCAAATGGCCAGAATCGTCACACGAGCCATCACGTCCACCGCTGAAGCCTGCGTCCCATTGGCCAAACCCTGCCCACACTCCAAGCGGTGGTGGACCCGTACCCTCTCCGACTTGCGCAAGCAAGTCGCGAAACTCAGTCGCAAGTCCCACCAGATGCGTGGCCTTCAAGACCATCCATGCCACCGGGAATACAAGGCCCTCAAAAACTGTTATGCTGATGAAATTGCCGCCACCAAGAAACAGCACTGGGAGGAGTGGTTAGAGGATATCGAGGGTAACGATCTTTGGACCGCTAACCGCTACGTTTCCGCTACCCCGAGCGATGGGGGGAAATCGCGCATACCCTCCCTTATCGCCAAGAGACCAGACAGCACCAATTTCGAGGCTACCACTAACGCCGAAAAGAGTGCTGTCATCGCCGAAGCCTTCTTCCCTCCTCCTCCTCTTACTGATTCAATCCCTACTGACTTCATTTACCCTGACCCCGTAGCCCCCCACTCTCCCATCTCACACGACCAGATAACTCGCGCCATCTCGAAACTCAGCGGGTATAAGGCCCCGGGGCCTGATGGCATCCGCAATATTGTATTCAAGAACTGTTCTGACATACTGACTCCATACCTAGTTCATCTTTTTAATGCCGTCTTCACTTACAACACATATTATGCCCCTTGGAAGACATTCACAACGGTTGTACTTCGGAAACCCAGCAAACCGAATTACACGGTCCCTAAAGCCTATCGTCCCATCGCCCTCCTTAACACCACATGCAAGCTCCTTACTGCCGTGGTTGCCGAACAGCTGACGTACTTATTAGAACACCATCACCTTCTGCCAAACACCCATTTCGGTGGCCGACCAGGAAGATCCACTACCGACTCTCTTCACCTTCTGGAACACACCATCAAAAATGCGTGGCGTTCTCATAAAGTTGCCTCGGTGCTATTCTTAGACATCGAGGGGGCCTTCCCGAATGCGGTCACCAAACGGCTGTTACACAACATGCGGAATCGACGCTTGCCCTCAGCATTGGTCGACTTCACGGAGCAGGTCCTCACGGACCGCAAGACGCAGCTACACTTCGACGGGTACACTTCAGACTGGATCGACATCAATAATGGTATAGGACAGGGCGATCCCCTTTCAATGATTTTATATATTATATATAGTGCTGATCTTGTAGACATCGCGAAACCCCGACATGGACGCGCGTCCCTTACCGAACTAACCCTTGCTTTTGTAGACGACACGGCCCTAGTAGCCATAGGTAAGGATTTCCACGAGACTCACTGCGTCCTCAAGGACATGCTCGAACGACGGAATGGGGCCTTCGACTGGTCACGAGACCACAACTCAAAATTCGAGACTAACAAATTCGCACTGATTGATTTCTCCATGAACAGACAAAGAGAGCGCCCTGTGTTGCATCTCCGAGGCGCCGTTATTTGTCCTTCTCCCACTCATCGTTTCTTAGGTGTCATTCTCGATCAGGAGTTAAGATGGAAAGCTCAGGTTGACAACGCGCTGGCCAAGGGATTAGCTTATGTTCTACAGCTTCGACGACTTTCCACCATGTCTAAAGGCATCCCACTTCGTCTCATGAGGCAGCTTTACCAAGCCACCGCCGTCCCCAAGATGCTATACGCGGCTGACCTTTGGTTTACACCAGCATATTGTGAAGGCACTAGCACCCTGCAGCGAGGATCCCTAGGAGTGGCCAAAAAACTCACCTCTATCCAGCGCATCGCTGCCATTGCCATGACCGGGGCTATGCGCAGCACTGCTACTGACGTGCTCGAAGTACATGCTAATCTCCTGCCGATGGCCCTATTGCTCCAGAACACGTGCCATCGGGCTATCATCCGAATGTCCGCACACCCTGATACTCATCCTCTCTACACTGCAGTCAGAACCGCCGCTAGTCGTTATGTTTCGTCCCATCGCTCCTCCCTCCATCGTCTCACCCGATTTTACCAAATCAACCCCTCCGACATTGAAACCCTCATCCCAGCTCGTTGTGCACCCACCTCCAATCTCTATGATACGCACATTGCTGCCTCCCGCGAAGACGCTATCAACGAACATCACGACCTACCAGACGACATTCAAGTTTTCAGCGACGGCTCCGGACATGATGGCCATATAGGCGCCGCAGCCATTCTATTCCGTGCAGGCAAAACCCCACGCACTCTGCGCTATTACCTAGGCAAGAACGAAGATCACACTGTATTTGAAGCTGAAATGGTCGGCCTGACCCTAGCCGCCAAACTGATCGCCACTGAACGAGATCTCACGTTCCCTATCTCCATCTCCGTCGACAACCAGGCAGCCATCTTATCCGGTGAGAGCTTTTACTCTAATCCAGGTTCATATCTAGCAATGAAATTTCAGAATCTCCTACGAAAGATCAAACGCGCAAACCCAGGTCTCAAACTAACGCTCCGCTGGGTCCCAGGACATGAGGGGGTACACGGGAATGAGGAGGCAGACAAAGCAGCGAAAGTAGCGGCTGAGGGAAGGAACCGCAATAGCCCTCGTGAGCTTCTCCCCAAATACCTTCGTAACAATACACTGCCGCTCAGCCTCTCAGCTATCAAGCAAGCCTATCGAGAACGCACGCACGCCAAGTGGGCCGACCTATGGTCCACCTCCCCCCGCTTCCAACATATCCAACATATAGACCCCTCTGCCATCAAACGCTCATTTCTCAAGCTCACCTCGTCATTCTCTAAACGTCTCACCGGTCTCATCATTGGCCTACGCACCCGTCACCTACCACTCAACCAACACCTGTTCCTGACTCACGAAAACTGACTCTCCCGATTGTCCTCATTGCCCATATATTGATGAAACTGTCCCTCACTATCTATTTGAATGCCCGCATTATCTCGCAGCTCGTCAAGTCATGTCCCAGGCCCTGGGACGGAAGTCCACCTCGTTATCGCACATCCTAACCGACCCAGAAGCCATTGTCATCCTTGTCCGATATGTTAACCAAACTCGTCGATTAAAATCCACGCTAGGTGAAATCTCGCTACCTAAAACCTGACCTTTCTGACGCACCCTAATATCCAGCTACTACTCTACTGTCACTTGACTCCCTCCATAATATCATATCCTCCCCTAATCTCAACCCTAACAGCTCGCCTACACGAGATCTTCGGTCTCACCTTGGGGATTCAGCCAGCAAGACGCGGATATAGGACTCCCCGACACCTTGGACCACCTGTCTCTCAGTCCATCTAGGAAGCGCACCCCAGCTTCTATGTCTCCTCGATTCTTATATCCACCTTACTCTTACTGCACACTCCAACTGATCTCTGTTTGGCTCGCGAAAGCGACCGAGCATGCGTTATACGTTTACCGATAGCCTCTACACAAGCAATCTTACTTATAGTCATCCCATAGTGTACCACATCGCCCATCTAAAACGGCCGGTGGGAACGGCGGACTGGTGGGGTACGCCTTACACCAGGGCATTTGGGGATGTAACGAAGGGACGGAGCATGGGGCTCCCTGACTAGACAGTACTGTCCTACATAGAGTATATCTCTCAATGGACAAAAAATTGGATCAAAAAAAAAAAAAAAAAAAAAAAACAATACCTCATCACTGTGGCTGGCTTCGGGACTGTTGTTCTCTTCTGCGTGGTTTTTGACTGTTGCCTCCTTCCGCGCCGGCATCATTCCCAGCTCCAACATCGTCTCTAAGATCCGCTCCTCCTGGGTGTGTTCGATGACGTGCATACGCCAGAAGTGGGATACAATCTATCTTCATAAGTAATACCAATATTGTGCCAAGCTGATATATGATTACGACGAGCTCTGCTCTAGACTTCGATGACCGTGAGCCTGCTGGATTGCCATATAAAATAAGAACCTTGACTTTCCTCAATTGCGTTGAGCAAATAAATCCTATCCTTGTCGAGCCACATGCCCTTCAAGTCGCAAACATTGATCTTCCTATCCAACACGACCTCGATGTAAGGCAAGGATGTTGTAATTTCGAAGCTCTCTTCTTCGGTGGCGCTCTCCGCCAAGTGACTCGTTTTTATCGTAGACGGCTCTTTTACCACACGCCCAAGACCCTCCCTGTTTGTCACAGCCATTGGGCTGAAGTCCATCAGACGTAATTCGTGCTTTACACGACGCTCGTCTGGCGTAGTCACCCTGATAGCCTGCAAAACTCGATTTCCACAAACGTGGACTTTGCATTGCTGGCGATACCAGAAAATACGAGTATTCAAAGGGCCCCAACATTCCCATGGTTTCGGCATTGTCGCTGCAACTTCGTCGAGGTCGAAGAAAATCCTAGTAGAGATGATGAAAATCACAGTAGCAGTATCATAAGATGCAGTGAGGCATAGTAGTTGATGTGTAGGGTCTGATGTGTACGTCACTGTTTGTAGTTGGGCTTGCATCTGCATCTGCTCGGTATGATCTATCGGAAGAAGGCATTGTATGTCCGACAATGGGAATGGCAATCGGAAACACGCCAGCAAACGTGGCGTCTGGGACATATCTTCGATTGAATAGACCGCCAGATCGCCACCAACGACAACGAGCAACCTATCATTTCCAAGGAAACAAAAATCAACCTGGACGTCGGGTGGGAAGGATAGGAAGCTCTGAATTCAAAATTAATCATCAAGTCTTTGGACTACTTCAGATAAAGCCTCACCTTCGATGTCATCGAATCTTTCCAATCCCAAATATGCAGGTGCCAGTCTTGCGTGCAACGAGTCATACCAGGTACAGAAAACGAGCAATACTGCAAGGCTATATGCCTCCCACAACACTCGAGCTTCGTAGACATTGCACTGAACCTACCGGACGGCACCAGAAGCAGTCTCCGTCCAGCAGCTTGTGGGTGAATACCACCACCATCTAGGGCTCCAAGGTTAATATTGAAGATCCAAGTGAGAGGATCATTCTCGTAAGGAACATGACACGCGACGGCGATCAGGTTTTGCGCTGGGTCCATCAACACATCCATAATTGAGTGGGGTACCGAGGACAATGTTGCTGAAGACCAGGAGCGCTTGATTTTTCTTTGCGAGGGCTTTGGTAATATTGGAATTATCATGGCCAGGTCACTACGAAAATTCCACGAGTAAAAATGCCTGTCGATAACGCGCCTTTTGTTTGTCAGAGAGTTGTCTTGTATGGTGATTGTTTTGAAAGAGTGCATGTTAAGCTTGAACCATGCGTGGGCCCTGTCCTTTAAGGTCTGTAGACAGTTAGAAGTAGGAGTGTGGTTGTTCATGTTAGGGACAGGGAGCAACCGTTGGCCACTAAGTTCGACGATGTACTGAAGCTCGGAGGAGGACATGTACGTCTGATGAAGGGCCTTACATACCTGCAAGAGCATTATCAGTAGAAGCCCTCTAGGACGATGATCACATCGACACGACCATAGATCGCTATTGTGACTCACAGATGTGCAACGAAGAATATCAGTTCTTCAGCAAGAGACAGTAACCCTGCTTTGGGCTTCATTTCGTCATCTACTTTCTTGAGATGGTACGGTAGACGAGACCCTGAGTCGAGCATTGCATATGGGTGGGTGAGATGTGACGATGATATAGGCTGATCACGACTAAAACTTGAAATGTCTGTGTTGTGAGAAGTTGATTGTATTACCACCCTAATCTGAAGGAGACATGATATGACACGTAGACTCCTAATCAGTCTGACCATACGTCATGGTGAGAATGCATTGTGAAGCGAGGAGTTCGAAATTTGGTAGATGCCGATGATGTATCAGCAGCCTGGCTTGGAAAGTTGGACGATCAAAGCTTCGGCGAGGAAGGAAATATTCTCGTTGTCCTTTTCGTGGATTGCAGATGGATCTCATTTTGTATTCAATCTCGGAAAGACCCTCCATAGCAACTTGCAGAGAAGGTTTCTTCAATTTCGGACGTGGTGATCCTTAAGTTGGAAAAGAAAATCAAGTCGCGAGAATGTCTTGAGAACTTGCTGGTGTTGTTGTCGTTGAGAGGGCCACCGTAAAGTCTGTTGAGAGATTCTCAACTGTATCTTGATGAGCAGCGAGCAATAAAAAGGTCGTGCAGAATTCATGGTTAAAACTTAAGCTTAACCCTGAGCGAGAGATGATATGAACGGAAGTACCTCCGGCACGACTGGCACCTATGAAATTTCAAACTCCTCACTACACTCGAGTATCCAGGCTGGTCACGACCATATAAACGTACACTTGTAATCAGATCTAAATCCGACACGTCACGCTCGGTCCGAAGCTACACATGTAAACAGAAATCGCGTTTTGCTTCGCACCTTTTCGATCTAGATGGGCAGAGATCAGCCTCTAGACATATATTATTCCGGTTGGTTCTAAATCTCGTTTCCGCAGTGCATTGTGCCAAGCTGATATGACTACCAGATGACAGACGAGTTCTGCTCTAAATGTTGATGACCTCAAGCCTGCTAGACTGCCATGTAAGATACGAAGTGTAAGCGGTGACATGATGATCCCAATTTGAGCCGAGCAAATAGATCCTATCCTTGTCGAGCCATATGCCCTGTAACTCGTGAACACCGATCTTCCTGTCCGATACGACCTCGACGTAAGGCAGGGATGTCGTAATTCTGAAGTTGTCTTCCGTGGTGCTCTCCATGAAGGGACTCATTTCTATCGTAGATGGCTCCTTTACCACGCACCCAAGACCCTGCCTGTTTGTCACAGCCATTGGGCTGAAGTCCATCAGACGTACTTTGTACTCCACAGGATTCGTGTTTGGCTTGTCGACCATGATAGCCTGCAAAACTCGATTTCCACTAACGTGGACTTGGCATTGATACCGATACCAGAAAATACGAGTATTCAAAGGGCCCCAACATCTCCATGGTTTCGGCATTGTCGCTGCAACTTCGTCAAGCTCGAAGAAAATCGTGGTAGAGATGATGAAGACCACAGTGGCAGTATTATAGGACGCATTGAGGCATAATAGTTGATGTGTAGGGTCTGAGGTGTGCGTCACTGTTTGTGGTTGGGCTTGCATCTGCATCTGTTCGATATGATCCATCGGAAGGATGCATTGTATGTCCGACAATGGGAATGGCAGTCGGAAACACGCCAGAAATTGTGGCCTCTGGGACACATCTTCGATTGAATAGACCGCCAGATCGCCACCGACGACAACGAGCAACCTATCGTTTCCGACAAAACAAAAATCAATATTGTTTTCAGATGGGTAGACTGCTATGTCGCCGAGGACGCTCTGAATTCAAGATTAACCATCAAGGTCTTTGAACTATCTTAGATCAAACCCTACCCTCGATGTCGTCGAGTTTTGCCAATCCCAAATCTGCAGCTTCCACTCTTTCCTATCGCGACTCCTTCCATAATCAGGTGTCATGCAGAAGGAACGCTGCAAAGCGATATGTCTCCCCCAACATTTGAGCTTCGTGGACGTTTCAACAAAAATGGACGGCTCCGAAAGAAGCAGTGTCGGTCCAGCAGCTTGAGGGTGAACGCCATCACCATCCAGAGTTTTAAGGTCAATATAGACTGCTCCACCGAAAGGATCATTCTCGTGAGCGGCATAATACACAATGGCGATCAGGTTTTGTGCTGGGTCCATCAACACATCCATGGTGATTGAGTTAGGTCCCGAACGCAATGTCCCTGGAGACCAGGAGCGTTCTACTGTTCTTTGCGATGGCTTTGGTAGTATTGGAATTATCGTGGCCACGTCATTATTTTCATCCCACGAGTAGATATGCCCATCAGCGATGAACTTTTTCTTACTGTACGAGATTTCTTGTAAGGTGATTGTTTTGAAAGAGTACATGTCAAATTTGAACCATGCGTGGGCCCTGTCCCTCAGTGTCTGTAGACAGCTAGAAGCAGAAGTGTTGTTGTTTGTGTTGGGGACAGGGAGCAACCGTTGGCCACTAAGTTCGACGATGTACTGAAGCTCGGAGGAGGACATGTACGTCTGATGAAGGGCCTTACATACCTGCAAGAGCATCATCCGATTCAGTTGAAGTCCATTTAGGACGAGGATCACATCAACACGATCACAGATCAATATTGTAACTCACAGATGTACAACGAAGAATATCTCGACAAGGAAGAAAACTGAGAATGTAAGACCTCAGTTCTTCAGCAAGAGATAGTAACCCCGCTTCGGTCTTCAATTCGTAGTCTACTTTCTGGACAAGGCAAGGTGGACGAGACTCGAGCATTGCATAAGGGTAAGAGGTCGTAATGAAATATTGACTTGAGTGACTGATCAATCACCGCTAAGCGCTACGTTTATGTTGAAGATCCTGAAAAAGGCAAGCGACAACATTCGACGAACCTAATATTCCCGGCCCTTTCCGATTGTCGTTCTTCCTCAGTACCCACCTGACGGAGTCTGCAATGCAACTGGTGCGGCGACCAGCCTTCTGAGTCTTCAAAGACCTCATGCAGGTCGGCACAATCTCGCACATTCTCGTCACGTCGAATGGTCCGCACGCCCCAAACCTAGGTGTTCCCGGATTGGACAGAGCTCCTGCTGTCGTACTGTCTTCACTTGAGTCATAATACTTTGGAGGTAGCCTTGGACAAGAAGTGCATGGTCTGCGCGACTCTCATCAACGTGATATACTCAAGATACCACATTCTGGTCCATTCGGCAGCTCCCGTAAGATATTGAGCTCGCTCTCAATTGCATACTTGATAGCCCTCCGAGCACCGACATCTTTCCAGAGCGTCTGGAAAAACTACGGACCCTCCATCACGCGTGGACCTTGTTTGAATGGAAGAAAGAGGTTCGGGTACCCATGTCTGGTTTATACCACACATGCGAGATTGTAGGAGGCGTATTTGCGAAGACAATCGGAAGACACTCACAGCCTACACGCTTCACGAAAATCCATCTCTTCCTGGATGTCATCTTCGTCGGAAGACATAGGTATCTCAACGAGATTCTTCGCCGTTCATCCATCGCAAGATCTTATCGCTCTTATCCAATCTCGCGACTTGTGGTAGTCTTTCCGTTACTATCCGGCAGCATGCAAGTGTTGGACTTCAATGTAAGCAAAACCAAGCGGCATATCTTCCCTCTGCAACTGGATTTCAAAGCGACTCTTGATATCATTGATTACCCTACGACCATTTCGTCGGACTGCCTTTTCCCAGACCCTGTTGAGACAAACTTGAAGGTGTTTCGGGCGTGATGATCGATGAGCAAAGATTGATTGGTTTGAAAGTAAGCTGTCGCTGTGCTGCAGAATGGGTGATCCATACTAATTGTCTCATTTTTCAGAGTCCCTCGTTTACTGACGGCGATATAAATGTTTTCGTGTTTTTTTTTACTGCTGTTGAACGGAACGTTGTACATTGTGCTATTTCACAAGATAAGTTTTATTCATATATAAAGATTACCAGGAAAGACTGTACAATATGGAATGATCCATGCAGTCGAATGTCTGGTCAGCGGTGAAAGCATCTGTGGAACGCGAGTGGGACTCTCCTGCGAACAGCGATTCTGGCAGTGCGCGCAATGTTGCGATGGATTTGGCTGGACTACTGTTCCATTAGATGTGCAGATCGTCGTGCTGATAAAATCGTCTTAATCATCAGACATTCGGACGACGAGCCGGATGATTCTATACGACCTGTCCGTAGGAGGAGAATGATCCAAAGCATTTGCTTAACGGTGCAGAGGTAACTCAGATTGATTCAACGGGACGATGTGTGTGGCTCTAGTACAGTACAGAATGACAAAGTATCGTGCAGAAATAAGTAAGCAACAAGAAAGCGAGGGAATGAAAACAACTAGAGATGCAGTTGATGGAATAATATAGCGAATCGAGCCTTTAACTAGATACCTATGTGAACAAATACAATCTGCTGTTCTAATGGAATCTTCTTGCGCAAAGATTTCACGGCCTTGCGCAGCGCTACCGCAACGCGTGTGCAGTCCAATCTCCCTGAATCATCAACGAGGTTGCGGTAAAAAGTAGACACGACCTGGCACGCAACCTCATCCTCAACAGACCACATAGAACCAATCACACTGCGAAATCCGCAGAATTGCATGGCCGCAGCAAGATGGATAGACTCATCGGGACTCTCCTCGTCGCCCACGGTAGTGTGACAGGCCGATAAGAATGAAAACTGCGGGTTCTGCCAGTTGGACCGGATGATGTCCTTGATCATCAATGGCCCGTCGCGCATGGCGAAGGAAGATTCGAACGGTTGTGTCCGGTTCGGCGTTCCATGACAGGCGAGATGCAGCCACTGATTATGATTGAGTGCATCGAGTGCACCCTCAATTGTTGCTTTGCCGTCTTTGAGGGATGTGAAGGACGCGACGGGCGCAACATGCTGAGCCACGGCAGCTAGCTCGGGAGCGACACACTTGAGTTCCTTTCCTTTTAGCGGGCTGCCTTGACCGATGGCAACAAAATGTTGCGAGGACGCATCTCGAGGAACCTGCTGTCTTGCACGAATGAGATTCGCCAAAATCCCCTAGCCGTCAACGTCAGGCTTACAACGGCATATGAAAATCCTTGACATTCTCTTCATAATAGATGACCTGTCACGAAGCGGATTTCAAGGATTCTCATGACCATCTAGATGACAACCTCAGGACTCAGGTGCTACTCCGCTCCTACCCCGTGGTCCCCTACTACTGTCCGATTTACTCGCCTCCCTGCAGTTCTGCCGTCTATCCCCCGCGACCAACGGGACGCGTATCCAATAAGAGCTGCATTCTATCAAAGTGAAAATGGGCGATGATGCCAAGATATCATCATCAAGTGCCTAGGCCTGGGTCCATGCAGCTGCAGTTGTTCGTAACAAATTTAGTCTCCCCAAGTTAAGATATATGTGGAGACATGAGACCGGCCTTCTCTGCCAGTCATTTTGCCCGTTAACTTGAGAAGGAACGCCAGGACACGAAGTGTGGCATAATCTCAATCTATCCGGGAACGAATGGTATAATGTATGACATAGATGAAACTGAGCCTGGTGCTTCCTTGCTTCGGTGCAGGGTAAAGGATCTCGAGGACACCAGGAAAGGATTTCGATTCTTGAAACACAGCCCCTTCGAGGATATTTGAAAATATCAATGACGAGCTTTTTTTAGCATTCGATTACAGAATATGCCTCTTACACAAAGCGAACATATGTACCCGTCCCGAAACATCGCGGTACTACGACCCAAATACATGCGGTGCATTCAACGGTATCACTCAGCAAGAAGCTTCTCCACTGTAGCATCAATCGCCTGAGGAGTAGTTGTCGATGCCCAGCGGTTTACGACTTTCCCATTCTTATCAATCAAGAACTTCTCGAAGTTCCACTGCGATTGGTAAGTTGCATTAGCTGCATGCACATCGGCGATCCAGCCCCACACAACGAACCTTGATTCTGGAGAGGCCCATGAGGCCAGGCTTCTCATTCTTGAGCCATCGATAAACAAGGTTCGTGTTGTCACCGTTTACGTCAGACTTCTTCATAAGAGGAAAGTTGACGCCGTGGTTGAGCTCGCAGAAAGATGCAATGGCGGCATCGTCACCTGGCTCTTGGCCGCCAAACTATTGGACAGTATTGAGCTCTATATCGTGGTAAAACAATGACTGGGGAAGTGCAGACCCACTTGATTGCATGGGAAGCCTAGAATGACGAAGTCACGTTCCTTGTACTTGTCGTACAAAGTCTGGAGGCCTAGGTATCCTCTATTAGAGGCATATTTGAACTTCGAGAAGTATGGACTGCACCTTTGTATTGGGGAGTGAAACCACTGGAGATTGCGAAGAGTGAATCGCTCGCAGGTCTACCATAGTTACCGACTTACCACTTCGATGCAACATTGACAATCAAGACAACCTTCCCTTTGAGGTGTTCAAAGTCATACGTTTGCCCATTAGGCAACTCTGTTTTCAGATCATAGAAAGTGTTTTCAGAGGAAGAGGACATTGTTCGACGTGAAAGTGAAGGGAGTAGTTGGAGACGTGAGGGTGCAATGACGCACCGGAATGGCTGAAACGGCCGGCAAGTCCCACTGATTTCACAGTGTGTGCTGTGGCAATGATATCCTAGAGACCTGATGCTGGAATATTGCGTAATCAAGCGTGATTTGTTCAGCGTTGAAAGAGTGAGACTTGTGGATGGTATTGCAACCTTCATCGACATCGACCGGGACAAAATGAACCGTGGGCGCTTGGTGTAATTGACACGTGTTTCTCTTATCTTTCGTCACTGTTTCATGCCGTGAAGTCATTATTTCTAGTGTGCTGCGTTAAATTTACGTCAGCCACCAACTCTACAGACTCAAGTCCCCAGAGGCAGGAAGCAAGGCAGAAACGTCGCTGACGTCCATTTTGGAACAATGGGCATCAATTTGCCATCAACTAATAATGAGCGTCAGAACAAAAGCAGGGCTTCCTGTGGTGTGTAGTCTCCCATGGCTCTAAATTGTCTACAGCATCACCTGTTCCTGCACAACCTGTACATTCCGAGATCTACTCGCAGTGCATTCTCCGATCTTGATCGTCAGTCGGAGTTCTGACACGTTTGTGTTGTCTCTGGCGTCGTTATACTAGCTGATTCATGCGAACTATAGACAATGTTCCAATCCACGTTCCCACCGGGCTACCATACAAAAGCGTGAGTCGACGGAAGTTCCGAGGGAAAGCTGAGAGGGTGTGCATGAAGCGACAGATGGCCCACGAGGTATCAGTGGGCAGGGTAGGATGCGATGCTTCGTGCGAATCTCCCCTATTTCTTGACGAGCTGACGCAATATTGTACATCTATGGAGTGACCCTAGATGTGGTATTATGCTCCCCGTGCCTGTGCTGGCGAGCCAAAAGGAGTCGAGATGACAATCTTTTCGATGGTCACAAGATGATCAGTACGCATCAAACTGATGAACTAGTCCTTGTTTGCATTGATGGACTAATGCGCGTGTAGCAAAAAGATCTCGATCACAAAACTGTGACAAGACCACGAACAGTTCTTGATGCTAGTCGATTTTTTGCGGTGTTCGAGTGTTTCTGTCGTGCAAATGCATCACGACCAACATCTACTACGAGCCACTGGATTGATTCACCTTGTTTTCATGCCAGGATATCTACTTCGGTCAATTAAAACAAGAACGGTCATCATCCCTCGGTATTGTGTTGGTGATCTAAACGCTGGGTGGTGGTATAACTAGCACGAATGCCATTGTAACGTCAACCAATTTTGCCTCTCACTCACTCACATTCTCTCCCAATATGACCATAGTCTCAAATGATCCCTCTTGGTGGCCGGTCATTGATGCAGATCGTTTTTCTAGCTATTTTATACGTTCGTGGAGAGCAGTCGAATATTAAAACTGACACAATCTAACCTTGGCTACGTTTTCGCAGTTGCCGCCTTTGTTGGAGTGACGTATGACTGGGGTGAGCGTGATAATATTATGGGACTGCTGATATCTTACAAGAATCTTCAGCCCTTACATTTGGACAAGAGGTAAGTCGATGCTATGACTGAAGCGGCCATCTCGCTAACAATGTTCTTATAGGTTGAATTGGTCTGGGTGAGTACAGTCTCATGTCAAGGGAACACATGAAAATACACTCGATTACAGAGGCAACGTTGGTCTCTGATGTCATTTTTGTATCTTGGTGTATGTGTCTTATTTGCCGTAATTGTCATGCTGTACTGACTCGAAAGTATCCCAGGCACGCTACCTTGGAATCTTTTATGCTGCGTATGTTCGGAAGGCTAAACAGTCGATGTCGTGCTGATCGTCTATCTCTCATACTCAGCCTGAACATGCTTAGTATGTCTTCTCATTATTCACTGTCCTTTCTTCTTCTGACCAACAGCATACAGTCAGTCTTCCGACCATCTTGCTGACAGATACAGTGAGTCTTCTGTACACATGCTACTATTCTCCTCCGATTAATCGCGGTGCCCTGTAGCAGTGGGTGTATTGGTTTACTAACTTGCTGGTTCGCTAATGATCGCCACGCTATACTGCCACAGATGTGAGTTTGTTTGGAGTGTGTGCTACCCGAGGCTGGTCATTGACTGCATTCATCAGGTCGGATTACGTACCTCGTACATTATTGGATCAATGTTTTGGTATTTGCGATGCTGTGGGGTGAGGTCGGCATTTGCGAGACCTCATTGATACTGACTTGGCTGAAACATGCTGCAAGTCATCATCATCACTCGGTTGCATGCCATGTATCAAGGATCCAGAAAGATCCTGATATTTCTTATAGTCACCTTCCTCGCTGACAACATTTTCGACGTAGTGGTCGTCATAATGGCAACGATGCATGTGTCAGGGGGTACGCTTCATTGTGGATGAAAACAAACGTGCATGGGGCTCATTGATGAACACCAGAGGAATATATTCTCTCCGGCACTTATATGTGCCAGATTAACTATCCGGAAGATGTCGTACTTCTGGTTTCCATTGCTTGGATACTCGCAACTGTGTGGGAGGTCCTCGCACTATGTCTCGCAGTCTGGATTGCTGTAAAACACTTCCGTGAGCTGCGACGTTATTCGGCAGGAGGCATTATCGGGGACTGTTTCTCGGTGTTGATCAAAACTCACATGGCATACTTTGCGAGGTAAGCTCACATTGTGATCGTGGTTCCCTTTTTCGCTGAAGGATCGGACGTGGTAGCTTTGTTGCTGTTTCTTGCCTCTCCCTCGCTATCAATTTATCTCCAACAATCTCAGCGGTATGTCCATATTTTCCTTACCTCAGCATGCGACCATCATTCATCATCTCTATAGGACGAAAATTCCCTAGAATCTCAGACCCTTAGTGGCTTGGTTCAGATTTCGACAGTCGTGCAGATGTTTGTGCTGGGACCAAGGCTGATCCTTGGCGTTCGAGAATACCACGCCAAGCTCGTGGCCAACTCCGACGCAGCATCTCCTATGACCTCTATCGCTTTCCAGGAGCGCGTGCATGTATCGACTAACAGTAGCGTGTGACACATGAGAGGTCAATAGTTGTCTGGTGCTCTGCAGGAAGCAGTAAAATTCGTGTTTTGTCTCCATTCCAACCCTCGTTACATTACCTATGTTAATTATTTGGTTTCATACGAAGATTCCGATGAGACACTAGTGGGCCTGGGCAATATTTTTGTCGTAGTATTTATTCACCAGTAATGTGCTATAGGTGCTGACATGGATAACCTTACTGTACTAGGAGTGTACTGAACAAGGTCGAGAGTGAGAGATGCTCATAGGCGATGCTGCCGGAACGCTAGGGCGCACGTTCCAGTTCCAATTGGCTCTTACTTCTCGTCCCTGGAGACAACTCGCGGCTTGCCTCTTGTTGTACCCGAAACGCTATGGGGCTGCAAACGAGTTGTAGTGTGCCGCGTTGATAGTTCATTTCCTCGTTGTTGCAGTACAGGAGACTCGGGCACTCCAGCGAAATTCTGCGTCTTGGCAACATCAGGCTCAGACTCTGGCTCGAAATCATCTTGACTTGGAAGCACGGTGCTTGTAGATAATGTGCTGTGCACTGCGTGCACTTGGCTCAATGTGCCCACTGGATTGGGTCTTAAAATTTATATCCAAGGTCTACATGACGGCAATCGTAATCAGTTCAGAGTAGGCTCAGATTACGAAGTTTGAGTGACTTAGAATTTCCAACGGGTCCAGGGTGCACGACGGAAGCGAGACATTGCAGTTCAATAGCACCTAGAAACCGTGCAGTGTAAATGTGCGCTAAACAAATTGGACGCGTTTGAGGGTGGCTGGCCATCGGCGTGATGATACTGACAGCTTGGATTGAACGCGTTGAAGAGACGGACATTCAGGTTGACTCGGAGTAGTTTGAAGGTGACAGTGGACAAAGTCCTATTGTTATCTTGAAAATGACATACTATGGAGAGGCTATTGTAGGGAGGTTGGGATCATGTTTACTGTAGCCTGCCATAGCTTGTGGTAGTCGAGTGTGGTGTAGTGGGCACGCTATTCACGCGCGGTGGCAATATGGCAAGTCCCGCGCCATCACACGAAAAGTGTTTTACAGAGTCAATGGAAATTATATTGACATCAACCGCACAGTGGCGCCGAGTCGCCGCCGATAGTGTGCATCAGTAGTTGTATGACACAGTGAGTTATTCTCTCGACTCCTTCGAAGTTCAAACTTTATGTGCCAACAGAATGTTGCCGCCTTCAGCCATTATGCACCCAATATGATTATTTTCTCTCATGTTCTCTCTCAGCGCTCTCTTGATGTAGGGTTGATGTTGTATTTTCATCATACAAATTACATACATCAATCACAGAACCTCAACCAGGATGTCTCTCGTGAAACCTGATGCCTTTCACCATGACACCAGCTCCACGATAGAAATCAAATCTGCTTCGAAGTTCGCTCACCATCCCTACCATCCTGATGATACGTCAGTCGATAGCCGGATTTCCGAAGCAAAGCTGGGAGGGTGCCCAGGAAGCGATAGGATCAGATGAGACATCGAATATGTGCTCACAGGTAGGTGTCAGTAGCCACCGGGTAGGATGTGATGCTTCGTGTGGATCGAGTCCGGGTCCCTACTGACTTGTCTGATCCAGGGTTGCTGATGTAATGTGCATGAGTGTGACCTTGCATGAACTATCATCATGATCATCTGCTCCCCGGGCCTGTGCTGGCGAGCCGAAGAGAGTGGAGATGACATTCTTTTCGATAGTCTCACGATGATCGGTATGCATTAGACCGATGAAGCAGTCCTTGGTTGCATTGATGGACTGATGCGCGTGTAGCGAAAACATCTCGATAACAACATTGGAAATTAGATGAAAAGACCAGTGTTTCTTTCGTGCAGATGTATAATGATCAACATTTGTTACGAGCCACTGGATTGATTTACCTTGTTTTCATGCCAGGATATCTACTTCGGTCAATTAAAACAAGAACGGTCATCATCCCTCGGTATTGTGTTGGTGATCTAAGCGCTGGGTGGTGGTATAACTAGCACGAATGCCATTGTAACGTCAACCAATTTTGCCTCTCACTCACTCACATTCTCTCCCAATATGACCATAGTCTCAAATGATCCCTCTTTGTGGCCGGTCATTGATGCATATCGGTTTTTTAGCTATTGTGTAGGTTCGTAGAGAGCAGTCAAATATTAAAAATGACACAATCTAACCTTAGCTGCGTTTTCACAGTTGCCGCCTTTGTTGCAGTGACGTATGACTGGGGTGAGCGTGATAATATTAAGGTACTGCTGATATCTTACAAGTATTTCAGCCCTTACATTTGGACAAGAGGTATGTCGATGCTATGACCGAAGCGGCCATCTCGCTGACAATGGTCTTATAGGTCGAATTGGTCTGGGCGAGTAGAGTCTCATGTCAAGGGAACACACATAAAAATACACTCGATTACAGAGGCAACGTTGGTCTCTGATGACATTTTTGTATCTCGCTGTATGTATCTTGTTTGTCGTAATTGTCATGCTGTAGTGACTTGAAAGTATCCTAGGCGCGCTACCTCGGAATCTTCTATGCTGCGTATGTTCGGAAGCCTAAACAGTCGATGTCGTGCTGATCGTCTATCTCTTATACGCAGCCTGACCGTGCTTAGTATGTCTTCTCATTATTCACTGTCCTTTCTTCTTCTGACCAACAGCATACAGGCACTCTTCCGACCATCTTGGTGACAGATACAGTGAGTCTTCTGTACACATGCTACTATTCTCCTCCGATTAATCGCGGTGCCCTGTAGCAGTGGGTGTATTTGTTTACTAACTTGCTGGTCCGCTAACGACTGTCACGCCATACTGCCAGATGTGAGTCTGTCTGCATTGTGTACTACCCGAGGCTGGTCATTGACTACATTTATCAGGTTGGATTACGTACGTCGTACGGAGTTGGATCAATGTTTTGGTATTTGCGATGCTGTGGGGTGAGCTCGGCATTTGCGAGACCTCATTGATACTGACTTGGCTGAAACATGCTGCAAGTCATCATCATCACTCGGTTGCATGCCATGTATCAAGGATCCAGAAAGATCCTGATATTTCTTATAGTCACCTTCCTCGCTGACAACATTTTCGACGTAGTGGTCTCCATAATGATAATGATGCATGTGTCAGGGGGTACGCTTCATTGTGGATGAAAACAAACGCGCATGGGGCTCATCGATGAATACCAGAGGAATATATTCTCTCCGGCACTTATATGTGCCAGATCAACTATCCGGAAGATGACGTACTTCTGGTTTCCATTACTTGGATACTCGCAACTGTGTGGGAGGTCCTCGCACTATGTCTCGCAGTCTGGATTGCTGTAAAACACTTCCGTGAGCTGCGACGTCATTCGGCAGGAGGCATTATCGGGGACTGTTTCTCGGTGTTGATCAAAACTCACATGGCCTACTTTGCGAGGTATGCTCGTATTGTGATCATGATTCCCTTTTTCGCTGAAGGATCGGACGTGGTAGCTTTGTTGCTGTTTCTTGCTTCCAGCTCATTGCTGATTTATCTCCATCACTTCTAACGGTATGTCAATCTTTCCTTTACCTCAGCATGCGACCATCATTCATCATTTCTATAGGACGAAAATTCCCTAGAATCTCAGACCCTTAGTGGCTTGGCCCAGATTTCGACAGTCGTGCAGGCGTTTGTGCTTGGACCACGGCTGATCCTTGGCGTTCGAGAATACCACGCTAAGCTCGTGGCCAACTCCGACGCAGCATCTGCTATGACCTCAATCGCTTTCCGGGAGCAGGTGCATGTATCGACTAGCAGTAGTGTGTGACACACGAGAGGTCAATAGTTGTCTGCTGCTCTGTAGGAAGCAGGGAAGTTTGTGTCACGGTTTTCTCTCCATTCCGAGCCTCGTAACAGTATTTATGTATCATCGTTAAAGTATTTGGTGTAGATTTCGATGAGACATGTATAGTGGGTCTAGGCAATATTTTCATCGTAGTATTTATTCGAATCATTTTAGTCTTTGAAAACGTGATTCGCATGAGAAGTCCTAGTCATTTATTAAATAAGCCGGCTCCAGCACTTGTACCAATATAAATGAAATTTAAATATTGAAGATATGCACGAAGCCACAGGCTGATGTATTCCAACAATGCTACTTAGCAGCCTGAGGGGGTGAAGGTCATATACATTTCCACCACTGACCATCCAGCTATGGGCTATTGATATCAAGCATGCAGGACAACGATATCTCATAATTGGTAGGATATGATACACTGTACTGGATCGAGTCACATACGAAGTACTTGCACTGGTGTCGGTATTCGTGATAAATTTGCAGATTTGTGTTGGTGGCCTGAGGTATAATTTGCCTGCAAGAAATTCTAGAGCGACCGCCGTGTTCATCACAACCACCTAACCTGGAGCGCCAAAATGTTTGCTAGTCTGTCAGGTCCATCAGCTCTCTAAGCCATGCGTGGAAAAAGGTGCACAACCGACAGTAAAATGGGAAGTCCTTCCAGTCTTTGCCCATGTTCAGGAGTACGAGATCGAGAAAGAGCATAGACCATTTTACTACAGAACACAATAATTTGGTGGCCCAGGCGATGCGGAAAGTGGCACGCATCTCGGGACGCCGTTCCGATCAAGGAGTCTTGATGCGTGCTTTTGACTGCAAGGCCCTTTGAGAGAAGATGTCCACGTCGATGACTAGAATAACAGAAAATACGCTGGAGAGAACGTCCAAAACCATGATTTGTGATTCCAAGGATGCCACAATAAGGTCTATACTGGCCGCTGTGCCTCGGAACGATGGATTGACATGTACGATGGTAATCTTAATGAACAGCGGAACTTCGGACAAAAATACGTGATTTGGCGAGCCATCAAGTTCTTGCAATGCGTACACGGTTATAAGGCTGCCGATCGCAATAATTGTTCATTGGTCAACTGCGTGGAATTGCTGCACACGACCATCTTGACCATCTAGTAAAAGAGTCTAGTCGTATGCTAAGCAGCGGAGTTCTTGAAATAGAGGGACTTACACTCTTCGCGTGTCCCATCCTCCAATCAATCACTTGTATGGTGGGCGATGTCGCCCGTTTTGTCTATGCAGCAGAAGACGACATGGATTTCGGGCTTTTCCCCACGGAAGAAACAAAATAATCGACAGGTGCATCAGAGATATGTTTGCACTCTAAGGAAGCACAGAAAGAGACAAGAGACCGGATGGAGACATTGGAATGAAACCGACCGAAACTCCATCGATTCGACATCGGATGCAAAGACAAATTCAGGCAAGGAGACTATGTCCACACGATCCTGCAGAGGGTCACAGTAAGACCACTCAGCGGCCAGTGAGCTGAGGGGAAAGTGTGAGTGAGCCACGTGCGGGAAAGGTTGGTGTTTGTGCAACAACTATGAATGAAGAAATTGTCCTATTCCAACATCCACTAGAAGTTACGCATCGGCGATGGCAAGCCGCAAAAACCACTGATTCTTCGATTTGCATCGAAGCCAGACTCGTCATAAGGATGTCAAAGTTTTTCATGAGCACATCTTTCTGAAAACGCCGATCGCGTCCAGGGCAAGCTCGGAGGTCTCGGTGAAGCCCTGAGAATTTTGAGTAAACCCACTAGAAGTTAGTAAACGAGATGAAATAACGGACTATCGCGAAACGATATTGAATTGTTCCTCGGGGTAAGGAGTAATAAAGATGAGACATGGGGAAGCGAAAAACAACGCCCGCGCTTGCGTAAACATATTATATTAGTAATAGTGATGTTATCAGATAAGTTTGTCATATGTAACTGGTCTGCAGGTTCCGCAGCACGCTTGGGTGGTATCAATAAATCTATCATCTATCATAATAATGGTGTTTCTTACAGGGGGGAACTTTGAAGTTTGAAAGGGACGATCAGGGTCAATGAGCAGGGTCGTCCTCATTCAGAAATGTTCTTTCACGACACGATATTTTTTGGGTCAAACATATTCCATCGAGTCTGCACATCCCAGTCGGTTCGGAAACGGCCGAGAGCCTCGGTCCCTTGGTGGTTTGCTAAACGAACTAACAAGATCCGAAGCTTCCTATCCCGCAACCAACCATCTCGGACCGGGACTTCCAGTAGGTCACCGTTACAATAATACGGATGGGCCACTAGCCGGTCATCGGACTCGGTTGGGCAAACCCCCTGAGCTCGAGGGATAGTAACAGAATATTCAGTACTCAGTATGAGCATAGTTCAGGATTCTCTGTGTTGATACTATTGTCAGGGCTAAGAAGCAGCTTCTCCGGGCCAGTTCCTTCTCTGCGTTGGTACTCATGCTAGTGCTGAAATTTGAAAAGCAGCTTCTCGGGTTTTGCCAGCTATCCTTAGTATTGATTTTCTCCGAGTCCGGGAAGCATCCCAGCCATCGTACTCACCTTCTTCTCCGGTCTAAAAATATTGCGCACCTTCGGTTCTCTAGATCGACGCATTCTCAATCGAGCCATGGGTATATACTTTGCCTGGTTCTCATCGTCAAATTTCGTCAAGTCCCGGGCTCGCCACACAGTGGCACGTGCTGTCGACGACCCAGATATTCCGCAATTACTAGTATATCCTCAATGATGAAAATATATTTGCATTGACTAAAATGTGCACCGTGAAAGGTATAGTATGTACATAATGGACATAGTAACAAAAAGATCATCCTTCTAAACCACGCCAAGAAGTTTTTACTTACCTCCTTTTTTTAGTGCTGCCAATCACTGCTTGACAGGAGACACATGATCCATATTCAAATAACTAGTAAAAGAAATGCGGCTTGAAATAATAGGAATCGAACGGAGTATATAGCTCATCGTTCAGAACGATGAGCACGATGGTGTAGCGGATTGGGAAACAGAGAAGATGTCGGCACAAACTGCGGCAAATTCCGAGGCATAATGCTAAATATATCTAAGCTTATTATAGAGTATACCTGTAACCTGCCCGCAGATATCACCAAGGCCTAAGGCCTGGCCTGTGGTAATTCTGCGGAACTCGCTGAGCCTCTAGTTAATATTACTATTACTAACAACTAACTTTTGCAGTGATACACAAGTGATGCATCGTCGTAGTGGACACCAACAGAAAGTGCAAGATTTGGCCGAGGTCTTTACAAACTGGATGCAGACTTGTATCAAGGCCACTGCACGATGCCAGCAAACCTCTATCCCGCTTGCCTGCTGCATCAAGATCTTGACCACCATCTCCTGCGAGTCTCTCACGCATGCATGTCTGTCCACTACTCCTCGGTTCCGTGTGTGCCCATTTCCTGCCCGCATGTCGTTGTCTGCAGCTCCAAGCCTACGGCTGCTATGTTCTCCCTCCCAAGTGGCTAGAACCTCGACGGCAAGCTGATAAGGATGACGAGATTGGCATGATGGTGGCTGAGATGCGTGATGGTGGCTGACGGTAGACGCCGGACTGGTTGCGATGATGGACCAAATAAACGAAACTTTGACCGCTCGGACCTTTCCGGTCACATACTCCGAGTCATTCCCCAGACGTTGCCCCTAGACTTTGGCGCGGATTCTGCGCTGACTTCATACAGACTAGTCATTTCTTATATGTCCTCAATACGAAAAGTTCGCCTCGGAGATCTCATCCCGTGAATCCTCTGAATCGTCCCTCGGGCAGGGCAAGCATACCAAACTTGTGCCTTACCACAATTTCGTGTACTGCAAGTTGGAGGATATCGATAAGTGTGTATCATATTCTATGTCATATTCCGTTGATAGACAGTGCCCAGATAATTTAGAAAGTGCGGCCCTTCGGATTTTATATTAATTATCACAACCGACTCCGGGGCAACAACTGAACAATTGGCGAGACAGATACAGGAGTGCCTGTACCTCAGTCCTAACCTACCATTCTTGAACGACGGAGGGCTTGATACTAGACTATCAGATGGTATCGCTTTCGTTTATCTGTACTGCTCGGATGTTAGCAAGCTACATCATCACGCCGCCCAAAACTGCCATGTCAGGAAACAAAAACATTCTCTAAACCCGCTAGGTCTCTTCGTCACATGCACGACTCATTCATCCCCTGAGTTTAGTGCCGCACTTGAGGCGCCCTATCATATCTAAAACAGAAAACAAAGCGCTCGGGATCCATACCGGTGCCCTGATTGTTATTTCTGGTGAGCGCGAGTAGCAATTCTCATTTCCGCCCTGTTCTGAAAAGAAAATGGCAAATTCCGCGGGACATGCTGTCGAGAGGGTCTCGCTCCATGATACAAAAATGGTGATGCCTCGGCACCGAAAATCGTTCAAGTTTTCGAGAGTTGCATACAGTACCTGTTGCCGGAACGGCTGTCATGCATAGGTCATTGCCCTCTGCCTGTCACGGGGTGATTACATCGCCCTACCTAATATGATTCTTACCGGTCGTTAACGGACCTGAGTCATGCGTTACAGTGCGTGCCCAGCAGCATAACGGCGTATAAATGGTATGAGGATCTCAATCGTTTTGATATTCCTCATAACCACTGCATTCCAACATCGTCCATATAAACAAGACTCGTTCGCCCCAATATCTCTAGCAACATGTTTACCTCCTTGGCCAGCTTCACAGTTTATCTTGCTCTCGCATCATCTGTTCTCGGTGCTGCTATCCCCGCAGCCACAGTGACCACAACGTCTACCGCGGCCGCGACTTCCACATATTCTACAGGCCCCCATAATGAAGTTGCTGGTGCTCTGTGGAAGCACCATGTTCACGATAAGGTCTATTCCCCTGAGACACCTTCAGCACCACCAACTGCAGAAGGTGACCTATCAAATACATCGAGTTGCAAGCTTCCACTAACATACACTCCGTTGCACAGCTGTGCGGCGATCCGGTGAACTCTGGAGGGGGATCGAGCACGAGGAGCTATCCCCGGCTGACCGTGCACTCTCTCGTCGATCCGGTGAGATCTGGCACGAATTGGAGTAGATTCCCGCTTCCCCTGATGTTTAAGGTTTGTTTTTACATGACGCTCACCAAAGCTCCCGTTGACGCCACTCGTATAGTTATTCCGAATCATCCTAATTCAGGTTTTCATGATTTATGAGCGAGGAGCTTCATGCCCTTGCTGTGTATCCACATACACAGCAAGTTGGCTGCTTCGAGCCTTTGTCATCATTACCGAGTCCCGCATAATTTTTTTTTTTTGGCCAAGTGCTACCTTAAATGTGTTAATACCAATCCTACAGCGGGACCTGAGGACGGACCTCACATTATACCGATCTACTTAACTCCAATGGACGACCAATATTCACTTTTATTTTGTTTGTACTTGTAGTGCGGATTTGTAATGCACTAGTCGTAGATTCCGTACCGAGCAGCCTTACGAGAAACCTGATTCGATTAGAAAAAAAACATGTGCATAGCCCAAGGTTGTGACGACGGGTCTGATGGTGGTGTTATTTGCTATGGTCTTTGCGTAATCAAGCCTTGTGCTAATAAGATATTCCTCGGACATGATGCGGTGAATTGAGAAAAAAATTAGTATACCGAGGATTCGATACTCCACTCTTCATATTCCGTTGACATTTATTAAAAGCCTTTTGATTCCCGTGCCTTCCTTCATACACGGCTTGTATTCGCTTGACGAGTCTGATCATGGCGACTCCAAGTCAGCGAGATAGATCACGGTCACTTGCATTGGGAACCCGGCAACATCTGGCAACACCATAATCGATCTCCGCGCCGCGCAGTATTTAACCTCCGCAGACAAATTTCTTGATCGCGTTTTTACCTCCCACTAGCTTCTGCGTATCAACGCTTCGACGATGTAGAGTTGAGGAGAGGTGAGTTGTCTTTCTGAAACCAGCTTTTCCTTGTGGATGATATATGTATCACCAAATCCGAAGCCTTCATGGCGGTGGTGAAAACACAACAAAAAAAAACTAAGAACAGCCATCTGATCCTTCACATTTCTATTTATGCTTGTAGTTTTGATGCTGATTCTGTTCGTTGCCACAGGTGCTGGATGTAATACAATGGCGCGGTGTATCGGCTTGGTGGGCTCGCATCCATCTTTGTGAGGCTTGGTGCAAGACGTCTCATGGGGTGACTCATTGGAATGATGTGATTGTGACATTATCACCAAATGCAAAGCCGTCAGCAACTTGTACCATTCAAGAACAGCTATCCATCTGTTTTTGCTCTTTTGATCCCCAGACATTTCTTTCTGCGTTGTAGGACATCCACAGCTCTGTTATGTCATGTATCGTGCGTGTATTAGTACAAAGTCATGTGTAGGCAGATATTAATGTGAACAGTTATCATAAAGATGTCGCAGTCAATAGCAATGATTATATTAATTGTGTCAACAGCATCACTGAGAACGGCGATAGTCCAGTATAATGGTATGCATCGATCAAGGGTTCAAGGGAGATTGCGATTGAGAACTTGTCATGTTTTCTTTCCCAACATTTCCGCCATCTTGGCTTCCCTTTCTCTCTAAAAGAGCGTGAATCGCAATACAAAAAAATAAACAAGAGAGCTCGTACCTCGTCTGTAGCCTTTAGGATTCTCAATTTTTCGATCTCGCGGGCGCATTCTGCCATGCGGTCCTCTACCTCCCTTACAATTTCTCTCTCCGCTTCCAAGCGATCCTCCTGAGCTTTGACCTCCACTTGCTTGCCCTCCCAATGTGCACGCTCCTCCTCAGCACGAGCCCTTGCTTCAAGGAACATGCTCTCGGCTTTCTGAGCGGCCAAGAGTGACTTGGAGTGGGCTGCCTCCGCTTTCGCCTCGACTTTGCAGGCGGCCTTGTGAAGATCTTGCAGAGCCGCGAGAGACTTGAGGGCCCGTGCCAATGCAGCTTTTTCCAACTTAGACTCTGTCTTCAAAAGCTTGGAAAAAGACTTCGACTCTCGCTCTACGAAGCGTTTCAGAACTTGAAGTCGTAATGACGGAATACTCACGTTCATCCTTTATGATTTTTTCTTTCTGCTTCTTACTCAAGGATCTCTCAGCAATGGCGCCCCGGAGGACCACAGCGGCATCTACTTCTGGCTCTGCGGATGGACCGGTGAGAACTGACCCGCTCTGAAAGGCTGCTGTCGCCTCAGCTACCGATCTAGTTGTGCGAGTGCTTCTTGTTGTGCGCACAGAGGCCTTTCTTCCCAGCGCCGTGCTGCGTTCGCCTTCCATACTATCAGGGAGAGGTGCATCCTCGTCTGTGTCCTCTGCACACACGGGAAGCGATTGGATGGAGGGTGTCCTACTGCGACCTGAGTGATCTCCGCTATTGCGCTTCGCGAACTCGTGGCTGTCCTCCGTACCGCTATCTTCTTTTGGAGGCGAGGCCTTTGAGCCCGAGATATGACCGTTTGGCGTAGGAGTGTTTCCTGAATTTTTCGGCATCGAGACGTTTTGCCCCTGACTGCTAGATTTCTTGACTTTCTCAGGAGGGTACTGGAGTGCGTCGAAGTACTGTGATTTTTCACTGAGCGTTGAGGACAAAACACGTTCATCCATCGGTTGAAGTTGGGTTGAATTTGTTTGTCTAGGTAATCCCGAAAATCTTGGACTGACTTGGAACACGTCATTGTCAGTCAGCTGGGCCAGAGACGTCATCGATCATGGTGATGTTCTAGATGACTCAGCCTGCGATCATGTCTTCATGTCCGCTCATGCCAGCAGGCAGCGTCGGCGCCACACCGGATATGCGTGATCGGAATTGCGTGTGGCATGCACTACTAGATCACAGTGACGGTAGAACTTACAATCTCAGTGACGCGCATATTGTCGAGATTCAAGGAGTAAACCAGATCATCTGAATTCTGAAAGTAGCGTTCATCTTGGCCTGTAACGAGCAAGTCACGAAAAATCGATTCTGAACGATTCTCGTAGTCGATTAGGCAGCTGCGTCAGACTCATGGCACAAACATTATGTACGATAAATCTCCATAAAATTCTCTGAACGAAAAACACCCTACAATACCATAATTCATCGCACCTGGCACGTTCCAGAATTTATCACGTCTGACTACCATCCTCTGCGCCCTATAGGTTTTCAGTTGGGGTCATCAAATAGTGTCGCGAGACCTTGTAGAGGTCTACCAGAGGCTCTCGAGGTCCCGCGTGCTGACGGCAAGCAGCTCGTCATCATTGTCAGCGTATAAAGCCTTGACGATCTCCTGCTCTTTCCATCCGCCACCCTTGGCTGGTTCCAACGTATACTCGACTGACAGTGCCGATAAGGGCCCGCCATAAGCATGCGAAATACCTTCAATGTTATATTGAGAACACTCCACAATATCTTGATGCCATAGAACTTACCTGTGTCGATGATGAGCACTTTCCCGTCACACCTAGCTGCAATACCATCAAATTGCGGGGTGTGACCCATCACCATCCGGCGAGTGCCCGTCTTTTCGAGAACCTCGTCGACCATCCGGCATGCCTTCTTTTCATCCTCATCAGCCCAGCCACGGTACCACAGCGGCCCATCGCCACCGTACAAGCGGGCTTCCTCGCGAGTCGTGCCTGCAGGAAGACCAGGGTACGAACTAGGTGGGTGTGGCTGAGGCTGAGGCTTGCGCTCTCTCAGCCTGTGCAAAAGCGATGCTCCAAGGTCATTAATGGCACTCGGGAACGGCTGAAGATTGGGGTATGTAGGAGCCAAACCACCATGCACAAATGAGAAAGCGGCATGCGAAAGAGGTCCTGCATTGACACGTGCAAATCCACTTCCTTCTGGTGCTGGGTAATCGGTGTTGGGAGGGCCAAGTAAACCGTGAAGAGGGAGTCGTGCAGCGGTAGTGTAATTCTCTGCCCATGCATCCGCAAGCCAGCCAGTCGTAACAGCTTCCAGGCGGCTGGAACGAGGCTCAAAAGTCTTCTTCTCCGACTCCAAAACGTAACTGTGATCAACCTCAATGGCAACGCATGCTCCGTGGGTGACACCACTTACCGCCAATCACCTGGTGGAGAACAGGCTCAGTCATGTACTCCACGTTATGAGATTTATTGCATACCTATCGCGTTCATATACTCATGATTTCCGAGGACGGACAACACGATGCCGTTGACGGCTAAGGCTTGCTCTCGAAGGTCTTCCATCCAATTAAACAACTCAATGGTATCGTCACCCCTGCAAACATATTGAGTCTGATTTCGGGAACACCAGCCAAAAAGCCCTTACCTGTCAATGATGTCACCAGTCTGTACAAGAACATCCACTTTGCCGCTCCAATTATTGTTCTCGTCTACGACGCTGGCCATTTGCAAAATACGCTCTGCGTTCCCGATGTCACCATGTATGTCGCCTACAGCAATAATTTTGCGCGAGAAACGTGGACGAGGTTCGAGTGTATATTCGTTCTCATCAGTATCGATGACTGCTTGCGCAGGCTGTTCCACAGTTTTGAACCTGAAAGGTGCTTGCACGGCGGCTTGTGCGTATCCGATGAGACCTGACAAGGCTAGTGAAAGCTGCAGTCCAGTTCCGAGGTGAGGTGCGGGTCCAAGAAGCGAGGAAGAGGATTGTGCATAATACGCAAGTGATAGCGCAAGTAAAGGAAGGGCTATGAAAGCCAAAGTTGTTCCACGAGGCATGCCTGTAAAATGTCGTGTGCCTGTTCGACACCACGGAGTAATCAGAGAAGAGGCATACTGAGTAGAGCGCACTATATAGCTCACTATTGGAACCACGACAGTCTAGAGCGCTTAAGCGAAGACCACTGCCAAGATCAATGGAATGTCTGAATTACTCCCGGGGAAAAGGAAGAGGCTCAAGCTGCGTTGCAGGGTTGTGGCGTATTTATGAAGTTCGAGCAAACATTCAACACCTTAATTGATTCAGCCTCAAGGCCGCGGTGGAGTGGAGAGAGCAAGGTCACCAACGTGGTTGGCGGCATGTGAACCAAATTGTGAACTACCTAAATCGGACATGGTGTAGAACGGAAGCAGACAACGGGAGCATCGCGTGCATGCACGTACGGCTTTGACTGGCGAAGCGGGAGATCAAATCCACCCAAGCCTGTGCAGGTAGGAAATACGGAAGTGATAGATATGTGATATATTATGCCAGCAAGTTCGCCATCTCAATCTAACGCAGGAACATCTTTAACACCCTCCTTCACCACCTTCTTAAACCGGTGCTTCAGCGGTTTGTTATGATGCAAAGACAACTGGAACTGGAGTGAACGTAGAATCGTACCACCGTAAACAGCAGGCTTCTTCGACAGAACAGTACGGAACGCATGCATCCCTAGCCTGGGGGCGTTGACAATGAGAACAACGAAATACAACACCGAGCGCGATGCTCACCATAATACAGAACATGCCTGCAGATCGCAAACTCCTCCGCTATCGCGCGCAACCTTGTTGCACGACTGGTGACGTATTGAAGTATAGGTATATCTGATAACCTGTCTGATAATATCTATTTTCGGTAAGCACATGAACCAAAGGTTGATATATATCAGATTCAACCTACTGTTAAAGAATTTTTTATTCTTCGCAACATCAGTACCCCAGCTCATGATATAATGGTGCATCTTCGTTGCAGCAATGATGAAACTTTGATAAACATTGACATATGCAGTATGCAGCCCATTCAATTGAGTGTCCGTGTAGATCATATGACTTCTAGATTTCGCTATCCTAGTGACGATTGTTGATGCCAGGCCAAGGAAGGATATACCATACTCACAGTAGCATCTTACGAGTGAACGCCACGCCAGGACGTCGCTTCTTGTCGACTGTGAGCGAATACTCAAGGTCTAAAACGTTAAATATTGAAAGTCTATCATCTCGCGCACGGGAAGGAAAAACTCACCGTGTCCATCATACCTCGAATAGTCAGCCATGACCGAGAGGTTAGACATATTGATCAACAGACCACACCAAGGAAAATCTATTGCATATTTAAACAATAATATAGTAAGGGAGCATTATAAAACATACATTTTTGATTGTATTCGGTAATGTTCGCTCCCTGGATGGAATCGTGCTCGAAATTGGTCAATGTCTTTTGCTTGGATACGATGCAGCCGTATTCAGGATGCCCTGAACGATTCAGACTATGAACTCCGATAAAGCACGAAACACGCTAGCTTACCTTCGTACATGACGTCTAGGAACTGCTTTGCCTTTGCCAAGCTGGTTGTTACATATAGATAGTCGTCAATCCATCGAAGCAATAACTATGCATTGGGATGAGCATGTTCTTACAAAAAGGAAAAACGAAATACGCACACTTTGGGGGTCATCAAAGATATTCAAACGAGTTCTCTCTAAATCCCCATAGAAAAACGAGCACAAGAGAGCTGATAGCACAGACCCTTGAGGAATGCCAACGACTTGTCGATAATAGCGCTCGCCAATCTGACAAAAAAACGTCAGGGACTTGAGACGGTCATCCAAGACAGATAGAACAGACCTTCACAAGGTTTTCCCTTATATGCTCTTCAAGGAGCTTGAGAGTGGCTATTTTGCTCTGGAAGTCGTACTGAACCTACATGACAATGAATGAACGATATAAGCCATAAACCAAGCGACCGACCTGATCTACAAAGATTGTATTCCGTAGAAAAGCAGCTATTTCACGAGCATACGCCACAAAATCCGTGGATTGATCTTGAGGAATACCTCATCAGCACGTGACCAGCAGCTTAATGAACAATAACCCACCATCTGAGTCTGCTTGCTTCATATACTCGCGCTTGATTTTTCCGAAATCAGCTGCGACCCGCCCATGCTTCCGTATCATATAGTTCTCCTGCGTAATAACATGAATTTTGGAACGGAAAGCAGACGCAACTGTTTACCTCGGATATTATGTTGTGAAGTATCTTAAGCAGCATTGTTTGATCTATGGTGTCGAAGCATGCTTGCACGTCAAGTTTGACGAAATATAGTTTCGGACTGCGAAATACACGAGTCAGTGACAAGGATCTAATTGAGTTGATAAATCGCACAGTTTCCCTGAGAGTGCATCCTTCGATAAATCCGTCTTGAACCTTTTCAGTTTTTGGTATATTTCATTGGAGCTGAAAACGGACGCTCCAAGGAGGTCTGGATGTTGTTGCTAACCATGACATTAGCACGAGTCATCTTAACGTAGCAACAAAATGAAGCACCTTCTCGTGAGTCAGAATTGCAAATGTCGTCCTTAGAGTCTGGTTGATTGACAGCGCTGGCCTTGCAGACTGACCATACGTTGCAATGAGCAATAATCCAACCGATTGTAGTGAGAGAACGGACCTTGGGGCTTCTTCTTCGACGTAGATTCACAATGGGGCGAACACCAGTTTCCTTGGGCAGCAAGCGGATGAAGGAAAATCCGAGTTGTCGTTGGCGCAAGATCTCTTCTGCTTCATGCTGCACAAACGTAAGAACTAAGTCGCACCAGTAGTTCAAGACAAACCTTCTCGATCTCTTGGAAAGTCTTCTCACTTAGTCGGTCTATCAGGGGTGCACAGAGGATTTCCCAGTCGTCTTGCCGAAAGTAAAGAATGTGCTTCCGAAATACGGATGACTCCGTGACGTAGAACGTCGTCTGGAAACATCTGTATCAATAAAATATTTCCGTCTTAGCCCAAGAAATACGAACTCTGAGTAGCGGAAGCAGGAAGGAGTCGAAATACCAGAAGAAGAATTCTTCAAGAAGTTCGCGGCGTTTGAGAGAATCCGTCACGGACACTCTATGCTGCTTGCGGGCACCCGCACCGGGAGGCATCAACCAGTCGCATTCAGACGTGCTAAAACCTTGGAGTACGTTATGTAACGTTGATGTTTCGTATCTCCGGCATGCAATGAGTTCATTAATATCTGATAAGTGTCAGCAAACTATAAGCGTGTGAGAGATGAATACGCGCACAGCCTCGAACAACTTGAAAATTACTCTCGCATCCCCAGAAAGCTTTCGGAATGACAGCCTTAGTCACAAGTATAGCGTAGCGAAAAACCTAGCTAAATGGTTAGGGGATATTGCACACACGAATCTCTGACTCACCTACCTCGGCATGATTACAAGTGAATTCCAGGAATCGCGGTTTGTGTTCCGTTTCATTTTTACCTGGAGTCCGATCTGTGATGATGCTGTTTCCTGCAAAATCAATTGACATGTTGATTTGCGACGCTTGCGATTTCAGGTGGATTGAGTTCTCTGATATCATTTCCTGCTGAACAGATAGAAAACAAAACTGTGACACTATTCTACTTTGCTCACCAGTATGATGCTACTGTCCATCGTCTTGTTATCCGTTGTTGTGATCTACAGGTGAAGATGAGACCAGCGCGCGTTATAACTTAGAGCCTACTTACCTTGGATGGACAAACTGTGTCTCTAAGTAACTTATAGTGACATTTGCCATGTCGCCAGATCATCTTCTCCAAAAGCACGAGCACGTCCTTCAGCCGCTTCGGTGTTTTGCATGTTCCAAAGAGCTATAAAACACACGCATTCATTCGACGTCTCTGTACCTTAACAGACCTCGCCTCACCTCAATCTCACGCTCTCTGTCAGCAAAATTCGGCTGCTTATAAGTTTCTTTAGCAGCTGACGGCTGACTGAATACGTTGGATAGACCGTATTGCAACGGAAAGATATATTTGCTTAGGTGTCTGGCTTTCTGTGCTTGTTGGCGCGGGTCAGGGTCTTGATATGCTCCAGCTTGTAACTGCGTTTGACGAAAGTAAGAAGGATTTAACCGGTTAAGCACATCTTCGCGATGGTGAATAAATGTTAATCCAATAAGTGTGAAGGCTTACGGGTACAAGGCAGGCCCACAATGATATTTTGCGACGCACGCTCACGATTCGGTCTTGCGAAAAACATCCGTGCACGAACGAATGGAATATCAGCTGATGTTCGTCTGCTGAACTAGTCAGAAAAATGAGCCGGGTGTAATATCCCCTCTCTCACCGTTCCGAAGGAATAGCGTCCAACTTGACTTTACCCTTCAGGGAAGCTTTAGAGGGATTCTTCCATACGATGAGCTTGAGGCGTTTGCGTGGTCCCGAGCCCTCCAACGGGTCTCTCTTCCGCTTCCCAAGGTCATTTATAGATTCACTCATAGGCATGTACCAATTGAGTGTCGGAGGCGTAGCGTAAATTAACGGCATACCCGTCATTTGACATAAACACTCGTTAGGGAGTTTGATAAAAATGGAGGTCTTGGTAAGGAGATGCAGCATGGCATCTGCCCCGATTCTGTAGGAAAGGGAAGGTCAGTAATAGACCCCACAGTACGTACCCGTTGCTCTACCTTGTTAACAGATTTGCCCATTCGGTGGCTTGCAGAGCCGTAATAATTGTGTTGACAAAAGTGTTCGTAAAGCCGCATGAAGTAGCGTTTGCATCAATAGCCTGTTGAATTGAATTTACAGTGTATGAATGTGGTGTAAGCTGCTCACTCTCTTATATCCCGATGTTATGATATTGTCTGGCTTGAACTTTGAATTCGATGTCCCAAATAGACGCTCCTGGGCCTTCTGAATGACCTTCAGAGCATGTTAATACTGTGTTCTTGCTGTATAATTAGAACACATGCTTTCACATACCTCTTTCATATCAATGTATGGCTCGGAGGCTGAAAATTGTGTACGTTCCGTGGTAGACTCTTTCGACAAGCAAACAAACGAGCAGGTAACCAGTTCCCGAAACTGGATAGAGTCAGGTCCTTGCAGTGGAAAGTCTGACTGCCCGTCGCCACACGTTTGTTTGTAGGATTCTTCCTTGACAATTTTCTGAACATAAGCCTGGAGGTTATGAACTTCCGCGTAGTAGAAATTTAAAACGTCTAGGGTCAGGTGTCTTTTGGTAACTGTCATGGCAGCATACAATTCAATGTGAGAGATCCCACGAACTCAGAATATGAGGGCAAAGGTGACTGGCACAACTGCCGTGTGATGGAGTACTACTAGTAGCGTTTAGCCTTTTACAGTGGCACCAGTTTCAACAGCTCCGAGTCACGTGCAAGACATCACGCCGGTACCCTTCATGCCTGCAAAACATCTTTGAATTCCCCGTTTGAAAGTTTCCTACAAATATTCTGTCAGATACTTCGCTCAAGTGATCATATGCTTGCCCTAGAGGACCGTGATCCATGTCAATGGGGGTATGTATGCATGTCTGTATCTCGTTTGGTGCTTTGCTCTGATGGTCGTGCTTGGCGACGGCTCCAACAGAATATCGTGGTCGATGTCTGCATCAGTACTGTGATGTGCACACTTGAACCCTTCCAACATTTTGTGATTTTCCACTCTCCACTCAACGGACCCCATATTCTTGTCATGCTCATTTGCAAGAAAGACGTACAATTGAAGCACAAAGTCTACGCATTTCATTCCTTTCATTCTCTGTGGTCCATCGCATGGAGGAAATAGCATCTGAGGACCGAGCTATAAGTTATCTGGCTTCAAAATTTGCAGTATCTGTATGTCCAGAAAGTGGAACACTACGGATCAATAGATATTGTAACGGTGCTCACGCACCAAGCCCCCGACTCCTCTTTCGTACGTTCTTCAACAATCAATTTCGTTCTACACTAATAATTAGGACATCACCTAAGACGTGCTTGCGTTCGATGTGATGCCAACCCTGAGCCAACTTCCGAATCAGTGCGTTGGGCGGTCCATATACTAATGGATGCTCGCAGCAAAATGTGTACCCTGGGACTCTTAACATGGTATAAATCAATATACAAAGGACTGTAATCAATGTCATGTCTGTATACTGTCTAGGCTGCTTCTTTAGCTCATCTTCTCCTAAGAACGAGCGCAACTATGCTGTTTGGGCCAGGCACGGAGGACGCTCTTACATGTGTGACCTGATAGTGCTGCGGTATGTTTCAGTTAATTTATCGTCGTCGTCGTCGTGCAATTAAACTCGCTTATATTTAGCGTTTTCTACTTCCAGAAAGCTCAGCAGAGCTCATCTAGATCATCAAATACGCTGCTCGCTACCATCTACCTCATCAACTTAACTTCACCAACCCACTTCCCACGCACAGCATACTAAGTATTATCAGATCCGCCCCTCAAGAATGCACAGTGTGGTGGCTCTGTTCATTTGTGAAATGATTGGAGAGTGAACACAAGGACATTCAGGGTACCCCTTTAGGTCTGGGTGAGTCAGTGTAGTTCTAGAGTGACGTTGTAGCTGGCTCATACAAGATATCGGAGCTTCCATTGCATATACACATATATTGTGTCCATTCTTGGTCCCTACCCTACAACTTAAGAATGACGTCCATACACGAACAGATTAGTCATACTGGTAACCATAGATGCATGCGGCATGACGAGATCTTTGACTCGGGCACCCATCCTACTAGTAGAAGTATCCAAAACACTGGGCGTCAAATGCATGATGGATGTATTTCAGTGCTTTTTACCGATTTGTTTTCATCAGAGTCGCACTGCTTTCACCATACATTTCACATCCTTGTGATATGATAACTCGATGACTTGGACAGAGAGGGAGGTGCGGAGACAGATACCCTCCATAATCATTGACTTAACTAAACCGATGCACGTCCAACTCACGTGTTTGTATTTGATCGAGGGCCCCTGGATGGTAAATCAGTGCAGGAATAGATCCCGGCCGCTGTAACGCTCGTTGAGACATAAAAGTGCTGGGTAGTGGAATTTCTAGTACGACGCCCCCTTCATAAATCTACCAAGTTCACTGCTCGCTTACACCCACCCTGAAACAGTATGACCCTAGTCTCAAATGATCCCGAATTGTGGTATTTGATCGATGCCAATCGTGCTGGTAGCTATGTAATAGGTTCGTGGAGTGCCAGGATGATGACGGTGATGTCTCGATCTTAACATTGGCTACGATTTCACAGTTGCCGCTTCTGTTGGAGTGATTTACGATTCCAGTGAGCAGCGTAGTCTTCAGGAATCACCGATTTGAGTGTCTTATAGTATTTCCAGTATTAACATTACCACAAGAGGTAGGTTGATCCCACTGAAGAAGCCGTCTCGCTAAGAATGCTTTTATAGGTCGAACTTGTCTGGGTGAGCAGACTCTCACTTCAAAGGACGGGGTGATTGATTCGTGGCAGAGACAACGCTGGTCGTTGATGACTGTTCTGTACCTCGGTGTAAGAAGCTCGTGTTATAAGTGTGATTGGCAAGTCTTGCTGATTTTAAATTTTAGCTGCGCTATATTGGAATAGTATATGCTATGTATGTATGAAAGACCAAACAATTGGTGTTGTGCTAATGAGCCATCTCTCACAATCAGCATCAATATTCCGAGTATGTCTCCCCATACGCCGTGTTCTTTTATTCTGATCGGCGGCATGTAGTGAATCTTCCGACATTTCCGACAACAGATACAGTGAGTATTCCACACCGATGTATGACATTTCTGCCTACTTAACTGTACTCCCACGTAGGGGTGAGTGATATTGTTGACCCACTCCCTAGTTCAATTTGATGACTGTCACAGCTGTGGGTGTCTTTAGAGGGTGTGGTCTTCTGAGGCCGACCACTGACTAGATAATTCAGGTTATATTATGGTTTTCACGCTATGCTGGATCATCGTGGCCGTACCTGCAATACTTGGTGGTGAGCTACTCATTTGATGATATTGACTTGACTGAAACATCATCAAGTCATTATGATCGCGCGGCTACATGCCATGTATCAGCAGTCCAGAAAGGTGTTGATGTTTATGATCTTTATATTCCTGACTATCAACATCTCTGGCGCGGCGATTGTCGCCATGATGTTGAGAAAAATTTCAGTGGGTAAGCATCAATTCATGAATGAAAGATTTGAATGCATCAGGATCATTGAATAACACCAGAGGAGGTCATTCTATTCGGCACATACCAGTGCAATATTGAGCTCGGGGGAGATCGCGTACTTTTATGTCGCATGTATTCGATGCTCATAGCTATATGGGAGATCCTGGCGCTGTGTCTTGCAGGTTGGGTTACTGCAAAACACTTCCGTGAACAGCGACGACATTCAACAGGAGGGATTATCAAGGATTGTTTCACAGTATTGATGAAATCTCACTCTGTTTATTTTGCGAGGTGAGCTCGTGATCACAATGCGAATGAAATTCTCTCTTCACACTAAAGTTTCGCACATGCTAGCTTTACTGTTGCTTTTTGCTCCTTGTTCGGTTATTTGTCTCCGAGGGTCTCAGAAGTATGTCAATCTCTCATCGGTCTCTACGTGCGAGTACGGTTCATTAGTTTCACAGCCCCCATATTCCCTGCGAGCGCAAATTTATTTTGGCGTTTTTCAAATTTTTGTACTTGTGCAATTATTTGTGCTGGGACCACGCCTGATCCTAAGCATTCGAGAATATTATGCTAAGCTCGTGGCCGACAGTGATACAACGACCGAGATGACTTCAATTGCCTTCCAGGAGCGTGTGCATGTGACAACCAGCAGTAGTGTGTAGCAAGGGAAGACATGTCGGGTGCTCTACAGAGGGGGGAACAGAACAGGGACTTTGTGCGTTTCATTATGCTACATAAATAAGTTGTTTGGTATTTTAATTTGGGATTCCAGTTGTTCGGGCTTCGCGGGACAATGGCAGTGTGGTGACACCGAGTCAGGGATCAACCTGGTAAGCAAGATTATGTACCTGACTCCGTCACGAAGGTCCGCGATCATCCTTCTCAGATCTCCACATGACTGCGCTGATCGGGTCTTTGCAATCCTCAAAACAAATACCCCTTTCACCCGCATCTGCTCTATCACTTTCTACATTTGAGCTTCCTGTGCTGGACGAGAGAAGGAACTGTCAGTCGTGGAGTATCCAAAATATTCGAATGATTTTATGTAGATGAGACCACTCACGGTCAATGTGCGTATGCGCGTGAGTTCTGCAAGAGTATCGAAAGAGACGGCTCGCAGCTGTCTCAGATATGGCCGATTCAACTGCAGTGCGTAGGAACTCAATGTCACAATCACAAATACACGCGCTCGTATGTCCAGCATTCTCTGTAAATCCGTGATATCCGTTTCCCCTGCACAGACGAAGGTTTCAGGCCATTGGCCCAGATGCTACATCAAATTCATCATGGGCACGAACCGGTGTTGATGTTTGGGAGTGACTGGTAGCCACTGTAACAACCATGAGCGGAAAATACAAAGAGGAAGCGTACTTTTTACTTGAGCATGAATGTCGACAGATTATACCGTAGGTGTAGCATTATTTTGGCACCTCGGTTATTGCTTCAACTCTTTAACGCTGAAGCCACAGCATTGCTTCTAAAACCACAAACTGATGTCAGTGTAAGGCTGGTTCAACAAGACTGGTCACTGTAGCTCTCACCCACCTGTCGCCTACGTGTGATGTACTCAATTAAATAGAGGATGGGACAGATAGGGAGATCATAACGTGGGTGCGGACAGAAGGTTTCGCAAATAAACGAGTCACCTTTCAAAAACGGTGTACATCATCAATCAGATGATAATGTATAGAAAATGTAGAAATGCAAATTGATAATCAACAAGGACAGGCTACAAATACAGGCCTTCGGGAGTGCCTTCGTTCTTCCTGTACAAAACCTACAACGACTCAGCAACATCATTCGCAGTTCAAATATCCAACTTACCTTTTCCCGAGCAGCAGTGAAGTCTGCTTTCGTCACCCGCATCCGACGTTCTCGTAAAGCCAGCATACCAGCCTCTGTGCAGACGGCCTTAATATCAGCACCGGAAAGATCATCCTTGGCCATGATGAACTCCTCCAGATCAACATCATCGCTCAGGCTCATTCGTGACGTATGTAATCTGTAATTATTCAGTCGTCAAATTTGTAAGAGAGGAGGAAAGGCTTACCGGAAGATATGCCGCTTGGTCTTCACATCAGGCAGTGGGAATTCAATCTTTCGATCTATACGACCTGGCCGGATAAGTGCAGGATCTAGCGTCTCAATCTTATTCGTAGCCATGATAACCTTGACGTCGCCACGAGTGTCGAAGCCATCAAGCTGGTTGAGTAGTTCCAACATTGTTCTTTGAATTTCACGTTCGCCACCTGATGTCGAATCATACCTTCAAAGATAGCAGCGTCAATATCTGTAAATGAAAAGGAAAACGCGTCGTTTACCGTTTGGTACCTATAGCGTCGATTTCGTCGATGAAGACAATGCTTGGGGCATGTTCTTCGGCCACGCGGAAGAGTTCACGAACAAGCTTGGGACCATCACCGAGATACTTCTGAATAAGCTCAGAACCAACTACGCGCAAGAAAGTTGCGGATGTTTGGTTTGCGACTGCCTTGGCAAGGAGGGTCTTTCCTGTTCCGGGAACCCCATAAAGGATGACGCCCTTCGGCGGCTTGATTCCCATCTCCTCGTATAACTCCGGATGTGTTAGTGGGAGTTCAACGGATTCCTGGGCGAAGGAAGAAAAACGTCACAAGATAACTCCGATAATAAAGGAAGAAAACTACCTTAATTTCTTGGATCTGGTTCTCGAGACCACCGATATCAGCGTAGCTTTCTGTGGGAGCCTTGTCTAACTTCATGACACTGACTAGAGGATCGGTATCGTCCTCCAGCACGCCGACCACCGCCTGGTTCTTGTGGTTTAGTAGGACTGAGCACCCAGGCTCTATCCTGTCCTTGTCGACGAAGCTCATGATCGAAACGTATGACTCCGGACCACTTGCAGTACTGATGATAGCGTGGTCATCATCAACAATCTCCTCCAGCGTGCCAACCATCATCGGTGTCCCTCTAATATCATCCACCTTAGACCTTTCATCCTGATTTTTCTCCTCACGAGACGATTCGGGCTTCATGCGCTCTTGGTTGTGGATAAATTCCTCTTCCAGGAGCAGGTAGTCTTTAATGCGGTCCATCTTAAGTAGACGAAGTCTACACCGCGTAGCAGGGAATACAGGGGGTAGCTTTGAGGCAGCAGCTGGTCCACGTCTTTTCTTCTTGCCAACGCGAGTCGGCAGAGGCGGCTCCCATTTCTTCTTTGGCGGCTCGGCTTTTTTGTCCTTATTATCCTTATTATCCTGTCCCTGAGATTGGCTGGGTGGCATGCCAGATGGTGCGTTTCCCTGTGAGACAGTCAGATAAAGGTGAAGGACTGCAGCTAACTACAAACCATGTTTGCTGAAGGTACTGCAAGGTGTACGTTAGACTCACGACTGCTCGACGCGTCAGTCAATCCAAAACGGGCGCGGGAAACCGACTCCATATATGGATGTTATGCCAGCATTGCAGTGATGATCATCGAAAGCTCAAGCGTTACTACTGCCCTAGTGCCCAGTGCCCACATTAACCTCGTAGTTGCAACATAAACCAACTAACCATGAGCCATCCTCCACTGACTTCTCCTTCGCGATTTATAGAAGCAGGTGTGTTTTATATTTGTACGACGTTTATAGTCATTCGAACAAGAAGTCATACAGACGACGATGCCGACGACGACTTAGACGAGCAAGACATCCCCGGGTTCTCAGCACCATCACCAGTCATAGACAAGGGGAAATCAAGGGAAACAGAACAATTAGCAAAGCCCTCGGCAGCTCCCACTCCGAATCAGAACGTGTCTGGCAACATTGGTTCCAATAGTTCGTCTAGCAGTTCCAACAAGCAAACTATCGGCGGCATTCGAGTCGAGACTCGGTAAGCCTCGTATATCATATTTGCGTCCAATCATGTGTAAACATTCTTCAGTTATTCTGGAGCAGACACTCTCGATGAGCCTGTCACTACCACAATCGTCAGTGCAGCCACCCTTACTCCGTCGCAGAAGCTGACCCCAGGTCCAGGCACGCGATTTGCTTTCGGTATACTCTAAGTTAGTCCATGTACTCTACCCTCGTAAGTCCAGTGGACGTGAAGTCCTCAGGTATGTGACACCTGGCACTCCAATCGGGCCAGTCAGTTGATACCGTCTTTGCAGAGACTGGGATCTTTGGGGCCCGTTGCTGCTTTGTCTATGCCTAGGTATCATGTTGAGCGTGAATGTGCGTCTTTTATCTGCTGTACGTAGAAGGGGCTACATGCTGTCTCCGACCACAGGCACCCTCCAACCAATCATTGGGGGTATTCACTTCCGTGGTCGTGATCGTGTCCGTTGGCTCCCTTGTTGTGACCGTCCAGGCTAAGGTAGGACATACTCATCACCGCTTATGCAATAGCGCTAAGTTTGCCTTTCAAATGATCCTAGCTTCTTGGTGGCAGAGTGTAAGCAACCTTCTGTCATTTCTGGCTATGGTGCTTATGTTCCAATAACTAGGTCCTTCTTCCAAGGACTCTGCGCACTTGGCTACTGCATAGCGCCATTAGATATCGCTGCACTTATCTCATGCTTTGTACGTGTCATCTGGGTGCGTGCGCCTGTGGCTGTGGCTGCCTGGGCTTGGTGCATATGGGGTATGCTTGGCTGACCTCGACTCATACTATCACTGATTCTGAATTCTGGTACCAGCATCCGTCAACTTCTTGGACGGCACAAAAATTGAACCACAGCGCATCTTGCTCGCTGTATACCCACTCCTGTGAGTTATGTCTGAAGTTGATTGAGCTGTGAGAATGATAGTATTCTTGCGTTATAGACTTTTTTACTTTGTCCTGGCGTGGATGATACTTATCCAATGATTGTTTTTTTGTTTCAAAAGAAGTCGCTTCTGTAGTAGCATGCTTGTACCAAATTTCTTGGCTCAATGGCATGTTACTTGCTACGTAGCATATGCCCAGATGACTTGTTTATGTTACAAACAGAAACAAGGGACAATCAGACATGTCGTAAACAATGACGTGAATTATCTACTCTCGGTCCAACCCGTCCAACGCACATAGCAGAACACATCTGTTCCCTCCTCCTATTTGAAGCAGAAATTGTCGCTCTCGACTTGCCAGACACACAAGGCTATCTGATCTCCCGCCTCACAAAGGAGAAGACCGATCGCAATATCGTCTGCGCGAGCCGTTGAGTCAGATGTGAGCAAGACTATGACGTAATGATGCCAATTTTCGGGTCTCCTGAAGTATTTGTCTTCTAAAACCACGACGATGGCGAATGCTGAATTCCTGTCGCTTCCTGCAGAGCTGATATGTTACATTTTACTTTTCCTCACTCCAAGAGACCTTTGTTGTTGCGCAATAGCAGTTTGCTATTTCCCATGGCTCTAAGGTACCCACAGGCTGACTTCTGTTGATGCCAGACCTGCACAACCTTGAGAGATGCGGCTCAAAATTCTGTGCGAATTCAACACAAGCTCGAGCTTTTTGCTCAGGGCTTTATCGAGACCACCACCCCTGGCCAGGACTCAATTGATTTTTTCAAAAAGAACAATTTACTGAAGAAATCGGCATTCACGTCGCGGTCTGACTTCCATATGAACACTGTTTTTCAAGAATCAGTGCCTGCTGCGCGTGCCGCTACCAAGGAGACGACACAGTCCATGAAGTGTGGGCTCTGGTGGATGTCCACAGAGAGCGATCTCTTCATTCGGGAGTGCAACACAAATACTACCCGGATATGGCCCAACCACAACCCCTTATCCCCAATGCCGGAGCACAAGTTGGTGCCAGTTATCGCTGACCCTCTGCAGGATCTTATGGTCACAATATCCCTGCTTCGTTCCATCCATGTGCCCAATACCGTGCAGGCTTACCACGTTTTTTGGCTGGACATTCGTATGCTTTCGTCGCAGGCTCCACATCCGGATTCAGCGTGCACTTCCTTGGACTGCAGCCATTATTTTGATGCATGTGGCATTCACCATGTTGTGTTTATGAACGAACCTGCAATCTGTGGGGACCGCATCGTTGTCCCCTATTGCACATACACAGACAACAACACATGGAGGCAGCAGATGTTCATACAAGTGGTAGATTGGAGGAAAGGACAGGTGGAGTGCGTAAGTCCCGTTATTGCTATTTTTTACCATTCTTAGCATCAGCAGCATCCTGTAGGGCATGATGTTCAAAGTCGGTCTCATCAACACAATTTCCATCTTATAGACCGACAGACATTTGTTGTCATCGACTTGGAAAATTCTATAAGCTTGTATACATTTCAAGGGTTTGGAGGGCCCCCTCAGCGCCGAATCGTCTACTGCTTTCCGATCTGCAGCTCTGTACGTCGTCCATCGTGTGTTGTTCACACTACTCCGTTGCTTCAAGGCACGGCAGTCCGCCCAGACCTTATGCCCAGCTACGTACCCACTCTGGAGTCCCAAATTATGGTCTTGGAGATGTTCCTTCCCGTATTGCCCATTATTTTGGTCATCGACATGGCTATTTTTTCAGAAAATGCTCTTCATTCAGAGGCGCTTATCACGATGCCCTGGTCAGACTGGGGACCACATCATACGCGCTGCTTTCCCCATGACCCAAGCCACCGAATCAGTGTTTTCGGCAGCAGAATGGCCTACGCTCTTCCTCGATATCGGACCCCCACTGCTGGACATAGAATGGAAGCGCTATCTACCGACGGTCGCTTCTACGTACATATATGGGACTTCAATGAAAGAGTCATTGCCCGCTCCAAAAGCACCTCTGACTCCAACTCACTAGACCATCTGATCCGCAAGCCTCCTTGGCTCGCTCATATGTGTTACAACAGTAACTTTAACTCGAACCATTCCTACGCTACAACCGTCTGCCATGCATCCTTTCCGACGCGTGACTTTGCGGGGTTATTCTTGGAACAGGATAGGCTTACCTTGACATGGGTGAGATGCTCCTAGTTGCAACAAATAACGTTTAACGCGAAATCCATTTAGGTTCGACCTGACGTGGTCGATATTCAGGTTGTTTCCCCCCAAGTTGTACCAGAGACGAAGGTTCTTAGCTGTTGGCTCAGAGATTCTATCAAACTCATCATGGATTTTTGGGATCGGTGGCCGTTGTGTGTTATGTCTTACTTCCGATAATAACTATGAGTCATCCGACTCCTTGAAAATGGGTAAGGTGTTCGTAGTAGTCGTGGGTACAGTGATAGCCAAGTTTAGTGCACATTCAAGTTGGCTGTAGTCACGAACGGGATTTCAATCATACTTACTCGGGGTCATGAGCAAGCTGCGGAGCATGCCGGAGAATTACTCAGTTACTGAGACCGTCGTCGGCAAGACGCCGCCGTTTGAGATTTATTTGAGCTATTCATACAGCTTACAAGTACTCACATCGCACGTTCGCACTGTCCGTTTGATTATTCTCGTTAGCATAGCATCTCGTTGCACTCGTTCTTAGTTTTCCCTCCCTCCTGCCGCTATTGTTCGCGCAACAATTATTTTTACTCAATTTCATTCCTGACTAACCCAGCGACTCCTTTAGTGTCCAGCGGCTCCAGCCCGACGGCCCCAACCAGGCCAACCTCACGACGCCTTCGCATTCGACCTTTTCGTCTTCATCGCAACAGTCGAAGTTGGAGTTTTTGGCCTGTACAGACGGTTACAGACAGAGGTTGGCCATTAGCTCAGAGCCTCATACCAAAAAAAATACATCCTGGCTCGACTTAACGCATGCCGCATGCACGTTACTACCCAACAATCATTGCAACCGGCTGGAGTCTACGAACCGATTTGTCATCAATGTAGGCTGGCAGCAGCAAGTCACTTGGGTTTTCGATTGTGCTTGGAAGTCGCTTGTTTCTGCTTTTCTTCCTGCTCTCAATTTCTCTTTGCTCAGGCGACTTCCTTCTAAAATGACAGTGATGGCTATTGGATTCATGCCGCTTCCCTTAGAGCTAATGTGTCGCATCTTTATCCTCCTTCCGCTAGAGGGCATTTGCCATTGACGGTCGCTTCTACATGCTCATGTGAGACTTCAATAAGCGAGTCATTGTTCGATTTGAAAATATCCACAACCCAGACTCACTTCGCGTCTACACACCTGATCAGCTATCTGAGGCGTGTTCGGGTGGGGATGTTGTCATCTCGAATGATCTTCACACTGTAATCGCCTGCCATGTACTCTTTTCCGATGCACCGCAATTGGTTTCAAACGTGCTTTTGGAACAGGACCCGGCCACCATAAGATGGGCTGATGTTCTTAGCTGTTAATACACCGATGCTCATGTGGTCACACTGTGGCCGCGACCTGACTCGGACTCTGCTGTCGATATTCAGGACATTTCTCACCAATGCAGAGGGTGGCACGGATTGGAAGGGATTCCGGCTTCGGCACCGATATGAGGAACACTGCCCATCATACCCCTGGCCGTCACTCTCATGTCGCGTCGCTCAGCCTCGTGTCGATTCTCGCAGACAGTTCGTATTCTGAGCGATGTAAGTTGCCCATGTTGTTCGAAAATAGGTCTAACACAGATTCGGACGTAACAGCCCTAACAAGTAGGCCAAGCCAAAAGTAAAGGACAGCATTGTTTGAATGGGTATGTCCGATCAGATACCATAGTCATGTATCTTTTTGGGACTAGCCCAGCGTTCTGCAAAGTTTAATGGCTGTCACAGGGGCATCATATGCCCCTCGGCTCGTGGTCTATGCTTCTAGTACCCCCTTTTCCCGTGACTAACGCGCGAAATTCGAGGGCATGGCACTGATGTCTGCCGTGAGGTCACCTCGCCAAGCCACTTTAATGATCTTTTGGTACACTCATGGGCTGGTGACACGTGGCTAGACTGTGGTTCACACTTACGGATCAATCAGGTACCTGGTAGGATCTATTCGAAGTGTACAATACAAAAAAAACTCGAATCAAGATTGCCAACATGTAGTACTTATGCACGAATGGCCATCTTCTTAGAAAGGGTCCTCAGCCGCTCGGCATTGACTTTCCTCCGCACCGTATCAGTGTCCACACTCGCATTATTCTTCATCACGCTCGCATTGGTTCTCGGTGCAACTGTGTACGTGCCGATCTCCTTTTGCGGGATCATAACAGCGTTCTTCCGGATGCGATTCTTTTCTCCCTCCTTTGCACGTGCTAAGATAGCATTGAGGCGTTCGTTTGTGCGCTCTGTCCCATCCTCTTCTGCAATTGGAACAACGCGATCACGGTATGAGGCACTACGCTTGATGATGGGGCGTGACCAGGTGGATACGAGTTCGTTAGCGATGCGCTGTACATCAGATGTGACGCGTTTGCATTTAGTATAAAATAACACGACGCGTCCCAGGCCGGACTCTTTGAGTACCGCACTGTCGATAAATTCCATGCGTTTTAAAATTGGGAAGAAGTCACGCTGGATATTGAGGGCCGGTAGAGAACGGTCTGGGAGCGGCTCCAGCCAGCGACGGACACCTTCCAAAAGGTTGTTGTCCATTATAGACTGTGAGAGTGATTGTCTGGGGGATATTATTAGTATTCGGGTGAAACAAAAGGGGTAGCTGCGCACTTGCGAAGGACCTCCATTACTTGAGGAAGAAGTTTCAATTTGTTGGTTGCAGGGAGCTTATCGCGGTTAGCTTGTTCGTCATCCGCTGCGGCACCAAGCATGGCCTCCCTTAGGCGAGATACTTCCTCGTCTGCAAAGCGGTCCAGAATCTCTTCATCATCTTTTTTTGGCTTCTTCTGCCGATTTGCCTTTTTCGGCTTGAGAATAGCATCGAACTGCATGTCTAGCCGGAGTTTATTTGCTAGAGAACGGTTGGTCAGGGCCGGCAATTCAATTCACAGACGAACCTTTCTCAGGAGGAAGGTCATTAAGGTCCTCCTCGGTGAGCGGTTGTTTTCTCTTGCGTTTCTTCTGTACCCTGCGAGGTTCGTCGTCCTCGCGACGTTTGACACGATGTTTGATTTTAACCTGGCGCTCCTGCACGTAAGCATCACTGGATTCTCCAGATGAGCCAAAGGCATCTTGTTCGACGGGACGGCGCTGCTGCTGTCTCTGACGCTGCTGGGGAGCATCTGTGAGAGAATAAAGTACGGTGGGTGAGTTGGAGATAATGTGAGAATGGATAAAAGAACGTGCCGTCTTCCTCTGATGATAGTTCAGAACCGTCACCAAAGATATCGCGCTCTAAATTTTCGCCTTCCTGGTTTCAGTTAGCAGCCTTAACGCATGAGTTGTTTGAAATAAAACCTACTGCCGGTGGTTGTGGTGGTGGCATTAGATACAATGATGAGCGTAACTAGAGCTAGTGGAGCAAACAAGAATAAAGTGGGGCTGCAGGATTACATAATCTTATGACGGAAAGGGAACACTACGCTTGATTCATTGGTACCCAGGGTTACATAATTGACAGGGAGGGACCACGCCCAATTTGTTCGTACCCCTTCCAACTTAAAGTGACCATGAATAAGAGTCATCACTAAGAAATTTGGCAACTGTCGATCCCCCCTACCACTGAACCCAAAAAAAATATTAATGACCCATGCTCCTTCCCTTCCTTGCCATGGATCCACACGCTGAGCGCACTCCATCGCTCACTAACTCTGATTCTTCAAGATCCAGCACTTCAAGTGATCCCGTTTCCATGGATCCACCAGTATTCGACAACAGAGACAGGCCTCTTCCTTCGATACCCCGTGAATCATCTCGAAAATCATACCATATACCTTTCCCTACTCCAAAGGAAAGACCTGCATATCCAAACGACTCACTGCGTTCGGTCAGAAGGCCGACCCTAGTTCAGGACCGTCCACCGCAGCCTGCTTCATCTTTTGCTAAATCGTTGGCCTGGAGGAGAATGCATCGTACTGCCGTCCATTCCCTCAAGCAACCACATATTCTTGCACGCTTGTTACAGTTCATGCAATGGGCTGATTTTTACGTTCTGCTATCAACCTGCGCCGATATGAGGTTTCTCTGGGATGCTCGTGATTTCAGAGATGTCGTACTATCCCATTTCGTCCCGGGCTACAGCTATGCTCTCAGGCATAGTAAATCCTTCAATTGTCAGGACTTGGACATTTCCCTTCAAGACCTTGACCTCCTGCGTCGGTTTTTCTATTGTTCGGCTTACGTTCTGATGCTAACGTTACTGCGCATCTTGTTAATTTTAGTTATCTCACAACGCGTTCCCCTCCATCAATATCCTGTTCACGCACTCAGGAGCATATCGAGCATACCGCCTAGCCGAGATTATGACGCAAATATGGCGAAATTAACCCATAAACTCGCCCTTCTCTGTCTCACGCATTCACGATTCGTACTGCTTCTTCAGTCCCTCGTCCATAGTTCTCCTCTCCCCCTACCTACCGATGACGACTCCCAATTGCAATCCTCACGATTTTGCTCGGTTCCCCCTACACTGCCTCATGGCCTCCGTGAACTTACATTTCCCGCCCCTCTGTCATTCGTGGCTGACGCATCCTCAAAGGCTCTGCCTAGCGCTTATTTCTCAGGTACTGGATCTGATCGGAGGCGGTCTGGCCAGGTATCGCCTGATCCCATGTCAAGGAGCCGAGACCCTTCAAAGCCCAGGACCGCTGTTGACTTCAATCCGTCGATAAATCAACGGAAACAGAGGAAGCTTTCCATATTCGGCGGGAAAAACCCTCCGCCCCCTCCACTTTCGGAGCCCCGATCTCTCAAATATTATGATGCCAGGTGGCGGCGCACCATCGCTGACACGCCACCTCAAATGCCTGCGCAGCTGGGCACGTATGCGAATAATCGGAACGTTATGTCAGAGGATGACATCAGAAAGTCTGTAACGCGTACCCACAGACGCACAGGATCCAGTGGGATGTCCAGTACTTCATCTTCTTCCAGTAGCAGTCCACCCCCACCAATCCCTCGCCGGGGGGTGCAAGACGCTTTTAGCCTGTCCACTGGCTCCCCACATGAACTTCACACGGCAACTTCACGAACCCGGGCACCCGTACTGCGCGTATTCGTACCTTGCACAGGTCTTGTCCCCGAGGCAATCTCATTATGTGAACAACAGCTTATTGACAACGGTCTCTGGGAACACCTCTCAACCGGGGATATCGTCTGCAACTTCGGCTTCGTCCCTGCGGCTCCTGATTTGGATGAGACATCATCATCACAAGAATCTGACAGCGTGCTGCGCAAGTCATGGCTGCTTTACAATGGCCACGCGCTTGTTCCGTTCGTTCCTCCTGCACCCCCTCCTGTTGATGACCCCCTCAGCCTTCCATCACCGCTGTACTATTCACATATCACGCCTTCGCATCTTCACCCCCTATTCGCATTTGCACCTCCAGGCGGTGGTGGCGTTCCTGAGCTCAACCTAGTACAAACAACGGAACGCGTCCGGTCTCCGCAGTCCCGCGGAGGATGGGCCGCGGCGAAGAAGTATATGTGGGTCGCGCGTGCACGCGTCGGGATGGGCTTCATCGATGTTGACGATGGACTCGGCGAAGGATGGCGGGGTGAATGGATCCTCGAGACGGAAGGCACACGCGAGGGGCGACAAACGCTCGTAGATTGTCTTTCAGGGGAATCAGGGGAGGTTTTCGTGTGGGAGTTTGTGAGGGAAAAGAGCAGCGGTGGGAGAATATGGTTAAAGTGGGTGTTCTTCTATTTTTTTTTGATTGGTTGGATGGATAGGAGTACTGATCTTATTGTTCTAGGCTTGTACGACCGTTACAACCCCCTTCGGACTCGTCAGTGGACATTCATATGTTACAATCCTGAGGACTTTTATCACTGGTTAGAGAACAGTTTTACTTTTACTGCATCGCCATATCATTGCTACTTCGGACCCTGCATTAGGATTGGCTCTATTTCTTCATGATGACTTGTTTCACGACGCTAATCGGTTGGATATTTATCGACTATGTGTATCAGCTGTCACATTTACTGCTGCTTATCTACGCGCTCTCAAATTCTCATGGAATATTTGTCAGGACCCGGACCGTGTTTTCACTCATACATGTTTCGTAATTACTGCGCGTTGAAGATATGAACTTCATCAGGTGTTGCAATTTACGTCCTTCTTCTCTACATATCAAGGGCTGACGTACATAACGACAAAAGTATTAATGATTATTCACGTGTCAAACGAGTGTCACGACGTTCATATTCACAAATTGGTCCTGCTTGATGGCTCCTTCAGGTGGGGCTACCACGCCAGCTTGTTGCAAGACACTAAACGCTGTTTAGCACGAGTAATAAAGCGAGATGCAAGGAAATGGGTACTCACCCCAACGTGTCCGTGATGACGTTCCACGGTATCGTTGAGCAGTCTTCGGGGTACTCCACAGCATCAAGCCACTCCTTCACAAATAAACGCACCGTCAGTACCTATTCGATCGGAACAAAGAAGTACGCGATGAGATATTACCTTGACATCTGTGTCAGGGTACTTGAAGGTATCCATCACAAATTTCACACTCGGTCCCGCTCGGGCCTCCGCAGACGCAAATGCACGAACGTGACGCGAGAGATCGTCGAGGAACGTGCGTACGGCAGCCGATTCTGCACGTGTCGGGTGCGCTGCAATGAGCCAGGAGGGCCATGGCGTTGGAACTTGACCAATCTAAATTCGAATTGAAACGGGACTGGTTCAGCATGGCGTTGTAATACGAATAGGTCATACAACGTACGAAGCGACATTCCCCCGCGTCAGCAAATGGTTTCGTGGTGAACCATTCCCACATGAAAGCGCTCGTGGTCCCGTCGTTCACGGAACTAATGAGGCCGCGGATGTCGTTATTGACTGCACGTCGGGCCGTCGTGGGCTTTTGCGTTAGTCATGCTGAAGGAGGGAGATGTATCGGACACGAACCTTGGAACTTGAGCTCACTCGTGGGCCAGCCTTGCTGTAACGCCATGACATACGCCATTGTCTGACTCCCGCTACCACCAATCCCAGAACATGAATGACGGTCTCATGGTGGAAGCGTGTAATTTTTGATGCGAGGCTCACCTGCCATTTCTTGAAATACCGATGGTGCTGCCTTGGAGGTCGGAGATTTGATTGTATGGTGAAGGTTTGTGGCCCGTTATAACCGCCCTACGATAATAATACAATTATACATTCATTTATAAGACAATTGATGTACGAGAGAAATGGACTGAATCGAGGCGCACCAGCGGAGAGGCGACGTGACATAGCTCCCTACGAGCTTGTAGGCCTCCGAGCCCTTTGCGATCCCTGCGATCAAGGGATCTGTAAGAGCTCTTTTTCGGTAAGTTAGAACAAGATAAGATCAGAAATATTACTTCAAAGATCGGGTGAGGCGTACATTGCGATATCGATTTCATCCTTCGTGAGTCGGGAGATCAGCTGGCCTGTGCCACCTGTGTTGGATGTTTGCTTCAGTAACGTAAAAGGGGAATGACTTAAGGGGCATACTAGGGCACTCGACAAGAGTAAACGTCGAACCCTTGTCTTCTGCTTCGAACTGTAGAAGGGGAGAACAGAAGTGTTCTCGGACTAGTAAATCAGGTGTCAGTTGGCATGTTCTTTGAGCGATTTCAGTCGACGGGCACCATATCCAATCCGTAGAACCATGATAAGCTTGATAGCACAAGAGACGCTGAGAAAGTTGGTTTCGACGTCTCGTAAAGACCTGGGAACGATCGAACTTCCCAAGTTTGGAAATTGGCCCCTGTCACATGGCAGCAGTACGTTGTATATGATCTAAATGGCAGGCATTTGTCGTGACTCAGGTCCTTCATGAGGTACCTGGCAGTTTGAACCAACTGCACAGAAATCTAATCAGTCACCGCCCACTTCGATATCGTCACACATTTGCCAGTACATGTGACTTGATCAGGGCAGATGGACTCTTCGAGACAGACGTTGTACTTCTTGGTGTGGATGGACGCGCCAGTGAGAAAGTCCAGGAAATGCAGTAGTACATATACTACGTGAGGACAAGTGGAAACTGCATGGATGGGATCAAAGACGGATGTGTGTAGTGAGGAGAAGATATATATTCGGAGCAAGCGACTAATATCATGCTGAGAGCTGTAAGGGAAGGTCAGTCTCAGTAATGATGGGCATACATGTCTTTACCGTGCACGTACATGAGCAAATATTGATGATCATCGGCAATGTCGATGGAGCATGACACATTAAGTCATCATCAGGCTAATGCGTATTGAAGCTGAACACACCATATAGATGTCCGGTAAATAGTTGAAAGGGCACGAATAGCGTGATGAGATAAAGAATTTTTATTATTGTCCAGGTGCAATCGAAGGGAGTAATGTCCGCTCTGAACGGTATGTTATCATCAAGGTCAAAAACGAGGCATAATGTGCATCACCTCTTCAAAGCTTCGTGAAGTAAACGAAGTTAATCATGGGTTTGTATAGGCTAGTTTAACATCCAACGGGAATAGCCCACCCATACTATCGCGCAAGAAAGAGAAGCATCCATAAGTCCGCAGACTACTCGCCGCACGCACCCTTCTATCTTCAGCTGGGAACTAGTCAAGATCGGAGAAATAGGAGCACCAAAGGTAAGGCGCTCAAGCCTCCCAGACCTGTCCTGATTCACAAAAGAAGTGTCAAGAGAATTCGATGTGTCACTCTGACTGTGCGCCGCCAGACGTCATGGTATGCTCGCACGAGTGCACGACCTTGGTAGCAAGCGCCGTGCTAAATATGGGATGTTGGGAACTTTGCGAGTTGCACAGAGGTAGCATCGAGACGTGTCTTTGGTGTTCTCGATACCGATTAATGGCATGCCAATACAAATCGATTGTTTGGATGAGGATTCGGAAGCGCGGGCGTGGATATCAAAAGGAATGATCGAGCTTAAGCATGCGAATAGTAGCCAGTTCAAGGGTCCGCGTGATCTAGAGGCTTTTCGTATGAACAAGTCCTCGTTGAAAACTCGAACGACGAAAGGTATCGTACATTAGACTGGAAGAATTGTTCAAAAACGTTCAACAGAAGACATATCACCCGTGGGAATTGCTTTTAATTCGTCCTCTGAATCGGCAAACACTCAGGCTGGCGACACTGACTCCTTGGGCCCAAAAAACGAGCTGCTTGAAACGTGTTGACTTCTAATTTATGAATATTACTTGTTAACTTTAGGGTTCTTCACCCACGAGCTAGCAAGAAGCATAACTCATACAAGCCAAACGAACTGTGTTTTGAGGCCCAGTCCTTAACAACGCCAGTGGGCATCCCAGTAGCTATTTCTTTTTGGGCTTTTGTTACTATGATCATCAGCTCACAATCTTAAATCAGCTTTGACTGAAAACTGGCAGGCCATGTTCTCTTCAGATGAGCTATCTCGATGGTCTGAACTTTGACCAGGTCAGTACATTGAAACTCTGCTCGGACCTCTATAAACCTCTTTGGCCGGCATTTCGAGGACAGCCAACATGCGCTGGCGCTTAGAGAACAATGTTCATCTGGATGCTGCGGCGCTCTCATCCTAAAGTTGCTCCACATACATGGTAAGGCTTTCACGATAATCATTGCATTTATTTTGCTTTAGCTATTATGCAGGGAACACCGTACTGTAAGTACTCTGCACCTAGCGAAAAGATGCCATTTTAGCGGCAGATGTGGACCACAGCTGTAGTGTCAGCGGAACAATGTCCAATACTGCGCCTCTGCGCACAAGGGAGCTGCCGGTCGAGTAAATTATGCCATGACCTCCACAATGGACACACCCACCCGACAAAAAAACACCAGAAGACCTGTGGGTCTGTAGATCTTTGTGGGCTTGGCTATATAAGAGGCGTTGAGGTTGAGCATTACGCATTACCAACAACTTTTACTCATGCATCGCTGTTTTGAATCCGACGATATCATTTATGCTGTGTTGGAACACGTCAAGTCCTCTGGGACGGACTTGGTAAACGTAGCAATGACATGCACCAGGCTGGCAGGCCCCGCCCTCAATATCCTCTGGTCCGAACAGTCAAGTTTGGGACCCCTCATTATGTGTCTACCGAAAGACACCTGGGAGATCACAAGGGATCGGATCATCGTAAGTCAAGTATGCCATTCGAGTCTTGACAGGACAATGCTCACCGTATCCCTATTTGCAGAATTTTCGCAGAGAGCCAAGTCCCATTGAGTGGGATCGCCTCAGCCTGAACGCATCGAGAGTACGCCGGCTTGTTGCTGATAGATCCGGTCACGCGTTTTTCCCGCAACTACAACCCAGCGATCATGTCATACAGAGGCTTTTCAAGCGATTCCATCCTGTCACACTCTTCCCGAACCTATGCGCATTGGATTTCGAGGCCGTATTTCATCGTCTGGATTGTAGTACAAAATTATTCGTACTTCGGCAGTTCATTTCGCCTGGATTGGAAGCGCTCCAGTTCGATGTACCTGACGTCCTGACGCATGAAGCAGAGCAATTGTTTGCTGTTCTTCCCGCAGAAGCATACAACCTGCGCCAACTGTCAATATGGGCGGGCCATGGTAATACACCTTTTACAGTCCCTCCGATCCTGGGAAAGCTGCCAAAGTTGATGATGTTGACCATTTTCGCAATCGATGTGTCCCTGACGAGGCAGACGATCACCAATATCCAGCATGCGTGGTGTCTTAAAACCCTCAGGCTTACTTTGTGCGGAACCTCCTTTGACAAGGGTGATACGTCGCTTGAATTACCTAGTCTCGAAAACCTCTATCTTTCTGGCGATTCCTTACCACAGTGCGCACACTTCGTTCGTCAAATCACCACTCGGCAACTATCGTGCATCGATATCACGTACTACAAATCTGCTTGCTCGACCATAATCGCCCCGTTTATAGAATCTTTGTCGAAGTCGTGCCAAAATCCTGGATTCTTGAAGCAGATATGGCTGGCCGACGCATCAATTGTGAAGCGTATTCATGCTGAACCTGCCATCCCGCTTTCCTCTGAAATCTTCCGGCCCTTGCTCAAGTTCAACAAGTTGTTGTCTGTCAAATTTATTGGCATCGGAAATTACAGCCTCGACGATGAGTTCATTCGTGATGTCGCAGTTGCCTGGCCGAGTATTCAGGAATTGAAGTTCGCCGCCTCAAGAAGACGTGCCGATTGTACCGTCAGCTTTACCGCCATGATGTCACTGGCGTCAAGGTGCAAATCGCTGCATACCTTACATCTGACGTTCGATGCTACACGGCCGACGATAATTCCTCGAGCATCGGACGGGACCGAGCAGCTTTGGCCCACGCAAACCGCCCTTCACAAGCTGCATCTTGGGTACTCTGTCGTGTCGCCGGATGCGCGTATACCATATTTCCTAAGCGAGGTATTTCCAAATCTACTGGATTTCGACTGGTATCAAAACCTTGGGGGTATCCATGATATACGATCACCACTCCGAGATGCATTGTACGAACTAAGGGTACTGCGGAACTTGTTTGACCCTGACGACGAATGGGATCAGGAAGACGACTTGGATCCGTGGAATTCAGATGAAGACGTCTTCGATCATGAAGCGTGGAATTCAAGTGAAGAGGAATTGGATTTTGAAGCGTGGAATCCAGATGACGGTGGATGGATCCCAATATTCAGCGAGCACTAGAGATAGGACTCGATGAGTGCTGTACAACGTTAGAGAGGAGTGTAAGTATCGTGGTGTACGAGACTCACCCCCAGTCGTGCATAAGAGACTGGGGGATGCCCGTAGTGAATGTATTGTATTGTAGTCGGTGTTACTATGTATGGTATTTACGTCGACGATAGTGAGCGTCGAGTGAATCAGAACAAAGGAACAACTATGTACTCCGTCGGCGGGTTGATTTCCAACAACTGGATGTGAGGAACATAATTAAGAAGATCCATCGTAACGCACTTGAGGTTGTATTTATACTGGAGCGATATAGCTGCTGTATACGTCTACTTTGTCATGCTTGTATTCCTGGTGTTAGTGTATCCCGAAAGCAGCAACACTTCGAAAACAGTAAATCATGCGGTGGTGTACGCCTACTAGTAATGACAACCATTCATTAATTATAAGTTGTTTCATTTAACTAGGCTTATGCTAGGGGCCATAATCAGGGCCGCCGCTGCAATGTGTGCTGAAGATCTATCGTTCGCCGTGCTGGGCACATGAAAAGTCCTGTCTTAAAAATGACCTCTTCGGACTGTCTGATAAAGATGTATCCACCACAACGGTCTGCAGATGAAGGAGAGGATTTAGAAATCACGAAAGTGGAGCATAAGGACAGAAGTCAGGCAAAGGAAAGCTGTAGCAGGCTGTAGGAGTGAAAGCGGAAGGTCACGCGCACGAGTGGGTGGTTATGCGAGGATCCGAGATATAAATCTCGCTGTCAACGTAATAATATTGTCCTGAATTCCAACCACAATGTTGTTGTTGTTAACCGAGTCAACAGTCTTTTACTGGAATCTTGTGAATGAACGCATCAGTGACTCAAAGGATGCGTGTAGCACTGACACCGTTTCAGCATGGATACAAGGAGTTCATGAACCTAGACCAACTATTAATTTAAACTTTGCAGGTGACAAACGAGCTGCAGAAGTATGTCTGGTAATTCATCTTGCGCGTCATGCTTACCATCTCGTCAGACCGATGTGGATGCGGTTCACAGCATGCCTCCAGCCAAGCGCATGAAAACAGCGACTGTGCGCGAGGAGAAATTGCCACCAGACGCTACCACTGGCATAGGACTTTTGACTACTATACGACACGAGACTATTAGCTTGGACCTCCCCGCCAGCTGCTCAGACAATAATACCTGGCATGGTGTATTCCTCCCGACTATTGCACATGCTGCTGGCGGAGAGAACATCGATCCATGGTTCATTGACGATAACAGTCTGATCACAATCCTTCTGAAAGCCTGGAGGGTTGTGTACGCAGGGAAACCTTCATTGAAACACTGCATTGATGCAGTTTTTCATGCGGTACGTCTCACAAGCGCAAGTAGTTGACTATTGATCATTCTTGAATACAGTCCAAGCGAGCGTTGTATCGGTGGCGCGCTGGATTTGGATCTGCTGCCATGATGATGACCACGAACGTCATGTCATCTAATCCTGCTGCATTTTTGACTTATGAGCAACGCTCCGCGTTTGCCAAGTATTATCTTTATAAAAACCGGTTTCTTTTCAAGAACGATTCTTCTAACGACAAGAAGTTTGGGAAAGCCGGGCTACCTGTTGTGCTTAGTTTATCCTAACATTCCTGTCGCTTAGGAGTGGACAGGGATGTGGCAATCGCCGTCCATACTGCAAATATTTGCGGCCCACCTCGATTACACTCGAGGTCGTGTGTCCGTCGAAGCTCTCGGAAGCGAAGAGCAACTCAGTCGAGTAGCACTTGCGCTCTCTGCAGCAGCGGTAAGCTACATGATAATCTTGTTACCCTATTGTACTAAATGTTGTTAGGTTAAGCGCACATTGCGTCTCCTTTCAACCGGAGAGATGAGTTTTGAGGTCACAACTGCAGTTGCGAAAGGCAAGAAAAAGGTCATACGAAAGAGTGAGACTCAGGCCTCGAACAGTGACTTATGGAAAGTTATGATAAGCAACAATGAGGACTTCTCCGAGTCGCTATGGGGGTATGATAGCCGTATGTTTCTGACAGCAATCAACCGCATACCCGCAGAAAATATGCTGGAAATTGAGAAGAGCGCAGAACCATTCATGGCAACCGCCACTGACCACACAGAGATAAATAGTGTGGATGATATTGATATTGATGCAGAGTACGTCGATCTCTTGAATTTCCGATGAAGGTGAGTACTTGAGTCCCGTTTTATGAGAAGTAATGACCAGCGGAAATACAGACCCGCTAGTCAACTTCGTTGTTCATCACCCTCAGTCACCGTTCCAGCATGCCCTTGTCGCCTACATATAATCCAGTCGCCTCTCTCCTTAATCCTCATTTTCTTTGTTATGGATCTATTTTACCTCATCGTGCATACTACTTAACCTTACCACCACTCAAATCCATCTTAATCACTGCAAGCTTTGTATGATATTTTAGTAGTATACCAAGACGCTGCCGGAGCTGTGCGAGGAGATGAACTTTGAAGACCGACTCGCGCGAGAAGGCGATATCAGATAGGGAGCAGGAAGTGAAAGCTGGGCTGGTCTTGCAGGTGGGCTTCAGGCTTCGAATTGACATCCTGAACGATGTGTGTCCATAATCTAATTGCTCCTTCGTACTTCACTCAAAAATAGCCTATTATCTGATACATCTCTATACATTCCCTGCTTCCATCACTCACCTTTACCATTATAACTCCTGTCATGAGGCGCCTCAAATGCTCCCTCTCCTCCACAGTCGGAACGTTCCAATTCCAATCACTTGTTACTTCATTCTCAAACTTCATCGAGTAGCAGCTTAACATTTTGGGTGTCGCTTAGATGTAAGACTCTTACGCATGAATATCGAGTAAGAAGGAACTGAAAAATTGTGCCTGAACCCATCATCATTCTAGCATTGGTCACTCTCGATCTTCCCTGATACGCTCGAAAGGTGGGCAGCTACTACCTCTAGAGATGCAACAAGAACGCATAAATCTAATCCAATTCTTTTGTTCCCTGCAGAGGCCCGATGCTCGTAATGTAATTCATATTGAACGTCTCCTGTGTTACACACTAATGCTAGTTGACACATGTACACACTCTTGGAAAGCGATTGAAATCATGCTAGGTCCTGCATCGGCGTCGATCATGAGCTGAGCGTGATATTCTCGAACACCGAGGATCAGGCGTGGTCCCAGCACAGTTGACTGCACGATGATGAATATTTCAAAAAACCCAAAATAAAACAGCCCTGTTGGAGAATATGGATCCTATGGAAAATTATGCATCAATGAAGCGAGGTTGTATGCAGAGGTCAGCGACACATTAGCGTACCTCGTGCATCGTTGGCGAAAAATAACGGAGAGAGAAGCAAAAAACTAGCACAACACTGGTATGCGCAGAACATCAATGGAAAATATGACTATGTTCACGCTATCGGCTTACCTCACAAAGTAACTCATGTGAGTTTTCATTAACACCGTGAAACAGTCCCCAATGATACCTCCCGCGGAGTGTTGTCGCAATTCACGGAAGTGCTTTAAAGCAATCCAGACTGAAAGACACAGTGTAAAGACCTCCCACACGGCGATGAGCATCCAAGGGATGTTGTCCAAAATTTTGGGATTTTGGACAACGCACTGATAGGTGCCAGAGAGAATGACTTGCTCTGGTATTTACTAATTAGCCTGAGGCACTCAAAACCTTCGATCAATAATTGAAGCTTACCCGCTGAAATATACCTCATATTTATTATGAGCATCACTATGTTGGCGACATTGATGGCCACAAAGACAACAACGAGGAGCACCAGAACGTTTCTGGATCGTTGATACATGGCATGCAGACGAGCAATCATGATAACTTTGCATAATATTTCAGTCAAGTTAAGGTATCGCAACTGTGTAGGCTCACCACCAAGTAATGCAATTAGGATCCACATTATCCAATATAGCGCGAAGTACATGTAAAGGCCTGGCACATCCCGTCAGTGATAATCTTCAGAGGATCATACGCTCCAAAGAAACTCACAACTGTAGCAAATAATTACGGTGGATCAACAAGTTGTCCAAGATTGTCGCTCACCCCTACACGATACCGATTAGACGAACACGGAAGGGAAGACATCAGTACGGAATGCTCACTGCATCGTTTAGCGGTATTATCTGAACAGCCACTGTATGCCACTGGTCAGAAGCAACAAACAATGTATATGATGAGACGAACTCTGTATGTTCATGCTGATTGTGAGAGATGAGCGATCAGAAAAAACACCGGATCTTAGTTTTCGAAACATACCCAACATATATTAATCCAACGTAGCGCACCTAGGATATCATCAGATCAGCTCAACTTGTTAAGCACACTTGTAGCACTTGCACAAGCTACATACAGTGAGATACAGGACGGTCATCAGGGACCAGCGTTGCTTCTGTCGCAGACGTATGATATCGTTATGTCGTTCTTTGGACATAGAACTCTGCTCACCAAAATCAATTCAATCTATGAAAACTATTCTTAGAGAAATGGCTGCTCCGGTAATGGCATTCACTTACCTCTTGTCCGAATGCAAGAACTGGAGAAACCGTCAGGATGTCAATAACTCTTTCACATAATCTTGCTCACCCCAATCGTATATTACCCCGATCGAGGCAGCAACTGCAAAATACAGTGAGGGTTAGATCGGTATATCATCCGACTGGCTCTCTGCTAGCACAGACCTATAAAATAGCTGGAAATAATATGTGAATTGATGAGCGGCCACCAACTAGGATCGCTTGAGATGATGGCCATATTATTAAAGGATGTGAGTGAGCGAGTGGTGGACTTGGTAGGCGTATGATGATGACATTTGTACCAGCCATGCCAGCTTTTATTGTCAGCATGAGTATCGTATAGATAATATTCATCCATCCCTTGGTTACACTGAAGTAAGGGTTTTGCCATGATAAAAACAATGACTCACAGCCATGCACTGGAACATGACGTTCGAAGAAAAAAGTGAACATCCTAATTTCGGCGACTGACTTGTTCCATCCACCTAACTCGTTTGCGCACTCCTGGATCTCCGGTTATGAAAGCCATACCAGTTCCCAGTAAATCATGCCAGTTTCGGATCGATAAAGAGATAGAGAGAATTGGAGTGCCTGCAGGCAAGACACATTGACATGGTATTTTTAGTCTAGAGAGGCCGAGTCGTGCCGCGTACCAGCATATGAAATATTATTGGTGGAAGTGGGAAGAACAAGTGCAGGGGGCAGAACTACTTGGGGTTAGTTCTGCCGATTGTAGTTCAATTGTATCTCCGGCAGAACTTGACAAAACTTTAGGCTGTCTAGACTATCATGTGATGTACTGCTTACGACATTTCTAATAGATAGCATCAATAATTAGCATCAATAATGCCTCATCCATATGCATCATCCTCACCATTGTAATGGACGATCTTCAACTTCACCTAGAATCGTATCCTTAGTTCGGCCGGATCGAACTCGTCAAATCCCCTCGACGAGTTCATGTTTCATAAATGCTCTGAACTTCTTCGGTTCTTTTCAACCCTTCGGGAGCTGCATGTAAACATCGTTAGGCGAGATACTTTCTGGACCGACAAACAGGTAATTTGTATCACGAGGCTCGAGAGAGAGAGAGGGAGAGGTGTCCACATGAAGTCGGATGCTGCAGTCTCGACACAAGTGTGCATGTAAACATGTCCATTGCCGCTGGCGGCGCTGTGTTTCGAAGATTTGCACAAATTTTGCTCAGTGTTCAATTAAAAGGTTACCCCATCACATGGATTGAAATCCGAGACTTAGACTGTGCACTCTACTTTGCTGCATGGCCTGCAATTGAGAGAATCGTCGCAGCAAAGACCTTGAGCACCTGAGTACCAGTGAATTTCGGAATTGATTGGATGTCCTTAGCACACACCATGTTTACTTTAGGGACGTTCGGTTTTCAAATCACCTCTCTGCGAGTCTCGGATATACTAAAGTTTTGCCGTCCTGCAGTGAGTTCTGTCACGGACCAGGGATAACCACTTTTGCCGGACCGGTTGTCAAATTTCCCGAGTTCTACCAACAACACCAGACCTGGTCCTGGTCCCGAAGAGCGTAGTAGTAGGTAAGTAACCGGTTCACTGTAGGCTGCCACTGGCTGTGCACCATGTGCAATCAAACCCGCCTCAGAAATCGCTTCATTCAAGTTAGACTCGAGTCACTCGACACCAAGTGCGCTTTCGAACTCCGACGTCAGCACCACGTCTGACTTTGAAGCTCTATCTGGACTCTGGAGGCGAAATAAATAACTCGGAGTCAGATGCCTTCAACGCTGACCGGCCGCAGTGCCAAACCCTTCGCAGGGTTACCCCAAGCATTTCATGATCCCAATTCTAAAACGATTGATGGTGCTGCAGCACTAGATCTGCTTGGGCTCAACGAAGTAGCCTGATCAACGAACAAAGTCGTGCTAAAGGTGCTCAATGCGTAAACCTGGAGCGGCTAGGGTGAACTGAAGTACACTGGCACTACTATAGTGGTTGGTCACTTCTCAATACAAGCTCACCGAAACACCCATCTTGCAGCAATGGCATGAGGGGCGAACGGACCGAACGGACCTTCACGAGCCATGATAGAACTACCAAGATCGCACGCATGAACCTTTGCGTTGGGGAGGGAACTCTACTCGTAGTTCGTCAAGTCTTCCTGTATGGCATACATCTATTTCGCAACACCGAATAGCTTAAATGAGTACCACAACAAAACCTGGAATAAATAAAAACACCCTGCAAACTACCTGCCTATCGCCAAAAAAAACCACATCAAGAACCTTAGCTACACGCTACTACTAGTTTCCACATGAACATGTTCCTGGAAAGCAATCGAAGTCATGGTGCTTGTTGTATCGGAGTCAGCCACGAGCTTGGCGTTGTATTCTCGAACATCAAGGATGAGGCGTGGTCCAAGTACAGACAGCTGCACCACCCCAAAGATTTCAGCTAAACCAAGATAAATTTGGACGTCCAAGGAAAGCAAGTCCTAGAGCTTTGATGAATCATGGTCTCACGTAGAGGTCAGTGACAGATCGGCATACCGCTAAAAGGGTTGGAGAGAATAAACCAATATGTAAGCAAGCAATCACAAGGAAGCTAACAGTACATGCACAACGTGAGCAGAGCAAGAGAACAACATTCACATTATGAGCTCACCTCGCAAAGTAACTGACATGAGTTTTCATTAACACTGTGAAACAATCCCCAATAACACTTCCTGTTGAGTGTTGTCGAAGTTCACGGAAGTGCTTTACAGCAATCCAGACTGCGAGACACAGCGCAAAGACCTCCCACACAGTGGCAAGTATCCAAGTCATGGAAGCCAGAAATAGGAAATCTCCAGTATAGCCAACCGTGCACTGATAGGTGCCAGAGAGAATGATTTCCTCCGCTATTTATCAATGAGTATGGTGCAGTTAGATCTTTCGTACATAATTAAAACTTACCCGTTGAAATTTCCATCATTTGTATTGCGACCATGATTACGTTGGCAATTCTGATGGCCAGAAAGATAACAACGAGAAATATCAGCACCTTTCTGGATCGCTGATACATGGCATGCAACCGAGTAATCATGATGACTTGGATGTTGTCTCAATCAAGCCAATCAATATCACGGAAGTGTGTAGCTCACCACCTAGTATTATTTGTGCAGCCTCACTCGTCCAGTCTACTGTGACGCCCATGATAAGGCCTGACCAATCGAGCAACATTAGTGATGAGTGTCAGAGGTCAGAGGACCACAGGCTCGAAACAAACTCACAGCTGTGGGAGTCGTTATATTGAACCAACGAGTTGTTCGAGAATCTCACTCACCCCTACATGGTAATCCAGTTGGTTGAACGGGAATGGAAGGAAGTCATTGGTGTGAAACACGCACTGCATTTGTCGTTGAAATTGTTGGATTACTGACTGTATGCTGCCCGTCACAAGAAAGAAACAGAGTCCATGGGAGGAGACATACCCAACATGTTCATCCTGATTGTGAGATAGGTAATGAGCATAACGCAAATGGCATAGGAGTCGAAACGTACACAGAATACCCTATTCCAACATATCGTAGCTAGGATATGTTAACGTCAGTACTGTTTGCTGGTCACGCCCGAAAACGGAAGCTACATACAAGTAGATACATAGCAGTCATCAAGGACCAGCGTTGCCTCTGTCGCAAATTAGTTGTGGTATTTTCACATTCTTCTTTTGATGTGGGAGTCCGCGCACCCAAACTAGTTCCACCTAAAAAAATGTCAGTGAGATGGCTGCTCCTGCTAGTGTAATGACGTCGACCTACCTCTTGTCCGAATGCTACTCCTAGAAATTCCATAATGTCAGTGGTCTTTTCATACTTGAAATTTCTCACCCCAATCGTATATTACCGCAGCACAGGCAGCAACTGCGAAACCACAGCCAATATTAATCGAATCATTACGGTCATCATGCAGCTGGCTTTGAACAGACCTGTAAAATAGCTGCTAATAATATTCGCATTGATGACCGGCCACCAACTGGGATCGTTCAAGACTTGGCTCATAGTATTAGAAGATGGGTGTGAGCGAGAGAACTTGGTGAACGTATAACGATGGCATTCGAGCTTAATATACCACCATACAGCACTTAAGTTGCCGAAATGAAATCTGAGGGATGATATTTCATTGATCAAAGTAAATGTTTCAGCATAAGTTGTAAAAAGGAAATCTGCATCCAGGGATATACCGACGAGATCAAAGCGGAAGTTGTTGGTAAAATCGCAAAGCAGTGACTCACGCGGAATGTTGAATGCCGCGAAAGATCGAACTGTTCGTAATCTTGGCAGCATGACAGTATCCTAGCTACAGCAGAAAGAGTCTACCGAGTCATGTCATCAAAGATATCGTTTCATTGTTCTAGCAGAGCTTTGAACAGCGCTCAATTGGCAAGTCGCCTTCGTAACAGATCATTCTTTCAAGGTCAGAGAAACTTTGCTGACCTTGAGAGAAATCCACTCTAGTTACGCCCGGAACCTTTCTTCTAAGTCGAAGACGCTGATTGGTACAGATGCAACCAAAAGTACACACACGCGTTGTATCCAATTCCCTATCATAGAACACGATCAATGTGTGTAGCAACCAGGGCAGTCGTACAAAGAATGTGGGAGGTTGTGCAGAGATGGAGAGAAACGGGCGCTTGCACAGATTAAGAACAATCAATGAGAAGGTATGGAAAGGAATGGAGCCTGGAGGCAATATAGGAACGAAAGAGATGACGAACTCGTCGCAGCCTGTTTCAGTGTTTGAGTCCAGTGAATGACCCGTGGGAATTTTTAGTGACCTCTTGCGAGAAATTGAGAAATTATCATTTTCAAATTTTTGACTGCAGTCCAGAAACGTCGCTCACATTCTACAGCTCCGTGACACCTTCACTCAAGCAATAGCTTATTATCTGACAGATACCCATCTCCTGCACTCATTCACCTTGGCCATCATAACTTCTGTCAGCATCCGCCTTAAATGCATATGACAAGGTTCACTCATCCGCAGTCGTTTTCACGCCATTCCGTTGCCACCTCAGGCTTCATTCTCCGACTCTATCGAATACAAGATCAACATTTTGGGCGTCACGCAGATGTAGAAAACTTGGAAGAGGCTTTAGGCTGCGCCTGAACCAACCATCGTTCTCAAGGCATGTCACTCTCGGTCTTCCTTGATACGCTAAAAAGTTCCGCACGGCGAGCAGCTAGTACTAACTGTAGTGATGCAACAAGAACGCATAGATATAATCAAATTGTCTTGTTCCCCGCAGAGCCTCGACACTTGTACTGTAATTCATATTGAACGTCTCTACAATGTGTTACACACTATTGCTAGTTGAAATATGCACACACTCTTGGAAAACGGCTGAAATCATGCTAAGTCCTGCATCGGCGTCGATCATGAGCTTAGCGTGATATTCTCGAACACCGAGGATCAGGCGTGGTCCCAGCACAGCTGACTGCACAATGACGAATATTTCAAGAACACCAAAATAGATCAGAAATGTTGGAGAATATGGATCCTATGGGAAATGATGCATCAATGAAGCGAGGCTGCATGCAGAGGTCAGTGACACATTAGTGTACCTTGTGTATCGGCGAAAAATAACCGAGAGAGAAGCAAAAACTTACAACAACACTGGCATGTGCAGAACATCATGACTACCTTCACGCTATCGGCTCACCTCATAAAGTAACTCATGTGAGTTTTCATTAACACCGTGAAACAGTTCCCAATGATAACTCCCGCGGAGTGTTGTTGCAATTCACGGAAGTGCTTTAGAGCGATCCGGACTGCAAGACACAGTGTGAAGACCTCCCACACAGCGACGAGTATGGAAGCGATGGTGCCCAAATGTTTGGGATTGTAAACGGCGCACTGATAGGTGCCAGAGAGAATGACTTGCTCTGGTATTTATCAATGAGCCTGAGGCACTCAAAGTATTTGATCCATGATTGAAGCTTACCTGCTAAAATATGCCTCATGTTTATTGTGAGCATCACTGTATTGGCGACATTGATGGCCACGAAGACAACAACGAGGAGTACCAGCACCTTTCTCGATCGCTGATACATGGCATGTAACCGAGCAATCATGATGACTTTGCATGATATCTCAGTCAGTCAGATATCACTGAGGTATCGCAATTGCGTAGGCTCACCACCAAATACCGCAATTAGGATCCACATCGTCCAATATAGTGCAAAGTACAAGTAAAGGCCTGGCACATCCAGTCAATGATAAACTTCAGAGAATCGCACACTCCAAAAAACTCACAACTGGAGCACACGATTATGGCGGATCACATCAGGGAAACGTAATTTGCTACGAAGTGCTTTGTAGCACTCTGTAGCACCCTGTCACACTCTGTAGCGCGATACTTCCCGCTGATGCAGCAAGCTGTCCAAGAATGTCGCTCACCCCTACATGATAATCGATCAGACGGGCACGGATGGGAAGACGTCAGTATATAATGCTCACTGCATCTTTTAGCGGTATTATCTGGACAGCCACTGTATGCCACTGGTCAGAAGCAACAAACAATGTATATGATGAGACGAACTCTGTATGCTCATGCTGATGGTGAGAAATGAGCGATCAGCATAACACCGGATCATAGCGTTCAAAACATACGTAACATATATTAATCCAACATAGCGCACCTAGGATATCGTCAGATCAGCTCAAATCGTTAAGCACAGTTATGGCACAAGCCACATACAGTGAGATACAGGACGGTCATCAGGGACCAGCGTTGCTTCTGTCGCAGATTGATGATATTATGTCGTTCTTTGGACATGAGATTCTGCTCACCCAAATCAATTCGACCTATGAAACCTATTATTAGAGAAATGGCTGCTCCGGTAATGGTATTCACTTACCTCTTGTCCGAATGCAAGAACTGGAGAAACCGTCATGATGTCAATAACTCTTTCATACAATCACAATCTTGCTCACACCAATCGTATATTACCCCGATCGAGGCAGCAACTGGAAAATACAGTGAGGATTAGATCGATATATCACCTATATCACCGTTATCATCCGACTGGCTCTCTGCTAGTACAGACCTATAAAATAGCTGAAAAAAATATGTGAATTGATGAGCGCCCACCAACTGGGATCATTTGAGATTATGGTCATAGCTATTAGGGGATGTGAGCGAGCGAGGGGTGACCTTTGTGGATGTATGATAATGACATTCGTACTAGATATACCACCTTCACGTTTTATTGCCGAAATGACTCGGAGTATCATGTAGATGATATCCGTCTATTACTTGGTTGCACTGAAGTACGGGTTTTTGGCACGATAAGGGTAAAATCAATGATTCACAGCTACGCACTGGAAGCACTAGACTCATGACCGAGTCTACACTGGAAGTTGGAACGTTCAAACAAAACAAAAAAGCGAACATCCTGATTTCGGCAACTAACCTGTTTCCATTACCATTCATCCCAACTCGATGGCGCACCACTGGACCTAAGCCACCAGTTCCTATGTCTATTACGGGTGGAGTAAACCATATCGTGTTGCAAAAGAGAGTGAGAGAGGGTGCCTGCGCGCAAAGATACAAGTATTTGGTCTACCGTGACAGCCTTGGCCGAGTCGTACTGTTGTATCAGCATGTGAAACAATATCGGGAAGAACGTGGTAGTTTCAACACTCCACTGACTGCGCTGATATGGGCCAGTGGATCATGATTCAGCGATCAGATTTCCCTATCAAACGCTGAGCGCTGGGCTTATGTGAGTGTAGGCTATGACGAGATATTCATTAAATCTCCGGACCCGACATCTTAGTAGAGTCACCGGGGCTGAATTCGTTCGACCTGTGCTTAGCCTAGTCACATACAGCATAAGTAGCTGTTGGGAACTCGGACTCGGACTAGCGCGGCCGAGCGCTGTTATGTCAGCTTTGGTTCAAAAGGTCAAAAACAAATCTCAAATGCCATTGTACTGCCAGCGATGGCCCATGGCATGCGAGAATCAAGGAAGAATTTGATTGCACTCTTGAGCTACTAGGGATTGACGAGGCTGATTTTTTATTTTGCTTGTTCAGCGTTTCGTAAAAAAGCACGCAACGTGTGTAGATAGCGAGAGAATAGGCCGCCATAAGTTTCTACTCGTCTTCATGGTAGCAGGTAAGAGGTTGTGCAAAAGGAAAATGCCGAAGATAAAGCTTGATATTACTCAGCTCGTAAACCTTAATGTACAACCACCTGAACTTCTGAGTTTCCCGGGCGACCTAAATATTTTCTTCGTCGAATCGTATAATCTATAAAGTAAGGGATAACGCGAAAGATTGATGGAGGTGATGGGCCTTCGCGTGAAGCTCGCATGGAGGCTACGTTTGCTCGTGTGGATAAGGTGCTCGCACTGTGCAAGCTCACGTGGCAGCCACATTTACTCGCACACAAACTTTATTTAGTTGTTTTGTTCCTCATTTGTTCGGTCAATCATTCAATTTTTGTTGCACAGAATCGCGCTGTCGCGTCAGTTTGTCGTTTGCTTTTGTCGCTGAGTACTATCATCGTTGAATTGAATTTGCCGTGTTTCGCGTCCGATGTGCCATACTTTTGTCAGCGTTCCGACTTAAGAGCTCGAAGTCATCCCACGTGACTTGCAGTGGCATCCCGTTACACATATTTTCTCCTGGGCCTTACCTTGTGCTCGCACCTTACGATCTTCGTGCCTTCAACGTTCAACGTTCATTGTCATTCTCACCGTACCTCTTCAGGGCTAATAGGACGCCTGAGTATATATACATATCATGTACACTCATTTTCAGTAGCAGAATCGGATGCTCTGATTTCCCCGCTCCAAACAGAACAGAACACCTCAAAATCTCTAAACGTCTTGCCATACTCGTCGTCGTTTTACCTCTATACACGTCTCATATCTTTTTCATCTCGTTCGAGTTTCCCTGCCGAACTCATACCAAACCTTACACCTCTCACTCACATACATTCTCTCCCAACATGACCATAGTCTCAAATGATCCGACTTGGTGGCCAACCATCAATGCAAATCGTGTCGGAAGCTATTTTATGTGTTCGTGAAGAGCAATCAGATGTCGAAGCTGACACAATCCAACCTTGGCTACGTTTTCGCAGTTGCCGCCTTTGTTGGAGTGACGTATGATTGCGGTGAGCATAATAAGGTTAAAGGACCGCTGATGTCTTACAAGTATCTTCAGCGCTTACATTTGGACAAGAGGTATGTTAATGCTATGACTGGAACAACCATCTCGCTAAGAATGGTTCTATAGGTCGAATTGGTCTGGGTGAGTAGAGTCTCAGTCAAGGGAACATACACATGAAAGTACACTTAATTACAGAGACAACGTTGGTCGCTAATGACCGTTCTGTATCTCGGTGTATGTAGCTTTCTTGTCGCAATTTCCACATTGTTCTGACTTGAAAGTATTCTAGGTGCGCTACCTTGGAATCTTATATGCTGCGTATGTTCGGAAAGCTAAACAGTCGATGTCGTACTGATCGTCTATCTCTCATACTCAGCCTGACCATCCTTCGTATGTCTCACTACATTCACTGTCTTTGCTTCTTCTGACCGACGGCATACAGTCGCTGCTCCGACCATCTCGCTGTCAGATACAGTGAGTCTTCTGCACAGATTCTATCACCCCCCCTCCGATTAACCGTGGTGCCCTGTAGCAGTGGGTGTATTTTTTACTGACTTGCTGGTTCACTAATGAACGCCACGCTATACTGCCACAGATGTGAGTCTGTTTGGATGTGCTACCCGAGGCTGGTCACTGACTGTTTTCATCAGGCTGGATCGTGTACGTCGTACAGAATTCAACGGGTGTTTTTGTATTTGCGATGCTATTTGGTGAGCTCGCCATTTGCGAGACCTCAGTGATACTAACTTGACTGAAACATACTGCAAGTCATCATCATCACTCGGTTGCATGCTATGTATCAAGGATCCCGAAAGATCCTGATATTTCTCGTTGCCACCTTCTTGGCTATCAACATATTCGACGCAGTGGTACTCATAATGACAACGATAAATACTTCAGGGGGTACGCTTGATTGCGGATGAAAACAAACGTGCATGGGGCTAATTGATGGATACCAGAGGAATTCATTCTATCTGGCACTTATCAGTGCCAGATTAACTATCCGGATGATATCTCACTTCTGAATTCCACTACTTGGATACTCGGAACTGTGTGGGAGGTCCTCGCACTATGTCTCGCAGGTTGGATTGCTGTAAAACACTTCCGTGAGCTGCGACGTTATTCGGCAGAAGGGATTATCGGGGACTGTTTTTCGGTGTTGATCAAAACACACATGGTTTACTTTGCCAGGTAAGCTTATATTGTGATCATCGTTCCCTTTTTCGCTGAAGGATCGGACGTGGTAGCTTTGTTGCTGTTTCTGGCTTCAACCTCATTGTTGATTTATCTCCATCACTTCTAACGGTATGTCAATCTTTCCTTTACCTCAGCATGCGGACCATGGTTCATCATGTTTATAGAGCCAAAATTTTCTAGAAGCTCAGGCTCTTATGGGCTCGCTTCAGATTTTGACAGTCGTGCAGGCGTTTGTGCTGGGACCACGCCTGATTCTTGGCGTTCGAGAATACCACGCTAAGCTCATGGCCGACTCTGACGCAGCATCTGGTATGACCTCAATCGCTTTTCAGGAGCGCGTGCATGTATCGACTAGCAGTAGTGTATGACACACGAAATGTTAATGGTTGTCTGGTGCTCTGCAATAAGCAGGAAATTTTGTTTTTTGTCTCCATCCCAAGCCTTGTCGCAGTATTTGCATACTTAATTATTTGGTATCCCGAAGTAGATTAATATTTCGATGGGACGTTAGTGGCCTGGACAATATTTTCCCCGTAGTATTTATTCGAATCATTTGCTATAGGTTCTGGCATGGACAATATTACAACCAATATCCTGGATATACCTACTGTTCTAGCGAAGGAAAGCAGTGTACTGAACGGAAAGGTCGAGTAACGAGAGATGCTATTAGGCGCCATAAGTACTAGGCAAACCGATCTGCATCTATTACCGTTACACTAGTCTTGTGTTTTGGGCTCGTTCTGGTCTATCAAGGTTCCAAGCTGCAGACAATGTGCTCCAAGCGTGTAACTTTTTATGCTCGTGAATCTGTATGAAGATCACTACACTGAAATGAAACAAGCAGCTAGCACCAGTATAAACATCGTCCAGAGTTATATATCTTTTAGATAGTACATTTTGAAAGATCAAATAACTTACAAACAAGTACCACGGCAAAACATGAGATAAGTAGAAGGAAACAAATTCTCCCACTCCTTGCAAACTACATCGCGAAAAAAAAGCATGTCGAGAATGTCCCGCGCTACACACTAGTGCTAGTTTCCACATGGACGCGTTCCTGAAAAGCAATTGAAGTCATAGCGGTTGCTATATCGGAGTCGGCCACGAGCTTAGCGTGATATTCTCGAACGCTCAGGATGAGGCGTGGTCCCAGCACAGACATCTGCACCATCTCGAGGATTTGAGCAAATCCAAGATAAATTTGAACTTCTGGGGTCAATCCGTCCTATAAAATCGATGAATCATGGGCGCACGTCGAGAGCGGTGACAGATTCGGCATACCGCTATGAACGTTGGAGAGAATAAACCGATATGGAAGCAAGAAACAGCCAAAAAACTAGCCCGTGCAAAACTTCAGCAGAACAAGAGAGCTACATTCAGATTACGAGCTCACCTCGCAAAGTAACTAATGTGTGTCTGCATTAATACCGTGAAACAGTCCCCGATAATACCTCCTGCTGAGTGTTGTCGCAGCTCACGGAAATGCTTTACAGCAATCCAGACCGCGAGACACAGAGCAAGGACCTCCCATACAGTCTCAAGTATCCAAGTCATAGAAGTCAAAAGTAGGACATCTCCCGGATAACCAATGTTGCACAGATAGGTGCCAGAAAGAATGAATTCCTCTGGTATTTGTCGATGAGTGTGGTGTAATTGTATTTTTCATACATATCCAAAGCTTACCCCCTGAAGTATGCACCACCATCATTGTGACCATCACTATGTCGGCGATTGTGATGACCAGAAAGATGACAACGAGGAATATCAGCACCTTCCTGGATCCCTGATACATAGCATACAACCGAGCAATCATGATGACTTGCATAATGTTTCAGTTAAGTCCATATCACGGAGGTGCATAGCTCACCGCCCAGTATTGCATCTACAATATCACCCGTCCAACAAAGTGCGTCATACAGGATAAGACCTGACGAATACAGCAACATTAGCTATCAGCCTCGGATGATCACAGGCTCGAAATAAACTCACAACTATGGGAGTCGTCACGGTTTTATTGAACTAATGAATTGTTCGAGAATTTCACTCACCCCTACATGGTAATTCAGTTGTTCGGACGGGAATGGGAAGCATTGGTGCGGAATACTCACTGCATCTGTCGTCCAAATTGTTGGAACATTGCCTGTATGCCGCCCGTCATAAGAAAAAAACAGGGTCCATGCGAGGAGACATACTCAACAAGCTCATCCTGATTGTGAAAGATTGGTGATGAGGGCAACACGAATGGCTTAGACGTCAAAACGTACAAAGCAAATCCTATTGCAACATATCGTGCCTAGGATACGTTCGCGTGAGCACAGCTTGCCAACCACACCTAAAAACACAAGCTACATACAACGAGATAAAGAACGGTCATCGTGGACCAACGTTGCCTCTGTCGCGAATTAGTTGTGGTATTGCACATCCTCCTCTTGATGTAGAAAAGCGCTTACCCAGATCAGTTCTACCTGTAAGACTGTTGTCAGCAAGCTAGCTGCTCCTGTAGTGGTATCGACCTACCTCTTGTCCGAACATAAGTCCTAGAAATCCTATAATTATAATGGTCTTTTCATACTCATACTTGATATTGCTCACCCCAGTCGTATATTACCACAGCACAAGAAGCGACTGCGAAACCGCAGCCAAGGTTAATCGAGTCATCACGATCATCATGCAGATGACTCTAAACAAACCTATAAAATAGCTACCAATAAGATTCGCGTTGATGACCGGCCACCAACTGGGATCGTTCGAGACTAGTGTCATACTATTGAAGGATGGATGTGAGCGGATGGGGGAACTTGGTGAATCCATAACGACTGCATTCGTGCTTGATATACCACTATCCGGTACTTACACTGCCGAGTTGTAATTTGAAAGATCGTACTGATGGATGGAAGTGTTCCAGGCTTTCAGCATGCAGGGGAGATCAAAGTAGCAGTCATTAATGAAATCATGTAACGCAGCGACTCACGCGAAATGTCTGAATGAAAGATCGGGGCACTGTTTATGGTTTCTGCAACATGCTAGTCCCATCTTCGAGGTCTTCTATGGGTATGGTCGAGCGCGAGGTTCAGTCTCAGCCATCAATGTCATCATTCCGATCATTGATCTAGCACAGGTTTGAATGGCGCCCAAGCCAACTCCGTGGCAGACATTCTTTGTAATTGCGACAGGAGCAAAAATCTACAACCTAAATTCTGATCCATGTACACGCTGAATGCGTCCAAAAGTACATGCATGCGTCATGTCCAATTTCGTGTCATAAAACACGATCGACGTATGTAGCGACCAAGGCAGTCGCATAAAGAAAGCAGGAGGTTGTACCAAGAAGGGGATAGAGGGGCGGTTGTACAAAAGCAGCAAGGTTTGTTGTACAAAGAAAGCACGATCAAGTGATTTAGACCGGAACAGGAGCAGTAGGAGCGAAAGTGATGACCAACAGGCGATGATGGTACATGCTTGAATGCGGAGTCCATGAATGTGTGAGGATCCGGTTTGGTGGTTCAGAAGCAAGTAACGAGGGAATGAAATAAGTGCACTGGCGAATAGAAGATCACGTTCATCTAGGGATTTGAGGGGCGAGTAGCCCATTGGGAGAGCGAGAAATCAGCCGTTCATTGAAGGAAGAAGTTTTTCCATCTATGAAAAAAAAATCGCCCCAAGGAGGTACAGATACCGATATGGATGAAATAAAGAAACCGAAAAATACAGAGTGTGAACGGCGCGTTTCATGGGACGACTCGGAGCAAGACTTGAAGCAGAGAACAAAGGAACGAGGATCATCAGGCACCATGGCGAACAAGCGGATGATCAAGTGTGGGCGTAATTATAGAATGAAATACGAACCATCAGCAGATACAAGGCAAGAGACACGCGATACATACCTTTGATGATTGCCAAACAAAAAAAAACAAGTCAGGAGCAAAGGGATGGATGGGGACCAGATAGGGTGAAGGCGAACAGGAAGAACATACAAAAAACCTGTCAATAAAATCACCAAAATCAAGTTAGTTTTCAGAAAGGTGACACCAAGAGAAAAACAGCAGAAGCAAGAAGTAACCTGTAAATTCGAACGATAAACAAAGAAGACACAACGAAAGATTCAAAGTCATCGAACAGAAAGAGATAAAAAAAAATTCAAGAAAGGAATCAAAATTTGAACTCATCAGATGAAGCAGGGAACACTCAGGTGAGAGTGCATCCAAGGTCGGACCGCGTCAATCACTTTACAAAACCAAGATCCAACACGGTACAGTTTACTTTCGAACTCCGACATTACTGTGCCTAAATAGGAAACGGGTCACTTAGCCTTAATTTATAATTTCGAGTACCAGGATGGAGTTTTGTGACGGAAAAAGTACATAGAATGAGAGAAAACAATTCTGGCTATCATAATCATGTATTGTTAGAATTTCAGAGAAGTGTTGTGAGGGTCTACAAATATTTTGCCAGAGGGTCTCAGTTTTGATCAAAACCAGTGTAGCGAGTCAGCCGCCAGCAATCTCTGGTACCTGCCGCCGATCAAGGTTTTGTGCGTTGATGAGTGCTCCGTCGCACAGGCTGCCCTTTATCAACGACAACAGAGTCTGCATTGGCTGCAGCTGCAGCTTGAACATCATCCTCACCATCAAGGACACTGTTCTGGACATTGATGGGCCTCTGGACCTGGACAACATGGAGTTGCAAATCAGGTAATGGGTTGTTCACTTGGTGCAGGATGGGTCGAGGATGAGGGCGAGGAAAGATATTTGAGGGCTGAAGAGGTTCGAGGGTGTTATCATCGACAAGGTTGAGATTTTATGAGCTGCGATTAAGTGAATCTTCGTTTTTGTTACAAGAACATCTAGACGCTTGGGCCCTTACCATTTTTCTCCTAATCCTCCTTGTCTCAGCCCTCGCATCATACCCTTACCCCGACCTCACCATTGTCATCCTTGTCATCCTCGCATTTCCCTTCGCTCTTTACCTGTCGCTTCAGCAAAGCCAGTACATCTGGCCGGACCCTTTTGCTGACAAAGCATACCCATGCTCTGTTCCACCACCTGACTGATCCTGTGGACAGTCCCCTTACCCTTACCGTCAGGACAGTAACCTATGATACAATGCACGATGCATACCCTTTGCCCCGTTTCCTTTCTTGATCTCTGACTCGGTGCGCAGTCGCACATGCAACCTATACTTAGATCCGCAGTTGCACGATCGTGCCCCTGCGCGTTTCACTTCTTATTTTAACCTTTGACTCACTTTCTTATCTAGCACGTTCTACCTCAACCGAACGTGCCTCCCTATTATGGTTATACCCTTTACTGATTGCCTCTCCCGGTAGTACGAGTTATCACCCACTAATATGTTCCCTGTCCTCTATATAAACTCGCTACCATGTACTATATTCCCTAACTTGAATCTACTTGGTTCTTGACCTCCTACTCTCATCAGAGTGATCCTTTCTGCCTCGCCAGCAGTCTATATTCTATCTTCTTATCTGCTCCTCGCGGATAAGCCAATAGTCTCGACCTTTACTCATCGACTTCGTCGACGAGCAAAGCCCTTGTTAAATAGTCGGACTTCTGTCCTTCTAATTAACGACAATCTTACGATTAACCTTCGGGTGTCGTAAAGCCTAGGCCGAATTAGCTTATCGTCTCGCATCCGCTTGACATAAGTTACCTGATTTGGACATAGGCGTCAAATCTTACTTGCCGAAGCATCGCCAAGTAAGACCCCTAACCTTGGGCTAGCCCAAGGACGTCCTCGACCGTTGACGACACACGCTCTGTTTGAGCGTCGCCAACAGATACCATCCAAGTCATAACAGTTTTCACTTTCCACATGTTGTTGACAAATGGTTTTTGATGCTTTCTCCAGCTGCTTGCATTCTTTCTCCGCTTGCACTGCAATTTTGCGCTCGTGTGCAACACATTTCTTCTCTTCTGCATCTGCTCGCTTGACAGCTGCTGCAGAACACTTTGCCTTGACTGCGGCTTTCTTGGCAGCCACTTCTTCAGCCTTGCGAGCCAACACCAGCTCGCACTTAGCTGCTTTTTTGAGCATCTGCAATGCGCTTTGCAGCAAGTGTCATCGCAGTTTTGACAGCTTTTGCAGCCTCCTTCACAGCTGCACGTTGGTCATGTTCCTCTCTCCATCGTAAGTCTTCTTCAACCTTTTCATGATCTCGTATTACCTGCTGAATTCCTCTGAACTTTTTTGCAGCCTCGGTGTGAACAACCTTGATGTTCGCAGTCCAGTCAGCTTTCGCAAGGGCATTGAGCATATTATCACAGGTCATGTAGCGAGAGCCTGAGCCACCTTCCCTCCATGGGCCATTCTGCTTCCGCCCAAACAACTGCCATCGCCGTCCATTTTCGGCTTCCATCAACTTCTTCATGGCATAGTTGGCCTCCATCTGCTGTTTTGCCTTCTCTGCCCAATCACGGAGGGCATTGTAGCCAACAATATAAGCTTTCCGAGATGCGTTCCGGGGCAAAATGGGTGGAAAGTCAATGAGGCAATACAACTCTGCCTTGCTGCTGTTGCTAGGTGGAATACTACTGATGAGAGTTTGTGTTGTGCTGGTAGGTTCATTATGAAATGTTTCAGCTGTTGCTGATGATGTTGGAGGTTCACTTGTGGCCTCGTCAGAATCAGAAATATGGTCCGAGTCTGTCTCAGCTACAACCTCCAAGAGTGCGGGTAGCATGGCTGGCACAGGTTGTGCTGGCTGCATCGTAGTGTTAAGTGCGGGGGCATATGCAGCATCTTCAATGATATTAGGGTCCGGAGGATGGATGCCTGTCTTGTGGAATGCTGCCTGAATAGTGGATGGAGTGAATGCTCGCTGGCGAGCTTTGTGGTAGAATTCGAGAAAATTGCCTCTTGTAATGCTAATGCCTGCTTCGCTCGCCTTGTTCACCTCTGACTTCCAGCTCGACACTAATGGCCCGAAAACACCAACATCACAAGGCTGAAGATGGTGTGTCGTGTGCAATGGCAAGCAAAGCAGGACAATATGGTGATCGTGACAAAACTTGACAAACTTGAATGTGCAGTGCAAGTTGTGGCCATTGAGGATAAGCAGCCTCCAACCACCTGATGGATTACAGGCTGCACTTGCAGGTTCAAAATCATTCTGCAACCACTTGAGTCCAAGATCATTGTCGGTCCACCCATTTGAAGAAACTGATATACTGCTAACCAGTCAGGCATTGGCACGAGTTGAGGTCTATTTAAACATACCTTGCTTGGTCAGGATTGTTTCGTGACCATGCAAGATTACAACACAGTGCTTTGAATATGACTGATGGGGGTACTGAACTGCCATCTGTGCAGACTGTTTCAATGATGGTCACAAGTTTGTGGTCACCATTTTCAAGGTGTTGGATAGTTTTTTGATCACGGTCAACAAGAACAAGGGTACATTTTCCAATTCCAAGCTGCACACCCTTCTCATCCATGTTGTAGATGTTACTGGGGATGATATTGTACTTCGTTATGAGCTCGACAAGGATATTGAAGTACTCCGTGACTTGTGGGCAGTTCAATGCCTTCGCATGACAACATTCAAGTCCACTTGCCCAACGTGACTGTAAGTCAGGGTGGCGAGTTCGGAAATGACGTGCCCAATGCTCTGACAAAGGGTTGCCACCAAGAATGACTGAAGCTTGTTCTGCCACTGAGTGAAGTGACATAGGCAGTCCTTGACGTCCCAATGCTTTGATTCGTTCTTTCAAAGCATTCTCCTGGGATGGAGTAAGCTTCTGTTCTTTTGCGTGAGCCTCAAACCTCATTTGTCGGCCATTGTACCGTGCTGTGAGTGTCGTGCAGGAAACTCTGTAATCCAAGGCTGCTGAATGCAAGCTGTAGTTTGGCAAACCTTTTTCATTAATACCTGCTGCAAGGACAGCTGTAAGAGCAGCCTGCAGTGTTTGTTCTGTATTCTGTGGAGACATGGCACTGGGTTGAATGCAAAAGTTGGGGTGTGAGTCACCACATGAAACATTTATGCAACCCCAAACATTGTATTATGGCATAGTATGAGCAAATCATAAATAAAATTATAAAACAAACTCGGTACTGACAAGTGTAATGGGTTGACAAAGAGACTAATCAGTGATCCCAAGTACATAGCTCACAAACTACTTGTCCTCGTGTGCATCATTACCTGTACTCCCTGCAGCTTCACAGTCATCAGTCTTTACACTGTGTTGGTGGGCATGGTGTGTTTCAAAATGGCTGCCAGCCTCGTCCATGTTGTAGATTGTGGTATGGCACATCTTGCCATCCATGGGTCCATCATATGGTGTTGTTGAAGGTGACAGGGAAGCTGGAGGGGTGAATGCATCAATTAGAGGAGGCATACCATTCTCGTCAGAGAGTTTGTCTATCAGACTGTTAAACACAATATCAGCTACCAGTACATTGTTAGCAAGGCAAGCTTATGTCTGATGCAACTCATTGTAGGCTACCTGTTGAAGGTGTGCTTCGTCAATCTCACAATGTGTCACAAAGTGAGGCAGAGCACTGTAGGAAGTGTCACGGACATCTGAAACATAATGGGACATCTAAATAAATGAATTGAGTGTATTAGAAGATGCAGAATATCACAAGGAATGGGATAAATACAATTGAAATGCTGAGGCAACAAGGAGATGTTGATGAAAGACGAATTCCAGTTGAAGAGCCTTTATATGCTGCCTGATGATCACATACAATTTCTGGACCATACAATGCCCAGACAAATAAGAAAAAAATATGGGCATGTACATACCACCATCTAGTCCATTTATGTGAAGTTCGAATGAATTTCGTATTGCGGCGACATTTTTATGGCTAGAATGATTGCTCGTCATAGGCAAGAGGTGTGAGATGGTTTATCACAAGATTCAGAGTCCCTGAGATGACCCTGTAAGCTCTATACAACAGATTTTTGTGGGGATGTTGCCAGACATGGTCTAAACCCTTGAGAACAGCCAGTTTTGTGCGAGCAAGAATGTGGAGGTAGCGGAGAAGTCAAAAGGTCATTGAAGGCTTAGCACTGATGACAAAATCATACATTTGGCTTGCCTGGGAGCACTTATTTCATGCATATCTCTTCGAGATCTCATCCATTCAGCACAATTTCTTCAGACAGTAATATTTAAACCACACTCAATATGAAAATAAAAATTTCAAGACCTTAGCTGTTGCGGTTCACTGGGGAGACATTCAGTGACCCACTACTAGGTCTGAACTGTTGCTTACTCAGCCACAGTACCATGGCTTGCACAGCTGCCAGTCTCAAATCTGGAGGCGAAACAATTATAACGCTTTTATTCACACGCATCAAATGTACTAGCTCGCTTGTTACTTGTAAGTTGTGCCTGTCATCCTCTGCACCGCAAATATGTGTGATCAGCTGTGTCCTTTTGCAATTTGACTTGCAGCTGCTCATGAGGCTAGATCTTGCACACTTGCCTGTGGATGTCACAGTTGTGATGCAGACATGAAACTTGCATGTCCCACTCCCCACTGACCTTCAAGTTATTGTACCGTTATTGCTGATATATATCAACCATAACATTTTGCATTCGTGCCCATTTCAAAATCCAGCTTTATTCACGCTCCTCTTTTCAGATGTACCCAGCATTATGTATCCTCGACTTTGCTTGTCATTTGCTTCAATGCATCATTAGCAAACATGTCGGGCCCAAAGGTGGGCAACTCTATACAACCTGGTCTCTATGCTGCAACTCAGCTTTTCAAGCGCTCTTGGATGATGAATGAAGGTTAGATGAGATGACACTATGGCATCCATTGTTACTAGGTGTCTGATTGCTTGTCTCAGGCATAGATATGTGACGTCGCCTAGTGTGTAACTTGCTTGTGCTAGTAGATCTACATGTCAGGAATAAATATCATTACACTGAAATGGAACAGCTGCATTGGAGTGAAGTTGTTACATGTTTTGGTTGGCCATATGGTGCAAGTATGTGCAGGTAACTAGCGCCAGTAGAAACATTCTCCAGAGCTATATCTCTTTTACAGCATCAAATAACTTAGACAAGTACCGTAACAACACTTGCAATAAATAAAAACAAAAGACCACTCCCTACAGACGACCTGCCCATTGTAAATCACATCGAGCATCTCATACTATATGCTACTACTCTGCACATGGACATGTTTCTGGAAAGCAATCAAAGTCATATTGGTTGCTGTATCAGAGTGGGCCACAAGCTTAGCATTGTATTCTTGAACACTAAGAATGAGGCATGGTCCCAGCACAGACAGCTGAATCATGTCGAAGATTTGAGAGAAACCAAGGTAGATCTGAACACCCAGGGAGAATGGGTTCTGTATAGAATTGATGAATTGACATGGGCGCACATAGGGAGATTGGCATACCACTGAGACCGCCAGAGAGAATAAACTAAGTTGGAAGCAGGAGACAGCTACAAAACTAGCATGTGCAAAACTTCAGCAGAATGAAGAGCCACATTCAACTTATAAGCTCACCTTGCAACATAACTAATATGTGTTTGCATTAACACCGTAAAACAGTCCCCTATAATACCTCTTGCTGAGTGTCTTCGCAGTTCACTGAAGTGCTTCACAGCAATCCAGATCGTGAGACACAGTGCAAAGACCTCCCATATGGTGTCAAGTATCCAAGTCATGGAAAGCAGAAATATGGAATCTCCTCCAAAGTTATTCATGCACAGATAGATGCCAGAGAGAATGAATTCCTCTAGTACTTGACAGTCAACCTGATGCACTTGAATGTTTTATACACAGGTACAGCTTACCTGCTGAGGTCTGCATTGTCACTATTGCGATCATCACTACGTTGGCGATTCTGATGACCAGAAATATGACAACAAGTGATATCAGGACTTTTCTGGATCCCTGGTACATGGCATACAACCGAGCAATCATGATGACTTGAGTGATGTTTCAGTTAAGCCAATATAATGAAGGTGTATAGCTCACCACCCATCATTACATTTAAAATATCACCCACCCAACTAACTGCGTCATAGATGATAAGACCTGATAAATCCAGCAATATCAGCTATCAGCTTCAGAGGATTGCAGGCTTGAAGCAAACTCACAATTGTGGGAGTCATTATAGTATTGAACCAAAGAATTTTCCAAGAATCTCACTCACCCCTACACAGTAGTTTGGTTGTTTGGATGAGAATGTAAGGTATCGGTGGGGAACACTCACTCCATCTGTCATGGGAATTGCTGGAATATCGACTGTACGTTGCCCATCACAAGAAAGAAACAGAGCTCATGTGAGGAGACATACTCAACATGTACATCCTGATTGTGAGAGATGGATGATGAATGCAACATCGATAGCTTGAATGTCAAAACTTACACAACATGTCCTACTGCAACATATTGTGCCTTGATATGTTTGTGTCAGCATGACTTGCTAAACACGCAAGCTACATACAATGAGATACAGAATGGTCATCATGGACCAGCGTTGCTTCTGCCACAAATGAGTTGTATTATTTTCATACCATTCTTTTGATGAGGGGGTGCACTTGCCCAGATCAGTTCCACCTATACAACTGTTGTTAGCGAGATGGCTGCTTCTGCGATGGTGTAGACCTACCTCTTGTCCAAACATAAGTCCTAGAAATCACATTATGTCAGTGGTTTTTTCATACTTGATGTTGCTCACCCCAGTCATATATCACCAAAGCACAGGAGGCCACTGCGAAACCGCAGTCAGTGTGAATGAAGTCATTGTGGTCATCATGTAACTGGCTCTGAACAAACCTATGAAATAGCTGTTACTAATATTTGCATTGATGGTTGGCCACCAACTGGGATCGTTTGATACTAGGGTCATCGTATTAGTAGAAGATGGGAGTGAGCAAGTGGCACAACTTCAAGTTGGTGGATGTGGGATGGTTGCATTTGCGCTTGCTATATATACTACCCTTCAATGTTTACACTGCCAAAGTGAAATTTGAAAGATTATGCCTGATCCATTAAAAGTATTTCAGGCTTTCAGCATGAATTCAGGTAGAAAGGCAATGATACGGGGATATGTTGATGAAATTGTGTGATGTGGCAACTCACACAGAATGGCCTTAAAAAGATTGGAGATCTGCTCGTGATTTTGGCAACGAGCCAATGCCATCTTCGAACTACTCTTTACAGGGTATAGTTCACCTCTGCCTGTTGTCAATGACACCATTCAAAGCATTGATCAAACACAGGTTTGAATGGTGCCCAAGTCAGTCTCATAGCAGACATTCTTTGTAATTACGACACGCACAAAAATCCACATCCTACATTCTCTTCCATGTTCACGCAAATACGACCAAAAGTACATACATGCAACATATCCAATTCCCCATCATGAAACATGACTGACATATGTAGAGCAACAAGGGCAAACAAAGAAAGTGGGAGGTTGTACAAAGAGGTGGAGAAAAGGATTGTTGTACAAAGAAAGAACGATCAAGTAATTTAGACAGGAACAGAAGCAGTAGGAACGAAAGTGATGATGAGGCAATGATGGTGCCAGTTGAATGCGAAGTTCATGAATTTGTGTTAGCAAGTAATGGGGGAATGGAACGGATGCACTGGTGAATAAAAGATCAAGTTCATCGAAGAGTTTGGAGAGTGAATAGTTCCTGAGGAGATACAGGGACCTAAATTGATGAGACCAAGAAGCCCCAAAATAATGATGAGTATGAAAGGTGCGTTACGTGGCATGACTCGGAAGGAGTGACAATGGTTGCTTAAAGCAAAGAACGAAGGAGCCTGTATTATCGCGTACAATAGCGATCAAGCAAATGATCGAGTGTGGGTGACCTAATAAATACAGGATGAAATGTGAATCGTGCGCAGATACAAGATGAAAGAATATGATACATACCTTTGATGATTGTAAAACAAAAAAAGACAAGTCAGGAGTAAAGGGATGGATGGGAACAAGATATGTGGGAGATCAGAGTGGAGTGAAGTCTTGAAAACCAGGTCAGTGTTCAAGAGGTGACAGGAAGAGAATATTAAGAAAAATGAGTAAACATAAATATGAACCAACCTGCGAACGACGAACAAAGAAGATGCAAAGAAAGAAATATGTCAAACAGAAAAGAAAGAACTTGTTAGATAGAGTAGAAGATACTTGCATGAGAGAAGGTGGCATGTCCAAGGTCCGCATCACAGCTACTGAGCTCTGAGATCTGCCAATAACTTGAATGTTCCATTAATATTGTCACGGTCATCACAAAAATTGCGCAACTGAGAGATTACCCAATATGGATGATAGTGTGGCTGAACATATGACCAAACAAGTCCATGTGATGTCATCAACACCCCAATGCGACATTTGAATGCAGCAATTAACTCAGAATGAGACCTCCCACCTTGCGATACTATCATAATGACATTAAGTAGATGATTCTTGTATCTACATGACATATCCTAGATACTAAAATATGTACACAATGTCGTATAGGTACTGTAATCAAAGTCTTTGCGCAACATACAATGAAAATGAAAATTTGATGCACCAAGTGTTTGATCGATCGAGAAGCATGCTAAATACATCAAAGTGCACCATATCCTTCCTCTGCAAGCACGTCATCGTCGAGCTCCTCTCCTTCATCAGCCATGACTCTACCCTCGTCATCACCTTCTTCATCACTGCTCTCGCTGTCAGCATTGACATCCTCAATATCCTGCCACTCCTCCACTGTATCAGCCACGTCTGATATGTTGGCAATGATTTCTTCAAGCTGATCACCCTCTTCCGGTTCTTCGGCTCCATGTTTCTCGTGTTGGAGAATATCGTCCCAGTCTCTGGTAGCTTTATGGCCGATTCCACCACCACGAAACCTCATGAACATGTCTGGATCAACAAATCTATATACATGATGTAGATATATCAGCCTTAGTTGCAAGAATAAATAAAAAACAAATGCGCACATGTTCACATATTGAAAACGGCAGTCAGACTCAGGATCTTGAGGATCCGAACAATGTTGAAAACTGGGAATCAGATGAACCCCATGAACGACGGAGTCTGGATCCAAGAATCCATATGCATCAGGACTGTCTTCATCGAAAAATTTGAGGCGCTGGAGGCATTTTGCAGCCCAACCTGCAGGTGAACTATCCCATCTGAACCATCGGACAAATAAGAAGTCCATCCGAGTTGGGTGTGAGTATGTCTGAGTGTCGTCCTCGCGGTATTCAACATTGATATGAAAGATCCCGATCACACGGGCATACCAGTATGGATGAATCTTCTCATCTTTGTGGGAGAGAAGCATAATGTCAGCACGAGTACGGGGATTGATGGTGTCCTGTTCGTGTCATAGATCGTAGGTTGTATAGTTGATGCGCAAGATACTGTGATGGTATATCTTGTTGTCTGTGAATAGAACCAAGGTGCGATCAGCATTGGAGAAGTCATGCTCATCTCCGTCATATGCAAAATTGCGAAGTTGAGCAAGGAGATGGTCCTTGAGTCGTGGAATAAACTCCTAAGAAAATACAATGAGAATGTGAATACACATGTACGAAAATAGCTTACCTCAATTGCAAGATCAGGCAAATCTCCAATGTCTCTGCGCTCGATTAACCAAGAGGTGATGTTGTCATTTGTGCGAGCATATGTTGCAATTGAATAATGATCCGAAGGAGACATCCGGTGTCTTAATAACCGAGGGTCTTATATAAAGTTGTGTAAATGTAATGACACCACAATTACACTTTGGATAAGACTGCTTGCCAGTCCTCGATTAACACGGTCTACGACTTTTCCTATTTCGTGGTAGATAACGTGTGAGTTCTTGGGAGGCTCGCTAAACTAATCTTTTATTAAGATCAACCTAGCCGGAGCTTTACTTTTCTTAATTGAAACTCAAATCTCTTGTCTAGGAATAAGCTTCTAGACACGTAATTCGGTTTCTGAAATGTATTTGCCTAGGAAATCTCCTTCTAGGCTCTGGACTTGGATACTGGAACTAGTGAGACGTGGTCTCAAATATATGAAATATGACCAAGATCGCTTGGTCTATGGACACCTGACTGTGAGACAATGGTCTCAAATATACGATATATATTCAAGATCGCTTGAACAAAGGGGACTATAACTTGACCAAGATCGCTTGGTCTATGGGACAACTAGTGAGACGTGGTCTCAACAATATGATAGATGACTAAGATCGCTTAGTCAAAGGGCACAGAGCAATGAGACAAAGGGGTCTCAAAGACAATATATGTGACCAAGAACACTTGGTCTATGGCACTAATAAGTTTCTAAAGTAAGAAACTTATAATCTCAAGGGAATTCTTTTCCCTGCACTTGTCTCACTTCAAAGGGACTAACTTTGCAAGTGAAATATCTGAGAGGCAGATTGCTACAAATGGGAGATCATATATTTTTGGGGGAGAATGGGCTCTCCTTATATACATTTTGTGTGGGAAAGTAACCTAGGTTCACAAACAATAAAAAATAAGGAGGACCAATCAAAATATTGGGTCAAACCCAATAAAAGAATAAAATACAAGTGAAAGATGGAGCTATGACATCATTGTGGAGCAGAACATTCTGGAATGTGGAGTAATGACATCATAATGACATCAAGAGTGACATCATTGTGGAGCAAAAGATTCCAGAACCTTCCATGAGTGAGTCAGAGTGAGTCATTGTGGAGCAGAATATTCTAGAAGGAAATGACATCATGAATGATGTCATTGTAGAGTAGAATAATCTAGAGCTTGATGACATAATATCTTTCAACAGAATACCTGCAGGAGTATCTGTGGAGTCTTATGACATCATAATGACATCATACCCTATGGGTACAATTTTATGAAGTGTCAGGTGAGTCAAAGCATCCTAATGAAAAAGTAAAGTAAAGAAACACTAGAGAAAAGTAGGTAGCAAAAATAAGACAGTTGGCAGGAATTGAAACACAGTCAAAAAAATAATGCAGTTGGCAGGAATTGAAACATGGTCTTTTTGGATAGGTTTTTTATTGGCTTTGTACTTTTCTCTATGGTTTTCTCTAGCCAAAGTGAATAAGCCAAAGGCAAGGCTATACCTTAACCTTCATTTCCCTTCTCACATCAACTAGGTCTAAATGTGATTCCCATCTCACATTAGACTTTTTCCGTCAAAACGTATTCAGATCATGAAACTTGGGGAAAACTAGAAATATGGACCATGGTTTGAAACCAAGGTATGGGTTGACTAGTCTGAGGACTAAGCTAGCAGACTTTATCTTTTGAGGGTCACCTAGTATTCATGTCCATGCATGATTCCCACATCATGCAGGACACCGGGTGCGTCGTGGTCTCAGAATCTGCTTTGCTGCAAGTGCAGCAATCACCTTCTCAATTAGGTGTTCCCATGCTTCTTGAGAAGTCATGCTGGATAGGGTTTGATCCGTCTTCTTGGCTGTGCGAGGGTATCAGCGCTTTGATCGACGGTGCTCGAGTTCTCCCTGTATAATATTAGATATTGTATGAATAACATTATGAAGAGATCACTTACTGGTTGTGTTGAATAGCTATCTGAAGTACCAACTCACCGGATAGTATTTGGGTAATCAGTGAGCGCGTGATATTTGTAGGTGAAAAGATTTAAGGTTTTCACCTTTGGGTTAGACTTCTGCAACGTGTTTGCAGAACCCACTTGTTTTGATGCCAATGCAGCCTCACGGCGTCCACGTGCAGTGTACTCATTTGGAAGTTCAGTTGTGTGATAGTATGCACAAACAGTGCATTGAAATTTGCGAACTGATTGTCCGAGGATCACAGTGACAGAGTTGAAGAATGCGAGAGTGTCATCCGTATGTACACAAAGTTTTGCATAAGCGTGCC